TGATTAACATTCATTGAATGACTCCGTGGCGCAGTTGTCAAGTAATTGGCTCGGCGCTGAGGGTCGTGGTTTCGATTCCCACCCAGGACAACTAGTTGTGTGACATTATTATTATTACACATTCCGCGATATCAACGATTTAGGGCATAGGAGCTACTGTAAAGAAATGTTTATAAGTTTTACACACTACAGTTTTATTTAACTAAGTAATCACTATGTAATCACAACGCACTCGACTTCTATCATTATATAAATATGAAGCAAAATGAGAATTAAAATTAAAAAAATATCGCTGACCTAATCACGGTAATCTTGAAGTCATAATTGGCCTCGCCCTGAAAGCGACATCAAAATATTAACACGCATTATAATCTGGCAGTTGAACGGGTCACGAAAACTTTGGTCACGAAATTGGAGCACATCTAAATAATTAAAAAAGTCATTGACACGAGCCGGTCACATTAACCGAAACTATTTTGATTCAGTTAGTATAGTTTGGTGTATGATGCTTGATTATATTTATAATGATTTTGAGTTAACCGCGGCCTGCACTAAGACGCCCCGGTTTAACATTTTTATTCATGAATGTTATCAAATAACTAATCGGCAAAGACTTGCATTAGAATTTTTTTTCTACATGTTTTAAAATTGCATTAGAATAACTAAAATTTCGCGTTGAATCAAGTCTTGTGCTATCAAGAGTCTGTTTTCTCGCACTAATACGTAGAAAATGTTCCCACCAAGCTTATTGCTGAAGGATTATACTGAAAAATGTCACACGATGCAATAATTAATGCATTTACGAAAATCCTTACACCTCTGAGGCTCATAAAATACATAAAACAAAATAGTTTTCACGTCGTGAAGTTCAGTCTTAAATAGTTTTAATGTGGGAAGCAATGCCGAATGATATTCCAGTCCTATTCGTGATTTTAGTAAGACCTTAGGGAAATCAGATTCTGATTTTAAATAACGTCGGTAACGAGGCTTTGCCTAATCAACACTTATACAATAAAGAATTCAGTTAGATAGGTACTGCTAACCAACATCATAGTGAGATGAAACATAATATTTTTAAAGTACAAATACCTGACTAACCTACCAGTTATTAAATGATACTATCTACTTGAGATACCTTGTAAGAACCATACCAATTTCTTCCTCCCTTCTCGCTTGTAACATCTACTTCTCAACAATTACGTATAAAGCAACATTTGTTACAACGAGAAAATAACACTTCTAACAAAAGCGAACGGAATTGATGGTAGAGAGACGCTTAATGGCAGTGCTTGTTAAGAGCTGAAACGGATACCCAGTATAACAAATGTGTAGGTATCCCAAATAACTTGAACTTACGCGAAAGTTTCCAATATCATGATAAAGTAGCTATCGGAAGTATAATACTGATTGTAATGATATTCTTAGCTAAAATAATAAGTAAAGTATCTATAACTTGTGATGTCATCGTGATCATCAACAATTGTACTATAAATCATGTTATTAAGATTAAATTGTTATTAAGATTAAATTGTTATTAAGATTTAATTGGGGCTATAATTGGACGGATCGAAAACCAGACGTAGAGTTATAATTTGAAAGCACCATGTGATGTGATACTAATTTATATTTTTAACGTGAATATCCTTAGTTCCGAAACGGCCGTGGTGTGTTGGTGTGATCGATCAGCACTTCAGCACAGCATCAGCTCTGGACCCAATATTCAACCTTGATAGTCAGCAAGCCGTTTCGATTAGCCTAAAGCTTAGTTCTACGGTAGTCTGTGAGTTACTTTATGGAAATAATCATTTTTTATGCCGACGACCCGATTGGCGTTGTGGGTAGTGCACCCTGCCTCTTGTGCCAGAGGGTGTGGGTAAATTGGAAGAATTTAAAAAAGTGGAAAAATATTGTGTAATGAACATAGTGTTTTTCCAGTGTCTGGATATTTATATATTTACAAAAGAAAAGTATGTTTATCGGTTATCTAATATCCATAGTGCCTAACAATGGGTTATTATGTATTGTATTACACACACACAATGCATAGACAGACACATAATCTTAATTGCACAAATTAATAAAGTAAACTTAATTAAGAAAGCAATGGAAATATAATTATAACATTACTATTACCACTTTGTACTATTGCTGAATGTTTTGCTGATGCAAAAAGAAGTTCTTGAAAATATTTTTAAACGCTTATTCGTTACGATAGGTACCGCAAAACTAACTCGTGATTTTGTCGACTATAGAATTTTCTGTGAAAAAATAACTGCTTAAAATAACAATAGAAAACAAAGATAGACGAATGATGAATTGGTAGTTTGGAGCGGGTGGTTTAACTTTTTGGAGCTGGTGGCCACAAAAAGCCAAGCCAAGTAGCTAAATTATACGCTGCCAGTATTGCGATCTGCGTGACGCGACCAGACGCTGTAACCACTAAGCTAAGCTAATACAATTTTTATAATCAGAAGATTCTTTATATAACAAAATTTTCTAAACGTATAATATATTCTAAATTTCGAAAACAATTCAAGAGCAGCAATTAAAAGGAAAACGTTATATTTGAAATTATTTTTCATTTCGGCCAGTGATTTTTACTACTCAGAATTCATATTTTTAAACTCTAAATCAAATTAATTACGGATAGTGACGTTCGACTTCAATGCTTTTAAAGGCTCTGAAACATCCCTGCGTATAAATTTTGCACATCAAAAATGTTGGCAATTTAATTAAACGATTAGCGTGGGAGTATTTTCAAAACGCTATATGAATTTTGCACTCTAAAAATCTGTCATACAGTATAAAAAAGGTAATCACGGTTAGCAACTCTTATTATATGAACTTCGAACGGAAAATAAAACAATAAAAAGTTTTTATTCTTGAAAATTTGAAAAATAAAGGCATATAATGCTGTTATAAAATATCCATGAAAAGGGTATAAAATGAAACGTGTTAAATAAAGGTTCACCAAGCGTTATGCAATCAGTAATAAAATTTTCCAAGAAAAAAAAACGTTTTCATGAAACAGGAATATGTTAATCCGATCAATACTCACTTTCATTTGGACGTTTCAAGAATCTTGGCAATTATTGAATATAATACATCTTTTATTGGGTGGCAATCGAGCTGACGGTTCACCTGATGTTAAGTGATAACCACCGTCCAATGACATTTGCAACAGCCCAGTAAAGTGGGTCCCGCCTACCTCGCTCAGCAGACGAAACACAGACAGTCTTCTGTGCAACCGTGAGGGACCTTACTCGGACTGACCTGCCCAACAGCGAGTGTTGCGTGGCCCTATGGCAGTTGTGATACTAAGCCATCGTCTCTATCAGAATTCTGTGGATGAACGCTAGCGGCTAATACTTTTATCATTATGGTAAATAATAACTCACTTTTTATCTTCAAGTGATGTAACTTAATTTATTTTAATTTTAGGAAAGTTATGATTAAACACATATATTTTTGTATTATATCCAAACATAGAGGCAGAAATATTACAGCTTCAACACGAACTGCGGTAACATTTATGTTTCAAAAATGCCTTCAAAACCTGCATTTGTGGTCACAAATTTCACGAGCAAAATTTTTATAAGTATTAGGACCTTCCGCCTCAGTGGAACAACTTTGTTTGTGGAACACAAGTAACGGCCACTAAGTGGGAAACGATGAATAATTTCAAACGACTACGCCGTTTTGGGAACAACCCTTTTAATAACGGAGCTAATTCGCGGAGAAAAATAATCAAATAAATAAAATCACTTCTCGTTTTTTTACTGTCATCAAAAAAAGAAAAGGTTTTTCTTTTCATGAACAGTAACACTGTGACACGCTTCGAAGTTTAACACTCTACGCGTGACAAATTAGTTAAAATAGTTATATAATGTTCTCTTAACATCAACAAGTATAAAGATTTTTTTTTTTCTATACGATAAGACTCTTCATTAGAAGACTTAACGCGACGAGTGTTCCATTTTGGCAACATTTCAAACGAACGCTGCAGATGTCGCGCGCTTTTAAACTAGTTAAGAATTTCTGGATATATCGCAAGGTATAATATAATAAGACAATTTACTTTATTTATTTTATTGCATTTATTTTAGGCGGGATTTATTTTATTCCGTTTATATTAGAGTTCTTAACCAATGAGGCCTAACGGGCTTAATATAAATCCTAGTATCGTGCACGATTAATCTTTTAATAAGAATTATCTCACATACGTTTTGAAACTGATATATGGCTTTGAAGTTATAGTTGGCTTAACTATCCACGTATCAACGTCTCATAATCAAAAGAATAAAATTATTATTTTTTATTATGAGACTACGAAGAAAGAACATATTTCGGTGAAATAAGCTTCCATTCATCGAAATGACCGCATAAATTTATGAGCGCGTCTTGAAATTTTTACACTTAAAGTATCTTTAGCTACTTACAACTTACGCATTAACTTTAATGCGGAATGCCTTTATGTTAATTTAAATCGACCACGAATAACCTTGTGTTAGGTGTGTATAGATGTGGTAAGGCCACAGTCTTCGATGTTGCATACAACAGTCTTCGCTGTTGAACGAAGGGGCAAGTTCGTCCTAGCAAGTACGGTTACACTTCTACGTTTCGTGTGGTGAGTGAGGTAGTCAGGTCCCATTTTATTAAAATCGAAGGCGATGCATCTGTTACTCTACGAGTGTTGGAATGTCCATGGGTGACGGTTATCAGTTAACATCAGTTGCACCGCTAGCTCAATTGCCCACTTCTCACATAAAAACGCACTAATATATACCTTAGATAAGTAAACCAAAAATTAAAATAAATGGTTTATATACCATTTATTTTAATTTTTGGTTTACTTTAAGGCGGTATTCCGTGTTTGTAATCATCTATTTCCACATATATCTTATCATTAAGTTAGTCAAATGTCAGGTTATTTATGTCTAGCAAAGCGTCTATAGACATATTTATAAAGAAACTCGAAAACTGTTAAAACAAGCGAATGAATGTCGCTGAATGTCGCTGGCGCCCTGCCAGTATCTTCTCGGTTATTATGTTAGCTATTATTGAATTGACGTTTGTTGTGTGAATGGAATTTGCCAAAATCTTATCATGCCATCGCCCATTACACACGATGATTTTTTCTAATGATCTCATTCAACAAACTATGACTAAGTCCCGCTTCAAACAACATAACTTCATGAATACATTGCTATCACAATGTTAGTGCATAAACACTAAATTTGAATTTTATCTTATTTGTTTTTTTTTATTTTTTATTTCAGGCACTCTGTGGACTCGGTCGCGTCGTATTCTAGCCAGAATCACGTGGACCGTATAAGGAGCCAAAATTTCTCAGCGGTTTCTTGTCACGACGAGGACTTCGGGTCGATCAAGACAAGCCTTTTCAGGCGCTCCACGTCCAACTTGGACTGCTCGATCAAGCGACCAGAGAGCGTCACGTCAAACGCAAGCTCAACAAGAAGCCGCCTTCGAGAACTTGTCGAGAGAAAATCGAGTTGCGACCAGGACAAAACCGCGGCAAACACAGTCGCCGATATCCAGTACTTTGAGAATCCAACGGAGACGTTAGAGTTCGACAACCCAAGGAACTCGCTCGACTCGAGGAAGAGCCAAGAAGAACGTCCCAAGAAGCGGAAGATTTCGAAGGGCAAAGAAAAAAATAAAGATACTTGCGAGAACAAAAACAAAAAGCACGAAAAATACCAGAGCAAATTAGCGGAATACTACAAACTTCCGGTACAATTACCGCAAGACGAATTTTATCAACATCTGACGAGATCAAGAGCTGCAGAGGAGCTTCTACAAAAACGTTTTGCGAATTCAGACACTGAATTCAGTGGGAACTACGGCAGATTGTGCAAGCATAAAGAAATTGAAGGCTCTAATCTTAGACGAAGTAGAAGTTTGGCTGTAATAAGAGAAGAAACTTTTACAGATCTTCAAATACAAAATCACGCCAAGAACAAAAGGTCACAGTTGATTCCCAGGGCGCGCTTGTTTGATAAACCTTGCTTTAAAGACAGGTAATGGTATTCATTTGCATTATTTATATTTTTTTAAAAGAAACATTATCCCATTGTTGGATAATTTTATTCTTGAATCGAACCCATGACTCTCGGTACCAATCTATTATTTGTTAATGTTCACAAGAGCTACACAGCCTGCTCTTCTAGGGAGAAAGAGTTTAAACAATGTTTGATTTAACTACATGCAAATAATAACAGAATAAAATATAAGTGAGTAAGCAGCACAATAACCGTGTTGATGGTGCCAAAGTCGCCTTTTGTTTTTAGATCTAAAATAAATATTATAACCATAACACAAACTTTAAAATTAGATTTTATTTTCATTAGACATACCTAAAGGCCAGTTTTGTAGGTTTTCCATGTTTCCATTAAAAAAAAAATATATATAATATCTTTAAAATAATGAAAGCTGTTTTTAAATTAACAAAATGTCGTACGCTTTATTTCGTTAATCATAACCTAGGAAAAACAAAAATTGTCGTTTTCATTATTTTGTTAAATCGTGTTTTTAATCCATTTAATTCTATTGAACGGTTACAGGTTACCAGGTCGAGCGAAATATCAAACAAAGGAGGAAGTATTGGAAGGTATTTACATAGATAGCACCGCATCTTGTTTTGGCGATATAAACAGATCTAAAGTGGATGACATTGAAGACGACATAGACGATATCGGATTAGAAAAAGAAGACACTGCATCTCAAAACGGTAGCGTTAAATCTCATTCCATAAGTGGAAGTTGGCCCAACTTAAATGAGGATTCGAGGCAAATAAATCTTTCTGAAGACAGCATTGGTCATTCACGAAATCCGAGTGAAATAGATAGCCTAGATTCGAATTACGTACGAAAACATTACAACTTTGAAGCTCATTTAAAAAATTGCAAGGACAACTCGGACACTGAACATTCAGGTATCTCCGCAAATACTAACAAAGAATTATACATTTCTAACAACGATCGCGATAGCAACGACGAAGATAAAAACAGAACAAATTGCAAATCTCTTCCTTCCACAAGTAATAACCTTGCTGTAGCAGAGGGCGACAAAAGTAGTATCGATTTGAACGAAACATTTCAGAAAAACGATAACGATTCTTATGACGAAATTTCGATAAGAAGTAAAAACAGTGCGAAACAAGAAAACAAGGAACTAGCGGATGCTACGGTAAACAATATTGTAAAGGAAGAAATAGACACACAATCTGTTATCTCAGAAAGCGACGAAACTATCTCAAGCCCCCCTGATAGCATAACTTCATATATATCCATATCTATAGCATCGTCTACCGATAAATCCCAAAAATTAGAACATTTAGCAAATTCATTAGCTGAGAAAATAGACGAATACTGTGAAAGCCACTTTACGGAAAATATTTCAGTTCATTCTAATCAATGTACTATCGACAATAGATCAGACAACAATATCACAGATCCCGTGTACACACAAGTACAGAAAAAAACATTTGCCGATATAAGGAAAACATCGAACAAAGAAGATAAAAGTCACTGTAACGAATTATATATTACTAATACATACATAGAAAACGGTGATCACAATAAGAAAAGTAATTGCACTTCAACTAAAAATATAACAACTGAACCATTTGTAACTACACTTATAGAAAACCAATATTACTCCCTGCCCGATATTAATATAAGTCTATGTTTAAGGAAATCAGAACGTATAGACGCACAATTAAGGGAAGAGGATAAAGAAGATATACCGTGTGAATCTACTTACGAAATAGCTCAAAATAATTTTCGAGAAATTTTATGTGCAAAAGGTAATGAAAGTTACGGACAGCTGAATAAACCTAAGAATAATTATCAACATATTGAATCAAGTGGAAACTTGATCGTTCCAGAATACTCAGAACCACATACAGTACACAGTTTCTCTAACTTAGACGAAGACTTGAAGTCCATAATAACAACAGAAAGTTCTAACGTTGATGATCTAGACGAAAATTTTTATCACTCAGATGCTCATCACCAAAACGAAAGAGAAATTAATGAAATAGAAGGAACAATACGAAATAATAAGGTTATAACTAAAGCTGAAAGCCTGAAACTTTACAGCTCGACATTAAAACCAGATGTAAAGTTATCTAAATCTTTATCAAACGATAACATCAACCAGACCATATTAGAAAAGAAACATAAAACTAACATAAGAAAACATTATTCACTACGTCAACGCGATCCTACTAATGACGAAAGCCTTAGGATCCCAAGCCCAGAGACTGTAGAAAGAACACTGCGTAATTATTCTGAGACTCAAAAAGTTAAATCAGTACTAATTGAAGAACCAAAAGCTAATACTCTTTTATCACGTGTACAGTCATTTAAAACATCTGCGGAGTCCAACATTACTATAGTACCCCTCAGTGGGCACCAGACAATAGTAATTGATCCTCCAATAATACAAAATTTACTAGAGCCAAATAGTCAAGCAATCAAATCAGAAATACATGAAATTAAACCACATTTGAGAAAAACAATAAACGAAGCGGAAACTATAACAAACATACATCAAAACAGCTTAAAAAACGCAAAAGAATTAGAAAAAGCAAACTCTCAAAGTTGTCTTGAAACTTTAAATTATTGCACTCCAAAGGATCCATTTATTACAATAAAATTAAATAGAGTTGTTAAGAAAACGATACCACAACTTTCAAAAGATACGTCCGATAAAGCTGTTTTTGAACAACTGCAAATAGATAAAGTTCCACCTAAGATATCAATCCAGAACAAGGATAATTTTACAACATTTACCAAAAGCAATAAAATGACACGACCACAGATTTTACAAGTTGTTGATTCGAAAAATAGACATCAAACATCAACTAGTGATAAAACAGAAAACATTAATAAGGAGACTACTACTACTAGTAATACTATTACCAACTTTAACAAAATTTATAATGGGAAACAGATAACAAAAGATGAAATTTCAGAAAACAAAATTGAATTTACTGCTAAAGAAAAGCTCAATAATGCTATAAAAACTGATATAGAATATCAAGAAAAAATAAATTCCGTTAAAAATTATTGGTCAAAATTAATAGAAAAAAATCCGGAGTCTATTAAAAAATCAGACATTAGTGAAAATGAGGTCAGTTCAACATCAACAAATGATATAAACTCAAAGGAAATACATGAACTAGAAAAAGATGATACAAAGTATGAACCGGAGATATCAGTAGGAAAAATCATCAAGTCTTTAGAAAATGTTAAAATTGTTGATAGTATCAGGAAGGTAAGTCAAAACAAGTTGCAGCTATGGAAGGACGAAACCGAGAAGGTAAAAAGTGATTCCGAAATTGAAGAGACGACTGTACAAAAAATTGTAAAAGAAAGCGAAGGAACAATTTATGACAAGCCTCAATTCATTAAAACCAGAAACGAAGAGTTAAATCGAGATACTCCAGAAATAGAAATAGTAGAATTAAGTAACGAAGACAATCAAAACCATAAGACCCAAGCGACTATAATAAAGGCCAAAGGTTACGAAAAAGGATGTGATGAATTTGATCACGTTCGATATAAAGTAATGAAGTCTGAACTATTCAAAAATAGTATGATTGCAAATTACCGAAAAGAAGCTCAGTTCGATGGATTACTACAATATTTGCAGGACTACAGCTTCCAAGAACTATTAGTTAATAACAACATAGTAATTATCGAACCAGTAAGAACCAAAGTTGAGCCCCTGCCAAGAAAAAATAAAAATCCCGATCCATGTAAGATCCCACCATCACTCTTAAAGAAAAATGAGAATAATTCAGGGCAAGTGGATAAATCGAAAAATGCCATAAAGCGACATTTCTTTTATCATCCCATTAGAGTCAATAAAGAAATAATAGAAGAAGAGCTTCCGAATCCTGATACTGTGAAAAAAGTACGTAATTTATTCGAGGATACCTTAAAAATGAAAACGCCTACTAGCCATGATCCACCATTAGTCGATGAAACAGTAAAATTAACAAGACGAGCAACGTCCTACAGAAACTTAAATGAAGAGACTAAATCTAATAAGGTTAGTGGAAGGAAAAAGGTTATCCGTCAATTAACAATCGATACAAACTATGGAAATAAAAAGTGGGATAATGCCAGTCTTTCAAGCGGAGTGTCTAGTGGCGATTTAAGTTCTAACAACGAATACGAGCCTGAAGTAATTGGACCATATTCTAGTAAGAATTTAAAGGACAATGTATACAGTTCCAGTGATGAATATATTTGTGGTTCCATAAACCAAGATTTTTGTTGCGAAAGCCAATATGTTAGTCCTGATATTTTAAAGAAAATAAGAGACTGTGGAACATCTGTAACTTATTATGGAGGCAAAGTGTTAAACTCTAAAACTGGCTCATCAGTAAGCCCTATGACCAAAGCTATAATGGATGAAATAAAAAGTCTACAGAAAAATTGTAGCAGAGATTGCTACTCTTGTCAAACTAAGTGCAAGGGAGATAAATGCTCATGTCTTGAGGCAGATAAACACAGACAGATGTTAGCTGAAAAACAAACTTCAATCGTTACAGAAGCAATTTTCACTCAAAATCAAGAAAAAAGTAGACGCTGTGATGGATTTCCGGGGTTTAAATTTAAACTTGTTAAATCTAATAGTTGCAGCAGTAGATTAGAATTGGCCGGTACAGACGAAACCAAAAACCCCAGACTTAAATACAGAAAACAAAAATCTACAGAAGATCCGCCACTAGTTCATGATGACGAAAATTCTGTAAAAAATAAAATTAGCCGTCTAGAAAGTTACAACAAAGGTATTGTTAAGACTCCATTTGAAAACAAAAACAAGGAAGAAACAAAACGAACGAATACAAAAGAAGAACCTTACAAAGTAAGTGAAACAAGAAACAAACAACCGGTACTAGCTTCTGGACAAGAAAGCACGGTAATTGCTATTAAAGAAACAGATAATGTGAGAAGATATTCTGATCAATCTACAGAAATGTCGAAGAATCTATCACAGCCGGAAAAAGAAATTGAAGATGATCCCCATAGTTTTGAAAAAAAATTTTATTACCTAAATGAAAATTTAAATCAAAGTCATTTTACAGCGGGAAAATTTGGGGAGATGGTCTTTGAAGAGTTTGAAGTTTTAGAGTCGTGTTATGATAGTTTGAATAGCAATAAGTCGTTAAAATAATAATTGTTTTTATTTTATTCTTACATTAATTGTGATCTATAATCAAAGAAAGCTATTAAATTATTGCTTGTAAATTAAAAGTTTATATAAATATTTAGCCTAATCGTGTAAGTTTTAAGTTTATCGAAAAGTATATTAAATAACGATTTTCGAACGACGTACTATAGTTTTGGTGACGGTCCCTTCAGTTATTGTAATAAACGATTAATAACTGTTATGTTGTTATTTTACTACTAAGCACAAAAATCTCCTTAATTTCTAAGAATCTCCTACTTTTTATCTTCATAATATAAACCTTACCGTCTGATTTTTCGGGATCCACTTTTGTGGGTGCATTTTTCGAGCCATGAACACAAACGCTAGTGAAGATAGAACGACGTGAAGGTCGCCAGCGCCGACACCACGATTCCTGGTAACAAAAAAATTACATTTGTCATAAAACACGAACATACACAGATTAAAATTAACTTGAATAAAATCCTAATAATCGAAAATTATTCTAGTCCTATAGTAACTTTAACCAAATTATTCTTAACTACGAAGAGAATAAAATCGAAAGGCAGCTCATAATAAGGTCTATAAATAAAAGAAGAATATATTGATTCGTCGAAGTTAACATCTATGGATCTTTTTTTTTATGTGATAAAGTGGCAAATGAGCTGGCGATTCTCCTGATATTAAGTGATAATCACCACCCATGGACATTTGCAACACCCGTAGGGTTGCCGGCTACCTCACTCACCAGACGAAACGCAGAAGTGTAATACTTATACTTCTACTTTACGTCTTCCGTGAGGACTAACCCGGGCGGACCAGCCCATTCGTGCAACAGCGAACACTGTTGCGTGGTCCTACCACCGTTATAGTTACTAACTAGTCTAATAATAAACAGGAGACATCGCCCGTGTCCATAGCACAATTTGAATTTCAATCACAATACTTGATGTATATTTTTCTTCTACACCTTAGTAGAAACATGCGTAAAGAAACAACTCAAGCTTAATGTTTATTAGGTGTATGTTTTGTATGGACAATGTGGATCGTCTGCGTGTTGGGTTTTTACGGGAAATTGAGTTAAATTAAGTACAAATGTTTCTCTACTATACATGTAGTATATATTTATAGAGATATATATATTTATAGATATATATATATCTATATATTTATAGTGTTCAGTGTGCGGGAAGTCGATGGATGCAGGTGGCTCAAGATCGTACTTAGTGGCAGTCTGTGGGGGAGGCCTATATTCAGCAGTGGACTCAAACTGGCTGTAATGATGATGATGATGATTTATAGTGTCAATGCCAACGCCACAGTACCGAGTAGTCTATGATAATGATGATAAAGCCAAAAAGTGGCACAAGTACGCCTCGATAATGTAGCTTCTACCAGCTTGCCAAACGCGATTTTTTACTATTTTTTATTATTTTTTTACTAATTAATTTTTATAGGTGATAAACATTTTATTAGTCACGTAATATTAGGTTGGGGAAAAAGTCTTTTCGCAAATATTATGTATGTACTTATAACTTAATTTCTTTGGCTATACCATTGGTATCTGGCTGGTTTTGGTATCATTAAAAAGTTTAAATTTTAAAAAAGATAATTCCAAATTCAAATGAGGCAAATGTGAGATTTTCATTTGTTTTTTTTTACTGTTAAGATGAGGGATTCTAAATAAGAAATTCGATACATTTTAAAATTTTACTACTAAAAAGGAAAAATGCAACGCAAGCCGCGAAAAAAAATTGTGATATTTATTATGTTCTAGTGCAGTGCAGTAGCACAAATTTGGTTTAAGCGTTTTCAATCCGGAAATTTTGATGTCGAAGATGCCGCTCGCTCTGGGCGCCCTGTTACGGATAAAATGGATGCCATTTCTGAAAAAGTGGAGCAAGATCGGCATATTAGTAGTTACGATGTAGCAGAAGAACTAGGAAATGACCACAAAACTGTTTTGGCGCATTTGAAAAGAAATTGGGTACACAAAAAAGCTCGATATTTGGGTGTTTCATGAGCTCACTGAAAGAACCGTGTTCTCATTTGTGATTCTTTATTACGACGTAATAAAACCGAACCATTTTTGAAAAACCTGATAACTGGTGATGAAAAGTGGATCACGTACGACAAGAACGTGCGAAAAAGATCGTGGTCAAAGGCTGGTCAGGCTTCACAGACTGGCGATACCCGGGCTATCTCGCAACAAGGTAATGCTGTGTGTATGGTGGGATTGGAAGGGCATTATTCATTATGAGCTGTTAGCGCCAGGCAGGACCATTGATTCTGAACTCAACTGCGAACAACTGATGAGATTAAAGCAAGAAGTTGGGAGAAAGCGGCCGAAATTAATCAACAGAAGTAGTTTTTTATCATGATAACGCTGGACCTCAAATATCTTTAGCCACTCAGCAATAATTAAGAGAGATTGGCTAGGAGGTGTTAATACATCCGCCGTATAGTCCTGACCTTGCACCTTCAGATTTCCACCTGTTTCGGTCTCTTCAGAATTCTTTAGGCAGTGTCAGGTTAACATCACGAAAGGACTGCCAAAATCACTTGTCGCGTTTTTTTGATCAGAAGCCCCAGAATTTCTATAGCAATGGGATATGTCCCTACCTACAAGATGGCAGAGTTATCGAACAAAATGTCATCGACATACTTTAGTTAAATGTAAATAAACTTTATAAAAAAATGTTTAGAATTTTCATATGAAATGCGAAGAAACTTTTTCCCCAACCCATTATTTAATGTTTAATAATATTATAACATGAAAATATAGGGAACAGCCTAATTATGAAGACACGCCAGGACTTTGAAATGTTTTCATTTGTTACCATACCTATACCACTAAATCACGATCTATTTTATAATTTCGATTTTATGAATGAAACTTTATCAGTTACCCGCGATCTTATCGAGAATCAATTATAGTGAAGCAGTCGGTTATACAATAATCGTAACGATAAACGCTTACGTTATTGCTATCACAATCGTCGACGTGTAGAGAATGCCTCTCAAGGAGGAAGTGTTAAGCTCAAGCCACACTACTATGGAGTGAAGGCGAAATTTTATAGCACATATATATTTTAGTAGCAAATCTATATATACAGATACTGAGCAAAGACCAGTAGTGGTTGAGCATGGTCCACCACAGGGCCTCAATATTGGATATGGTTTTGAGAGGATTTTTATAGTTTTTCACCTATTCTTTTTTATCACTTCATCTTGAGTGTTTAATTGATCAACACTATAATTCAAATGAACTAATTCTTTAATGTCAGCCGAAACAAACCACTCTTAATGTTCCTACAATGTAATTGATTATTAATACTTGATTAAAAATATTATTTTATAAATCTTATTTAAATCAAGGATTGGGTGAATGATGCCACATGTGACAAACTCAAACCAGAAAAATTATTCTATACTAAGTTTGCTTGAAAAGCATCTTACAAGTTATAAACTTCGATTTAACCAACACTGCTATGAGCAATTGACAATGGATTGGCAAATAGGTTCTCATAACTTAATTTTATCACATTGCCAAATATAATTTACATGCTGAATTCTGACAAATTAAAATTAAGCAATAACACTTTTATACTTTTATACAAATTTATTACTTTTCACACAGTTACTTCAATTATAAACTTTTCTATACTAGGGAGACAGATAAATAATTCCTGACTTCCATGTTCATAACCAATAATAATGTGGCATGATCTTTATCTGGCTTTTGAACTTGAACCAGTAATGACATTCAAAACAACAATAATAATGTCCCCAAAAACTAACACAAACACTGTGTTCAGAATATTAAATAAAATTAGTTAAGTGATTCATAAGTGTGTTATGTTTATCCTAGCTATAAAAAACTATTGAAAAGAATTTTTCCCTGAGTGGCCAATTCAATTGCACTTCATATTATTTTAATTGAAATTCAATTTTCCTTAGGGAGATAAATGGGTAGGCAGCCAGTAGTAACTTTACATTATAATTGTTGTATTTGTCGGTACAACATTCATATATTGTTGTACCGACCCCAAATTTGTAGGATAGGAAAGAGAAGGAGTATGATGACGAAATGCTATTTAATTATTGCACTTACTTTGTTCACTTTAACACTAATGTTTTTACTAATAAGAATACAAATTTTGCTGTAATATATTGCTTGCTGTACCAATATATATTATCCAATGCTTTCCCTTTTTTTGACCAATGGCCTTTGACTGATATACTGACAATTATTGGTGATGATAAACTATCAATAATTGCTGTTTGATCTAGACTTAATCATCAGCATGTCATTTGGATTCAGACCTTCCTGCTTTCTCATTCTTATTATGACTGTTGTGTAACAGTAACTGCCTTCATAAGAAATATCAAAATTTAATTTTTATAATTACAAGTATAATTAAATTTTCCAATTAAGAAACTCAACTGAGAAAAGATAATAATAAATTGGTATTAAAGTTGAATTTTTTAGTGGAAGCTTTTCCTTAAATTAAATCCACAAAATTGTAGTAATATGTAATTCTATTACCACAAGATATAAAGATAAATTAATGTAAGCAAAATTTTGATAAATTTAAATACCTTCTGTAATACGGGAAAAATTAAAAATAATATGACAGGAGTTAAGAGACCATAAATAGACCCAAATAATGTTAAACAAGGCAGCTTTATCAATTTTTCGAAGTAATTTAAGTTTAACATACTGACAAGAAATAGGAATGATAAGGATAACCCTAAAAAAGTTTATGTAAAAACCAAGTTTAACTCCACATTAAAAGTTGTTAATACGAAAGTATTGAAGATGATCTGATTAGACTTTAGGCATTTTTAAATAACATCCTGTCACTGTTTCCATACCATTTTATATGGATAAAGAAGTAAACGAGTGATTAGAACAAATTTCAGAAGAAAAAAAACGTATGACGTTTGACAGCTGCTTTAAAAATAAATATCTATATCTACACACTGCTTTTGAAATAATCGAGAAATTACGGTCTTCTATGAAAACTATCAAAATAAATGCATTATTACACTAACTTCTTTAGATACTTACCCTATTATTTGACAAATCTCTAAATATCGACGACAAACACAACCCACGATTTATTTCTAATTTCGCTAAGAGACGACACCTAGAAACACACACCGTCGACGCCATCTTTACACTATTTGAGTATTTGATACATAAGTACACCCGCCCAAAGACCAGTGACTGCTATGGTATGTAGGTACGTATCTCTATGTTTAGTAGTTACGGGCCAGTGCGCCATAAAATATCTTATGAAACTTTAAATACCTAATGCAAAATAGTCAAGGTTTTTATTTTTGTATGTATGGTGCCATATTCATTGAATTTCAATCAACGTTCCCTCAATTCTCAAATCATGTTAATATTATAACTGATCATGGCGTTTACTTTTAATAATTAATGCACCAAGTATGTACACTGTATCATTTAATACATATTTTTTGGCACAAGAAAACTAACTTTATTAAATATCCTGACAAGACGTTTAAAATTTCGCGCCTTGATATAGATATGTTGGTAAAAGTAGAAAAGAAATTGGATGCATTCATTTCACTGAATTTTGATAGTTATTTAGTTAACTTAAGTTATTTAAAGATATGTATAGTTTATTTCTCCCCTTTATTTTAGAGATAAATATAACTTCCTCTGTGAAATTTCGAATAAAAAATATTCTTTTGTAGTTAGATGTATTGCAAAATATGCTTTTTCATAATGTATTTTTTACCTTCAATACTCCACTTCAACTTCATACTTTTATTTTTGTAACGATTTTGTATAAACTCTGTAAGACATATACAGCACATCACACACATTACACAAACACTTTCTTATTTGCAATTTGGCAATGGCAATTTCTCTATTCAATGTCAACATGACATGACAACTTGTTCGTTGTTGTTCGTTAGGGTCTATTGTTGCTGTTTCATCTTTATTGCCTATTTAGTTCAAGTAATTTGTAAATTCCGATGGCTATACCTGATTACAAACTTAGTGCCGTATTGTGTGGGCACTCACTTGATGTGCGTTGTGTGGCAACTACCAAAGAATTTTGTATTTTATCTGCTTCACGCGATAGAACTGCCAAGTTATGGCACCCGGAAGGGTTAGCTTATTTTAATACTTCTTTTGTTCCCGATAATGTTGATAAAAGCGCATCAAAACATTAATGCTCTTGTTTAAACGGAGGTTTAGTTTCTGTTCTATTTCTCTCATTACGAAAAAATATAAGTTAACTTTTCTGCAGCACTTAAATAAGACAAAAATTATAGTATTCCATTAATTTTCGCAGGGTGAAAGATTATATTAATGTTGTAACATACAAGGGCCATAATAACTTTGTTTCATGTGTATGTTGGTTCCCACCATGTGAAGCATACCCTGAGGGGGTTGTTGTAACGGGTAGCAATGATAATACAATTATTGGTTATAATTTACAAGATGGTACAATTCTATTCACCCTGAAAGGCCATGAAAATGCTGTATGTAGTGTTTCGCCAAGCCGTGATGCTGGGACTCTTCTAAGGTTTGTATATTACCTTAATGTGATTATAATTGTTATTTATTTCAAACTAAAATCTACATAGTCACCCACTTATAATAGATAATATTGATGAGCAGCAGCTATCTTTATCTATCTTTACAATTAAAAGATGTGATTTTTTTAAATTATAGTATGAAACAAATAAATTTATGAAATCCATAACTAAAATTCTTTGTAACTTATCACTTTTAAATGAACCTGTTTTTAAAAAAAAAACAATATCCTCATGAAATTTATGTTACAGATTAAATATAATTTTATTTATTAAAGTTAATTTCTTTTGTTTGCAAGAATAAATAAATGTATTTACTTTATTAGTTCAAGTTGGGACAGCACTGCAAAGGTTTGGAATGCAAATAACATACACTTGGAGCCCTTGACTCTAAAAGGCCATGAAGCTGCTGTTTGGGCAATTGTGGAGCTTGGTTGTGGCACATATGCTACAGCATCAGCTGATAAAACCATCAAGTTATGGAAGAGGAGTGGAGAATTAATTTCTACTTTAACAGGTAAATCTTGTTAATATTTCACTTCATGCTTTCTTGGACTAAAACCGTTGAAGTAAAGTTTAATGTTTTCTCCATATATAGGCTAAGTTACGTGAACTACAGCAACCTTAAATAAAAACTCATATAAAGGATAACTTTTTAACTTGTATTAAACATTTACTTTACAGAAACTTTTTTAAAGATCAATATTTACAGTTATTTAATTTTTCAAAACAAATAATTTTAGAACACCCCTACAAATAAAACTGTAACCTAAAGTTAATTTGTAAAGGTTACAAACCATATGAATTGGTTGAATGAATTTAAAAGAGATGAAACATATTGTTAGAAAGAGAGGCTTGTAATGGGATGTTATGGCAACAAATGAAAAAGTCTCTGAAAGTATGAATCAGCCCCTTGTAATTGTATAGGATGTTACAAATTTTGTTTCATTTTTATTTAATTAGTAAATTTCAATTTAATTCATTTTTATTTTGTTTGAAAATATTTTTTTTAATTATTGATTTTTTTATGATTATTATCAAGTAGCGTTAGAAGTGTGTTCATTTAAGGTTGCATTTGTAAAACCATACTGTATAATATAGTACACATGTATAAAAGTTCATTCATTGTTATACAGTGTGTCCTTACCATCGCGACAATAAATGAACACACGTCTAACGCTACTTGCCAATAATCATAAAAAGTTATTAACATTAAACAAAATCCATAATTAAAAAAAATATTTTTCAAACAAACTAATTAAGTAAAAAAGAAACAAAATTTGTAACATCCTGTACAACTCGCGCCATAGCGTCGCATTACAAGCCTCTCCTTCTAACAGTATGTTTTGTCTCTTTTAAATTCATTCAACCCATTCATATGCTTTGTGACCTTTACGTTACAGTTTTATACGTAAGGGTGTTCTAAAATTGTTTGTTTTGGAAAATTTTATAACTCGGTAAATATTGATGTATAAAGAATGTAAATGTTTAATACAATTTTAAAAATTTATCCTCTAAATGTGTGTTCATTTATTGTCGCGGTGGTAACGACACGCTGTATATACTTGTGTTTCAGGGCATACTGATTGTGTAAGAGGGCTTGCAGTTGCTACCAATGAGACATTTTTAAGCTGTTCCAATGATGCATCTGTCAGATTGTGGACTAATAAAGGGGAGTGCCTTAATACTTACTATGGACATTCAAATTATATTTACAGGTTAGAGTTTAACATTCATAAAACCATTAATGAACTAAAATGTTTCTAAAAGAATATAACTTGATATAGACTTTTTATTCTTTTGAAGCTACAAAAGCTTACATAATACACATAAAAGCTCCTGGCATTTAAATGCAGCAGTTAGACTGGGGCAATGTCTCGCAGAAAACCTGTGTGAAGTAAAGGTTTTTAGCTATTAGGAAACACACATTCTCAATTCCTGGTCAGCTTTTGATATGCCTGCAGCAACTCTGGTTGTGTATTAATGGCTTATTCATGGCACAAACCTCACTTGTTGTGCTTTTGAAATAGAAAAGTTGATAACAAGCTGAATCCCTTGTTGGTACTGCTGTAAAATTTTGTTCTATATATACACAATTTAAATATAAATTTTTCCTTTATTTGTTATATGTATAGTCCCTGATAAATCGAAGTAGAAGCACTTGATAATGTTGAATATTCAATTGCATATTCGGCTATAAATTTTATTTTACTGTTGTTTTAATATTTCAGTATTAGCATAAACCCAGGTGTGCCTAACAGCTTCACAACATGCGGTGAAGATGGTACAGTCCGTTTGTGGCTTAGCGGTGACTGTATTAGAGAGATTCACTTGCCCGTACAATCTGTTTGGAGTGTAACATGCCTGGACAATGGTGATATTGTTACAGGTATTTGCCTTATTATAACATTTTGTATTTTGTGTGGAAAAGGTTCCCACTACCAATATCTATCATAGTCTTCCCTTCGACTTGGCAACTGCAATAGCGGAGTCATCATATCATACCACACTCCCAAACCTTAATATTTTTCTCAAAATCAAACAAAACATGGATTTTAAAAAAGTTTTGCATAGGTGTTTAGGATTTGCAATTTCCTGTCTTAAATTTTAACTGTGGCAATATTATTAATTTTTCATGCAGTAAAATAAATTTTATATTAAGTTTTTATAGTGCACTTTAGTTGAAACATTCAAATTTGTAGAAGAAATGGACGAAAATATTTGCGAATAGATTTTCACCACTGCTGTGTTCCATATCCAACCCACAGGTTTGGGATATCCGCAGCGTCGATCGATATAATCTATTCGCCCATTTTTTATTCAGTTTAATATACATGTAGTCATTTTCAAGTCAAAATTATTATTTTGTTCTTGGAATAGTTCAAAAGAAACAGACATTATCTAACAATCAATCATAACTACTTTCTAGGTTCTAGTGATGGAATTGTTAGAGTTTTTACAAAAGATCCGGCGAGATATGCAGATGAGGCAACCCTGAAAACTTTCGAAGATGAAGTTGAGAAAATGCAGTTTGCCTCAAAGCAAGAGATTGGCGGTTATAAGCTTTCAGAGTAAGTTTTAACCTGCAAATGTTATATTAATATTAGTGTTGGAAACAAAAAGTATATTTTTTTAAAGACAATGCCCTTACCGTAGGATTACATAATCCTGTGTTGTAAGGACGTTTTACAAACATAAATTTCATGTGGATAAACACCCATATCCGAAACAATTATCTGTGATTCTTAAAAATAGTTCTCCCGTGCGGGAATTGAACCCATGACTACCGTCTCCGAATACCTTAACAACTGCGCCACGGAGTCATGAAAATTGCAGTGATCTTCTCTCGCTTCTTACATTACATTATCACCTTTTGCCCCATCATCCAGATTACCTGGACCCGAAGTGCTGTTGGAGGCAGGCAAAGCCGACGGTCAAACGAAACTTGTCCGACGCGGGAACAATGTCAAGTGTTACTCTTGGAGCGCTGCAGAGGGCGTCTGGAAAGAGATCGGTGACGTCATGGGCGCGAACCCCCCCTCTGAAGGCAAAACCATGTACCAGGGAAAGGTAAACCTAGACGATTATTTATTCCATCATAGCATAAGTCAGACATAACACATAATAGCTTTTTTTCTATCTCCGGCTTCGTTCTTTCCATAACTGTCACAGGATATAAAGTATACTATGTTTTTTGTATTTCTTTCCATTTGAGTTGTCAAGTGAGCAGGTTTATCTGATGTTAAGTGAATACCGCCACCCGTGGACATTCACCACACCTGAGGGCTTGCTGATGCGTTGACACAATTGAGTTTAAAAAAATGAGCCCCGGTTGCCTCACTCACCATATAAAAAGCAAAAGTATAATACTTCCACTTCACGCCAGTCTTTAAGAATATTATCCTACACCAGACAAGCCTATCTCTGCAACAATAGCTTACCACAGTATAATTTACCTTTCGTATATCCATGAAGTACAGGAATTGGATTGATCATTTTACAGGAGTACGATTTTGTGTTCAGCGTGGACATTAAAGATGGCGCCCCACCGATAAAGCTGCCGTTTAACAAAACCGAGGATCCCTGGGTCGCAGCGCAAGCCTTCATTCACAGGTTCAAATTAGTATATTAATTGAAACTTCTAAATACTAATAAAGTTAGTAGACAAGAAAGAAGTATCATCAAATAATACTGATAACATAAAAAAACTTCAATCTTATCATCATTTCCCCTGTGCACCCTATTGCACCCTATTCTTAATATTTTAAAATTATATTTTGTTTCTTAAATGTTTTATTTTATAACAAGTACAATTGTTACTGTTACAGACACGACCTGCCTCAAGTTTATCTCGAGCAAGTTGCCAATTTCATCATAACCAATGCTAAGTTGGACATAATGCCTACAGTGAGTAATGGGTAAGTTATGTTAAATTCAATATTGTTTTATCTTATTGTTTATATGAAGTCCAAATAAAAAGAACTTAATGCTTGCGCCTACAGCACAGGTTATAGGCGAACATGGTCAATTAGAGTTGGCATTGGTTTATAATATATAAGTATAGTTCCGCTTCGCGGAGAGAGCAAAGTAACGTGTCAGTACAGAGACTAATATTTATTTTAAAATGTCGTATTATACTATGGCCACGTTTTAATGTTGGCCACACATCAACCCATCCGGTGAACCGCCTGCTTATTTTCCAACTCTTAACATAAAAAAACATGTACATAGTTTATTACTATTGGCAGTTAGTTTTGTTTCTTTATTAGTCTATAGTTTATTCTGTTCTCTTGATTGGTTGCATTGCGTCATTCTATCGATTGTGAAATTGATTTGTTCCGTTCTACCCTAAATTGATACATTAATGATAATAACCCGTGGGAATGTGTTGATCACTGCCAAGCTATTTCTAAAAGAAAACAAAAATTATAAATAAAAAAAATTTTATGTTTTGAGGCAAAAATATTTTCAAACACGTAGAATATAATTTCAAAAAATATATGACCCGACTGCGTATCTGTGTAATTTGGACATACCCAGTGTCAATCTAACAGTAAATACGACACCTCAAGTTAAAATTCATCAAGCCGTTCAGGCTGCAGAGCGTGCCGAACAATTATACATACATACATATATTCGAAAAACATAACCCTCCTGGCGCAGTCGGGTAAAAAGAGGATACCTACGGAGCTACTCTCGCCTGTTTCTGTTAGAGGAATCTGATTACGAAACGGTGGTAGATTTTGATTTTGGACTCTCCTAACCGCAGATTCGCGGACCCGTTCACCGGCGAGTCGCGCTACGTGCCGGGCTCGGTGCCGGCGGCGCGGAGCGTGAACGCGATCGACCCGTTCACGGGCGCCGGCGCGTACACCACCTCCGCGGTGTCCGCCACCTCGGTGGCGGCGGCCAGCGAGAGGCACTTCATACCCCACGACGCGTACATACGGTGCGTTCACTGCGACCTCCACGCATGTACATGCATGTTTTCAGTAGACCACTGAAGGTCCACTGAAGACCCACTAGGTTCCACTGAAGATCGGCTCTCATGAAGTTTTTTTTTAAACTTCGTGAATTTAACGCTGAGTGTATACCTTTTTGGTGCATTACTATTTAGCATTTAAAATTGTTTTCTCTCTTTGTAACAAAATTACTGTTTTATAATTATAATATTTTTATTTTTTTAATAATTAATCTTTCTTACTTTCTTTTTTTCATATATATATATATATATATATAATTCTCGTGTCACAGTTTTATACTATACTCCCCCATAAGGCCTTGATCGATTTTTATCGGTGGGTCTGAGAATCGGGTTTAATCTATTTTTCATATCTCTGAGAATCGGGTTTAATCTAGTTTTCATATCTCTAAGAATCGGTTGTAATCTATTTTTCATATCCCTATGAAACAAGGGTGGTCCGCCCCAAACATTTTGTTCAACCGTACAGTCTCTAAATTAATTTATATGGCAAAACAATGTTTGCCGGGTCAGCTAATAAAATTATAAATTTTAATAATCCCCCAAACTCTAACACCCCTCTTCTTACGTCGGGTATTAAATGTCTTTGCAACGCCATCTCACTTGGTGCATAGTACTTTTCAACCGACTTAAAAAAAGGAGGAGGTTCTCATTTCGATTATATATTTTTTTATGTTCCTTACCTCAGATCTATGCAGTGAACGCAAATAAACGTGGAAACATCATTGTCGCTCCAAACTGTTTTAGGGATGTAGACTTAGTTGAACTAACAAATAAGTTCATTTTTGTTTGACGTCGCCTGATAACTGTCATTGATAGTTGTGGTGCTATTTATTAACAATCACTTGTATGACCGCATGTGCATCTTCCATGTTTTAGTAGCATTCACTGGATCCATACCATATGTTGACAATAGTTTTAAAGGGTCTTACGTCTTAGCCTTGGATTGACAAATAAGTTTTAGCAACGTTAAGGCTTAATTTCTGGATTAGAAAAAATATAAAATTCCAAATACTACAAAATATAAATTATAATAAAATAGATGATAGTTATATAAAAATGAATCCCTATTTCCCTTTGTGGGACCCATTCGGTAGTAGCTTTGGCCCAAAAGGTGTTAGGCATGCGGCAGACATGACCAGCCCAGTCAAATTTAAGCTTGGCAGCTTTCTGGCCCGCATCGGAAATTCACGGCAGGATTCCCATTGCCCAGACGGAGATGGCGTGACGAACTGGACACATTTGTGAGGGATTGGTACGGTATAGCCCGCGACAGGAAGGAGTGGAAGAAATGGAAGGAGGCCTTTGCCCAACAGTGGGACACTAATGCCTGATAAATGTAAATGTGATTTTCCATCGGTCACGCCATCATGCGTGAACGGCTGGACCGATTTCACTTTTTTTTGGTTGTAATTGTTATTATCAGGAGAAGGTTCTTATGAAAGAAAAAATTTAAAAAATTGACTGAGAATGTCTAAAAACAACACTTTTCTATATTCCCGTACAAAAGATTCGTAATAATACTTAAGAGTCCATTTGAACTTTAATACCATACCATAAAGTTAAAGTGTTAGTTTAAGTTTAAACATAAGACTGACAGCGGGAAGACTTTGTTTTATACTATGTAGTGGATGTATATGTGTATGACATGGAGTGCGTTGGTCAATCGGCGATCATTAAAATATACAATAAAGTCTATTCATTCCGTTTCAGATTCGATCAGGCCAACCTGAAAGCTATTTATGATAAGATAAAGGAATTCAACAGCAAAACTGGTGACGGCAGGGCCGCTTTCTCCGAACAACAATTGGAAAGTGTTGTCAAGTTAGGGGAGTTGGTGAGTACAAATGAAGTTTCTATAACCATTGTTGAAGCAACTGATAAACAAGGTTTTAATAACTTTTATTTAAAACAAAACCACATTTTCCCTGAACAGCAAAGAGCTTATTTTATTCAAATAAAAATCGATTTTAATTACGAATCTCAATATATATTAATCAAATCTGACAGAAGTTTAAAATAGCCGACCAAAAGAAAAAGAAAATTTAGAGAGCCGAAGGCATGACGGAATTGTGGACACGGAATTTAAAATGTAATGCTATGCTGGTTTGAATATGTGGAAAATTATGTCGAGCTAGGTTTTCGTCTGATACTAAATTATTACGTGATTAGTAAAAAAATACTACTTTTAAACAATTATATTTAATCAAAAAACATAGCTTATATATTGCCGCACACCACTGCACAATTTCAATGGTGGGTTTTATATAGCTATTTTTAGTTTTAGTGTGGGAAAACAGTTACAACCTGAAATCTTTATTATTCCCAATTTTTTTGCACTACACTACGTCTGCCTGCCCCTGGATTGGATTGGCTTACATGCCATGAATTAGGGAATTAAAATCAACAAAAACCCATAACCAATATAATTGCCTATAACTGTGGTAGGGGCACGCAAAAGTCTTCACTGTTTCATGAATGGTTGTGTTACTTCCCCGTCCGGGGAAGTACCACAACCTCACAGAAGACCAGTAAGTGAGTATTAAGTGGAAGTATTATACTTGTGCGTCTAGTGAGTGAGGTAACCGGAGCCCACTTATACGATAAAAAAATGTTATATTATAAAAATATTAAGAGACATTAAAGTAGTATTAACTTTAAGAGCAGTGTTCTTTTTAGGACAGCACATTCAACCCGGACACTGTGGGTTTATTGAAGAGAATGCTGGAATGGCCAAAAGGTAATTATCAAATTGTTAAACATTCACAATTCAACCTAGTGATTTTTTTTTATCGGTTTTTGTATTATGAACCACAAAATACTGCAGGGAGCAGTTAGTATGTTATAAGTAGTTATTGATACTGATTTTTATTATTTTATTAAAGATTTTCATTTAAAAGTTTATTCTAAGCACATACAGTTGTAAATACATTGTTCTATATCTATACAAAAAGAAGATTTCCTTTTCTTTTCAGAAATACTCTTCCCCGTGTTAGACATCACTAGACTGGCGATTAGAAGAAAAGATATCAATGGGCAAATATTTGACACAACATTTGGACCAAATTTTGTTAAATATCTGCTCTCTCTACTCAGCCCAGGTATGTTTTTCATCTTTATGGAGTTTTTCCTTAAAAAATCATATATTGCAATCCATATTTATAAATATACTACGAGCTGATTGCTCGCGGCTCCACCCGCGTTAAAGCCATTAAATATTTTTTTTTTTAATAAAAAGAATTGTCTTTTTAATACCTTTTAGAATATGTGTTCAAAGTTTAATGAAAATTGTTGAATTGTTTTATAGTGAAAACATAAACAAACAAACTTAAATTCACATTTATAATATTAGTAGGGATTTATTATAAAATGTTATCTATACTATAATAAAGATGTAATGATTGTTGTCTGTACATGGAAGACATTTGAGAAAAAATATTATTGGGCGCCTTTATGAACACAATAGAACCCAAAACGTGATTTTTAATATTTTTGTAGAAATGGCTTAACCAATATGGGTATAACTGTCACTAGTAGAAACTAAAAAGAAACAATTTCGTTCTTATGTCTTTCACATACACAAAACATTAAGTTGTTATGTAATATATGTTGCAGAAAGTCTGCCAGCTAACCAAATGTTGACCATGCGAGTGCTGGTGAACGCTTTTAGTGACCTACCTGGAGAGATGTTGGTGTTAGCTGCGCGAGAGAGTGTTGTGCACTGCATCATCTGCCTAACTCAGCTTAGTAATAATGCTCAGGTTAGTTCTGTCAATATGCAACATTATAATGATTCCGTTCCCAAAGGGTAAAATGGGACCGTATTATTCCTTTGTCTGTCCATCTGTCACGAGGCTGTAACTCAGGAACCACGATAGTTCAAATTTAATATAATTTATAATACACTTCACACACTAAATTATAATACACTTTTACTGTCCACCACAAATAAGATTATACATAAAAGTAACAATAGAACAACAAATTTATGCAATGTACAATTTGGCGGCCTTATCGCTTCATAGCAATCTCTTACAAGCAACCAATGGCGTAAAGGAAACGTATACTACGTAGGTCGTGCAATAGAAATATACGTAATATATGATTAAAGCAGATACATACAATATTACATACATATACACACACACACAAAAGTACATGTTCTTATGTTTATAAAGTGGAATTTTATAAACAACTTTTTTACTGTGAGTAGGTGGCAAGCGAGCAGCTGTTTCACCTGATGTTAAGTGATCCACCGCCCATGGACATTTGCAAAACCCGTAGAGTTGCCGTGTCCTACCACTGTTAGGTTACCACAAATACGACTAAAGTTTAATGAAGACATAAATAAGATTTTTATTTTAACTTCCCATTTCACTGTATTAAAGTATTTGTAATAATGGGAGTATAACTAAAAATCAATGGTACAAACTTGTTTCAACAGATTGCGGCGACCTCATTACTATTGAACCTGTCGGTTGCCCTGGCGCAGCAAGCGGACAACCTGGATCTTGCCGACTGTGTCATACACCTCTTGAATAGAATAACCGACAATGAAGCCTATTTCAGGTATTACTTATACCTTTATGTATAGGATATATGCACGATCTTGCGGCATGTCTCGTAACACACTGAGTGGGTTGGCAAGAGAGACATGTTATGTGATAATAATACTTATACTTTATAAATATACAGGTGGTTTTTCTGATGTTAAGGGATTTTTACAACTAATGGACATGTATTACTTGTTCACTGGGCTGTGAGGCCTTGGTACTTTCCTGGACGAATCTTTGTTTAACAGTAGAAGCTGTTGCATTGTCCACAATGTTAATCAACAAGATTATTATTTGATTACATGATTTACTAAGTTTGAGACTAGATATTCCCAAACTGACCAAATCTTGTACTATCAGTACTAAATAGAGGTTAGGTGTACTAGTTAAATTTTGTACCTAATTCATCTAATCCAGTTCCATTCAAATACTCGATCCAAAAACATATTCCACCTATGGTAAGCTTGGAATAAAGAATTATTTTAAGCTTATATGCTTAGACTTAGGAGTATAGACTTGATGTAACTATTGTAGATTGTTGGCATATTTAAAATATTTCAATTCATTCAAAATTACTGTCCATTTTTTTAACGTTTGATTATTTTTGTTTATTATTTTATATGTTTCTCTTGCTACAATAATGATTAATCTTGTTTTTTTTTAATACTTTAAAACACATGCTTACACCTTTTCCAGACACATCTAAATTTTAAAAATCACCTTTAAACTCTATTAAGACTGTGTTAAGATAACGACGTAATAGATTAATACAAATTACATATATATTTAGTTAAATAAGGGCGAAGAATAGTAAATTAACGCTTAACTGATTTCTGTTGTGTTTCTTAAACTACAACAATTGTTTTAAGCTTGTTTTTTTTTTTTAAGTTTTAATACATATTTTTATATTTTATACCTTTTCCAGACACGTAAAACTTAAAAATCACTACACTAAATACTCAACTACCTACATTCATTCATTTTCGTTGAATATTTGCAAGTACTCCATAAAGACTTAAGGTTCAAATTCAAATGATTGACACACATATACAATAGATATATAAATGTTAGAAAAAAAAACAGGTTTGGGATCAAACCCACACCCAATGGCTCAAGAAATTCATTACCTACTGAGCTAATGGTGTCGTCGTTACAATATAAGTGGGATATTTATGATACTCATTCCTTTTTGCAGAGGTTTGGTGGCACTGGGAACACTGTTGACGGAATCGCCTCAAAAGCTTCACATTCAAACTAAAGTAGTTTCCAACGCGCTACTGCACAACAAGCTCAAAGCGAACTGCGTAGGCGCACCTGGTGACGCAATTCAGAAGAAAATCACAATATGCTCTCAGGAAATCGTCAAACTGTTATGAACAGTACATACAATTACATACATACAATTAAATGAGGCTGTCGAACTATCTTCACAGTGTCATAGCCTTTTAGCTGATGCACACAAAACCTGGCAACATATAGTGTCAAATTTCATCATGATAATATATTTGTCACAACCTTTAAGTAGCACCTTCGATAAGGTGCGTTTAGTGTTGCTGGAGCTTTTATTAGATGCAATGATAGTGATAATAAAAGAAATTTCTCCTCTTCATAATTTATATTTAATGTTAATACATTTTGCAAAAGAGTATCAATGGTGTTTTTGTATTTTAAAGGAGCGTTAACAACAGCAATAATAATTGTAAAAAAAAATATAAAAAAATATCTTTTATTTATTTACGTAGCTGTTAAGATGCCATATATGTACAAGAATACAAAAAGAATGTGACAAGTAATACACAATGTTCAAATTAATTATGAAGAAAAATAAGGTACCCAATCTCATATTGGATATATAACGATTGTAGTCAGTTATTAAAAATTAATCCTTATAAATATTTACATAGTTTGATACATATATATATCCATATTTATATTTATACATTCTTGCACCTTCCAGATGCGACTGAACTGTTATAATGGTGAATCTCTACTTTATCAGTTATGATATACATGTTTATGTATACTAGCAATAATAGATGTAATTCGAGCTTTTTTGCATATACATAAAAATCGTTTTTTATAAACCTACGATTGTTTAACAATTAACTGCTAGGCGCCGGGGTATAGGTTGTTCTAAAATAAAAATATTCTGAGTAACAATGTTTAATTATTAGAAAACAAAAGAAACCTGTGTTTATAGGAATATGAGAAATTTTTCAATAAGGACTTTACTATGTATTATGCATTATTTGAATTGATTTTTATGTTAAAAAGGAATAATTATTAATTGTTAGAAACTGAATAAATAAGCCATTAAATGAATGAAAGTGGTAAATAAAACATTATTGTGAGTAAAAAATCCTAAAGCCATTTTTCAAATATTGAAATATTAATCATATCGTTTTTACTCTTTAATATTCTACAATTTCGTTTTCATACATGGGGATAACTTGTTTCTTAAAATATTTTTGTATAGGTACTTATACCTCAAGCACTCGATACTTTTTAATAGGATTTTTTTTATCACTGGGGAGATACCTATTATATAGGTGAAGTAAAAGTATTGAGTGTTTTTCGTTAGATAGTTGCATATTGTCTTTCTATACTGTGATATGAAGGCGACATAAGCATTTCCAATTTTCAATTTAAGTGCAATGGCTCCATCAAGGACAAAATGATATCAGGCTTAAAAAAATATTTCACAGTTATAATTATAGTGAATCCAAATGTATGTTAGTGCCTTCCAAAATGAAGGTTAAAAAATGCATTCATCAGTATGATTAATTCATCATGTATAAGGGAAAAAAAGCGAGCAAGACGGCCAAATATCCAATTTATGGACCAAATATGGTACGGTATATTTCTTAATTTCATCGTCAAAATAGAGAGAAAAAACCTCTCAGAACTTTTACTCCATCTTAATATAATACTAATAATTTGGACTCCCCGTAGTTCACTATATAAGAATCTCTTTGAAATTCGTTTTTAACATGAGGCAAAAATAGCGGCGACATTGATTCTCATGGAGCCCTACCTAGCCTATCAAATGGTCGTGATTTTAAAACAATAGTATATACTACTTTTGATTGTACACATATATGTTAAAAAAAATTAAGAACTCTACTTTTTCTTCTTCAACTCCTCGAAGCGACGATTGAGATCTTCAAAGTCGATTTCGTCGGGACCACCTGGTTCTTGGGAGTTATTGGAGGTACTTGAATTGCTGTGTGGCACAGATGGCAGTGGCAGATCTGATGGTACTGATGGCAACTCTGGAAGCTCGGGGAAGTAGTTTTGAGGCGGCATCCTGCGGGGCTGGGGTGTCGGCACATGCGCCGGCTAAGGAATATGCACAGTTTTTATTGACACTAGGATAGACGAAGACAGAATCCTATCCACCAACCAATGGCTTCGTTTCAGTACTAAAACTGCCTAACAGGCGGTGGGACTGTCGACGTGCACTGCGCACGAATTGTGGCTAAAATGTTGTTATTGGTCCACATATAAAATGTTGTGTACACTGAATAAAGTAAATCAATTGCGCATTTTGAAAAAAACCATGATAAATGATGGCCTACTTTTTTTCTTAACTGTTTGATCAAACAACATTTTACAGCAAGCTTTATAGATAGGTGAAGTGTGGCTACTCCAAAACTAATATGCACTGCAATATATATAAAAAATAAATCATTTATTTAAACTACACTGGTCTGGCGGTGTAGCATACAAATGAGGAATGGGCATGGTGGTATGACAGAGATACAAAAATTGGTGATATACAAAATAATTACCAAATCATGAGCTATGCTGTCATAAGCAGGCGGTAGGTTGTGCATTTCTTCCTGTAATAAGAAAGATGTTTTTGTGACATTGATCAAAACCAGTAAATTCCCTTAAATAAATTGGGCGTTTTTAAATTTTGAAGTGTCACATGCTTACGACTTTCAAAATCGATATGATAATGAAAAAACTTGGTGATTAAAAAAAAGTGTGTGTGTGAGTGTGTACTTACATACACGCGTTAGAAGTTATACTTCTTTGGCGTAAAAAGATAAGAAAAATTTCAAAACTTTTTCTTTTATTATTATTCTACGTTTGTAGAAAAAACGAGACTAACTAAAAAAAAAGCTGTTTAATACATTGAAAGTTTTATTATAACGCATTATTTAGTTACATAAAGTATATTTAAATATCACAAAATAAATCTCGTGAATACAGTTATCAGTTCTCAGGCATACATAAGGATATATATATATATATATAGTCTAGCTAACTTCAGAGTGTCGGTTTTTCGTGACGGTGTGCGCGCGCATCTCAGGCCCCGAAAGATACGATAAATTGAAAACTACTAACATATTCACTGCTTTAACATACATATTAATTGCTTTCATGTAAGTATTGATGACATATATTTACTACATATTGTGCTCTTAATTTTGTGTGAAAACTAAATGCAGTTCAAATATTTTTACAGAATAAATAAAATAAATACAAATGCACTATATACTACTACTATACTAGCCGTGATAGCAAATTACTCGCTTTTAACTCACCAACGAAATTGTTAATTTTAAGTGCTGACTTATCACATGTTCAACGTTGAAGGAAAACATTGTTAGGAAACCTGTATATTTTCGAAATAATATAAAAATATTTCAAAGATACAAAAATTCCATCAATCCGCAATGGGGTCGTGTTGTGGACTATTCCCTTAAGCCCTCTACACAGAGGAGGCTTTTGCCCAACAGTGGGACATTTAGGTGCTGTTACTTATCTTATACACTACATGGAAAAGTAAACATATTTGTTTATACTTGAATAGGCTATAAAAAGAAATGCTAATTAATAAACTTACTTGCAAGAAGCTGTTGTTCAAACTTTTTGAATCTACGCCAGGCGGTACATTATAACCTACGGGAGAGCCACTTGGACCTCCTCCAAAGTTTGGTGGAGTCGGAGCAATAAATCCACCAGCCTTTCCACCAGAAGGTTGCTGAGAGTAAACAAATGTTTTATTAAAATGCTTAAACAGGGATAACTTGTACTAGTCACTTAATCAAAACTAAGATTACTACAACAAAATAAGAATCCATCACACTTGCAACAAATATTTGGTTATTATTCGGTGTTTGGCTTATTCAGCAAGTTTAATCATATTTGGCTGAATACCGAATACTTATAATTGGCTGAAATACTGATTACTTATATTTGGCTCAATACCAAATACTTATATTTTACTGAATACCGAATACTTAAAAATGAGGTTGATGTTTTGTTGTAAAAAACTTGACATCAACAATCTTTTCGTACTTTTTCTACAAATTTTAATGTTTAATCTATGTGCAGAGATTAGCACTATAATAAATTTAAACTTATTTGTAAAAAACTAATTAAAAAAAACTAAGTAAAATCAGAATTATTATTTATTTTACAATAATGCATTTCTCTCTTAGACCTTACGAATTTTATTTTTAAACATATCAAAATATAGAGAGTATGATAAACTGTAAGGTACATTTGAACAAACTGGAAAGAATCATGTTGATACAATTTTTCCCCCTCAGCGCTGGCCGAATACTGTTGCGAATTACTCCACTATTCACCCAGGAAGCTTCTGAATATTCGTAGACGGTCTAATCATTATGTAGTCATAATTTAAAATGAAGGATAATGAGAATGATTATTAGGTAATATAAATATTCATTTTAATTTCTTTAACGTAAAAATTAGAACACCGAAATATAAAAATATGATATTATTCTAATTTAAGTACTACATAAAAATGATACTTGATATCATCCCAACAAAAATATATTCATTTGTTTCGGTGTGCAGTGCTCAAGTCTATATAGGCCTATATAATAACTTACAGTAGGATAACTGAAGGGTTGTGCTCTTGGCTGTGGGAGATTTGGCATCTGTGACATCTGTGGCATCTGTGGTTGTGGTGGAAATCCAATAAATCCCGGAGGCATTGGTGGACCATTGATATCAATTAGTAATGCATCTCGACCTAAACAAATTTGAATTAAAATAATCATTTTACTGTTAAATGAATTAGGCTGGATCTTAGGAACTACCATAAAATTACAAACCTTCTTCTTCTCTCATCACTTGTTCATCAGGTGTATATTCAACATTATAATTTTTTGCAATCTCTATCAGATACTTCTCAACTAGTATCTTAGGTGGACTTTGAACTGACATTTTATGTTTCAGTTTCTCACTAACTGTATTTATATTTTCACTACGGCACGCATCGGCAAAGATTTTGCCATATTTCGCTGTGAGCAAGTCTGAAATCACCTTTAGCTCCTGAAAAGGTATTTTAGAAATGATTTTTGTGTAATGTTGTAGTATAAATTATTTTTATTTACATTTTAGATTGATCTAATAGGTTAATTAATTCAGTTATTGTTTTTATACATTTATTCTTAATTGTGAATTGTTAATCAAGTAAATACAACCCTGGATATATATAAATGAATACTTTTATTATTCACCACAAATGAAAGGATACACAAAGTAACAATAGATAATCAAAGTTACGAAATGCACAATGTGATGGCCTTATCGCTTCATAGCGATCCCTTTCAGGCAAACAATGGTGTAAAGGAAACATTTACTATATAATTGGTGAAATAGTAATTTACATAAGGTTCAAATCACAAAAATTAATCATCAATATCTTTATCCTATCATCCTAGAGACAGCATTGTATGAGATTAATGATCATCAAAAAAAATTCTATAACTCAAAGACGAAAATATTTTGGCTAACTTTTATTTCAAAATCAAAATCAAAAATCAAAAATATATTTATTCAAATAGACGCTTGCGCACTCTTATGAATCGTCAAATTTTACATCAAAGATTATGTATACAGCGTGTCTTTACAATCGCAACAATAAATGAACACACATATAGGGGATAACTTTTTAAAATTGTATTAAACATTTACATTTTTTAAACATCAATATTTACAGAGTTATTAAATTTTCCGAAACAAAGAGTTATAGAACACCCTTACGTATAAAACTGTAACGTAAAGTTCATTTGTAAAGGTCACAAATCATATGAATGGGTTGAATGAATTTAAAAGAGACAAAATATACTGATAGAAGGAGAGGCCTGTGGCGCGAGTTGTATAGGATGTTACAAATTCTGTTTCTTTTTTATTTAATTAGTTTGTTTGAAAAAAAATTTTTTTAATTATGCATTTTGTTTAAGGTAAATTTTTTTTTATGATTATTGGCAAGTAACGTTAGACGTGTGTTCATTTATTGTCGCGATGGTAACGACACGCTATATATATATATATATATATATATATATATATATAATAGGAATTTCGGAAACGGCTCCAGCGATTTTCATGAAATTTAGTGTGAAATTTAGTGTGTAGATGTTCGTAAGGTACCACTACCTACGCACATACTACACAACATTTTACCTTACCTTTTGATTATATCTTATATCAAATAAGTTTTTTATTCTTTCTACACTTTCAATTGTTTATTATTTTTAGGCTTTACACTGTAAATTTTATATTAATTTATTTTATAAGACTAATTAATTGACGGTTTACTTAAAACATTTTAATCAAACTTATACTTAAAGAATAATTTACCTGTATATCAGTGTGCATTCTTGGAGCAACCCAAATAAGACTTGATATGGCTTCAGCTAAACCTTCATCTAATTCTTTCATTTGGGTTACAAGGCCAAATCTAGCAAGTACTAGATCACAATACATTTCAACAATTTCCATTGCTTCTACCATATAGTCCTCCCTTATAAATAAATTAAACATTAATTTGATACAAAAAATGTTTATAATATTGCACATTAGTGATTTAATATTGCACATTAGTGATTTAATATTGCACATTAGTGTATTTAATATTGCACATTAATGTATTTAATATTGCACATATTACTTATAATTTGTGTAAGCGATATCTAAAAAAGTATTCTCAGCATTATCTATTTCCTGACTGGACGGTCAGAGATTGAGACAATGAAGTTAGTCTATGAGCAAGATAAACAAGATAAACAAATGTTTAAAACTAACTGAAATATTACCTGATGATGTGCTCCACGCGGATTTTAGCCCTTTCACTTTTACCAGAAGCAATGTATTCCGCAATTTCTTTACGAGCCTTTTGAGCTAATTCTGTTTTCTTTTTCTCAAGAAGTTTAAGTCGGTTAATTGCAAGCCTTAAGTGGGTTTTAAGTTTCGTATAATTTGGATTTGTAGAAAACATGTTTATTTTTTAAAGACCAATTAAAATAAGATCGTTGATGAGTAACACTTATTTTTCTGATTTGTTTGTTGTATTCTATGTACTTGCATGAATCATCTGCGTTATACTAGATTCTATTTGTAAGCTGTCAGTTTGACATGAATATTTCGTTATATGCATATAGTCATTATTTTTAATAAGGGTTATTATTCTCGGATTAATATTTATTTATTGTTACCGATGTTTACTATTCATGTTATATTTATTAAACCTAATAAATTATATTTAAGTCATTAACGCTTACAATCTGCACCAAATTCATTAAGCGACTAGTTTAGTATTATCTAAATCGGATCAAGGTGAACTCGGTGGAGTATACTCCCTCTCCCTCTCGTTGTATTTGTCCAATCCATGCAAGAATTCAAAATCAATTCCTTCATCGCGGAACTGGCCCTCAGTGGTATATGCTGAAAACCGAATTGCATCGTAAACTTACTTCTCTGCCGGTCTCTTTTTAAAAAAGCTTCGACAAAACATTTTTAAAATACAAATTGTCATTCACATTACGCGTAATAGCTCTTAATATCTAAACCGCTCCGCATGAAACCATGCATCCAAGATGGCAACATCTTACAAATGTTTTAGACGATCCCAATGATATACTCTAAACTACATGCATTAACTTACCCTATACTATACCAGGCATAGATATTTTAATACAATTTCCAAATAATGATTAGTTTCGATAGTTGTCTTGTATAACATACTTTTTCAAATTAATGTCGTAAGTAAATCACTACAATCAACAGATGGATCTCGGTAAATGCACAGACAGAAGTGCTGAACTTTCCAAAGAAAATGTAATCACTACGTTTATTGCACTTTCTTGCAAGAATATAGAAAGTGCAATTTTTTTATTACGAAGGAATTTGGTGAAGAATTAGAAATTGCAGCTTTGTTTAGGGCCACAACTTGAATTCACTAGTGTTAAACGTCAAGCTGTTGAAACTGCCTATAACTTCTCCAGAATAAAAAATTGAGCTTGAATTTTTCAACAGTCTTTTGGACACCTTTGATATCAGTCAACCTGACCTTGTTAAACTTTGTGGTGATATCCAATTGAAATTGACTGTGCCTGAATAATTCACTAAATCAAATATAAGTAGATGGTTTTATGTTGTGTGATGAAATGAAAGTCTGAAATCTTTTCAGATGTTTAAACGAAAAAAGACAGGCACAGAATAGATAATACAAAGGGCATAATAAAATGACCATGTAGTAAAAGATAAAATATTTATTACAAAAAAACTAATACTTTCTATTAGTTTGTCAGCCTAGATTAGGTTATTGTTGATTGTAGATAGGTTTTAATCAACTTAAGCTTCGATAACTCTATATATATATAAATAGTCGTTTCGCATCTGGATGTTTGTCCGCGTGAAATTTATGTTTGTAAAACGTCCTTACAACACACGATAATGTTCTCCTAAAGTAAGGACAATGTTTAAAATAAAAATATAAATAAATTAATGTAGTTCTCCTCCACGGAAAATATTCATCATCCGAAAAAATAATTTAACGGTGTTTTTCCCATATAGCACTTCAATAAACGCGCATTCCAGCGATAATCTGTTTTTCTTCGTTAAGCTCGAAGCCGATATTCAACACACTTTTTACCATGGTTCAACCCCATGTCCGCCTTAACGTCTTTTATCACAGCTGGAATCCTAGCAGTGCGTGGGCGACCACTTCTTTTCTGAATTCAACGCTTGAATTATCATTATATAACTTTTTAGAACGATAAACGAATCTTTTTGTTATACTAAAATATTTCAGTAGTTTGAAAATCTTATTTGGCACTTTAACGCAACGAAGCAACGCGATAACGGCATTTATAACTCGAGAAGAGTGTAGAAATACACTTCACTCAAGCCTACCCCTTAGCCAACTCCAACCACCCAATGTACTTGCTCGAGGAGGAAGCTAGGGTAAATCACATTATACGGCCAACCAATTACTTGGGAATATAAGGTCAAGTACCTAGGAATCCCATTAAACTCTAGAATGATATTTACACATCGACTCGTCCGTTCAGGGCCGGCTCTCTAATCACTGTGCAGTGAAATTCCATAATAACTTTATTTATACAAGGCTTTCGTACGACTCACATTGTACCATGCTTGATGTTCTTTTCAACCGACTTCAAAAAAGGAGGAGGTTCTCAATTCGACTATTTTTTTTGTCTGTCACCTCAGAACTTTCGACTTTGAGTGAACTGATTTTGATGATTTTTATTTGGAAGCTGGTGCTTCCCAAGTGATCCCATGTTAATTTTATTGGTATTGGATCTTGGGTTCCGGAGATACGTAGGGAACTCCTGAAATCAATTATAAAATGAATAAGGAGCGAGACATTTGAAGTCGGTTTTGCTTTTCGTTAATAAAAAATTCACTTGTCTACTGTGTAAACCTTACAAACCTGCATTAACTTTAGGTAATTCAATAAGTTCATTCGTCGCGCAAATGGTGGTATGTCGAATCAGCAACCTGCATAGTGATTGGAATGTCCCGACAAGAGCCGAAAACCATTCTAAATTCAAGTGGTAAATTCATCAAATTACCAAACCGACAAAAATGTTTTAATCAAAACAGTCGACGAAGGGGACACAGGATGGTCGGATGTCCCGTTAGAAAATGTTATACTTACACAGAAAAAAGTAAATGAAATAATTGAAACTATAAATAATGAAAGACCGCGATTTATAAAATTTAACATTTAATTTCATCTTCTTACAAATAGCTTTGTTTTAAAATATACATTTAATGTGATAAAAGTTTAAATACATAATACTGATAAGTACCTACATACTCCATGTAAAAATACATTTGTTGCCAATGAAAACTATGATTATTATAGAGCACTTTTTTAATTACGTACAGTTTTTTTTAGACTTAAATATACAAATTTTATTTCGTTTTATGGCGCAACAACATTGTAACAAAAATAGACTTTTGTTTTTACCGTGTACAACTTTTTGCAAGACATTATATAAAATTTTAGTAAACATATTGTGTTAGAACATTACCATTGGAGTCCCTATTAAATTTCTTATTTATATTGTAAATACTATTACAGTGTATTGTATCAATACAAACATTTATACCTTGCACACATCAAAGCAGCTATCTTGAAAAATAAATTAAACTTATGGTGATTATTTACATTATCAACTACATGGTAATTTAATTTTCAGCTAACAATGTTTCTACGGCCAATTGACGAAACTTGATTTTTTTGTTTTAAGAAAGCAAATCAAAAGAAGAAACTGAAATTAAAAGGAACAATGTGATAGTACTTTCAACAATTTCAAGCTAAGCTCGCTTGTTATTATATTGTCGTTTGTGAAACATTTATTTATTGTCACAATAATCAATAACCCCTAAAGTGCAATAGTAATAAAAATGAATGTATATATATATATACACGTTAAAAACGTACATCTAAAAATAACAAGAAAGAAAATAAGTCAAAATAATACTGCTACATTGCAAAAATACTCGAAAAGTTTGAGATATTATCTAACATTATACATCTAAACATTCAGTCATTTTCTACGTCAATACTAAGTTTTTTCTCAAATCTATTGAGCGATTTTTCGCAGTCATCGTGAAGAACCACGGTTGTCGCGCTGGCACTGGAGGGGCTATGAGAAAAAGTAATGTTTGTGCGATTACTGTCAGCCAAGTGTTCTAATTCATGGCTCTCTAAATTTGGGACACCCGAACAAATTGAACTGACTCGCGAGGCAGACTTTCTTTCTTCATTTGGAGGTTCTTTACTGGAATTTTTTCCAAAAAGATTGAGGAGAGAACAAAGGAAGAATGTAGCGTAAACCCAACTGACTGACATGATTAATGCCAAAAATACGCCTATTTGCGAGTATGGCAAGAGATTCGATCGTACCAGGAATATACCAGCAAATCCCGTTGTCAGTGCCGCAGCAGCGGTTGGCCCTGACGACGCTGTCAATGCATATTTAACCCTAGTAGTCTTTGTGCCACTAGCATTTGTATAACTTAATGCATAATGAAGACTAAAATCTACTGCTAACCCTGCTGATGTTGATATTGCTACACTTTCTAAGATATTTAATTTCCATCCACTTAACACTAAAATAGCTATGGTTACTGTGGATGAGAAAACCATAGCAACCAATGCACAAATACTGATAATGAAACTAAAAGTAGCTGGTATAAGGACTAAGAACCCTAAGCCAGCTGACAATAACAATGCCATCACAGTTCCACTTGCTAAGTCCTCTGCAAGTCATAAAATTGTAGGTCTGAAAGAAACCATCCATTTCTCATTCCTACAGGTGCAGATTTTAGTTCATTTTGAGTCCAATTTTCAACTTGAATAAAGAAGTTATTCATTACAGTATAAGACATTGAATAAGGAACTACACTTTCAAATTCTACAACAATTGCTGAAACATTAGGTGGATTAGCACTACGAAGAAACTTAGGACCTGCCACACCTGGTATAAAAAGTTCCCTAGGAGTTTGGTACAATGACTCCATTGCTGCTAAAATACAAAATTCAAAAATTTCCTTTTTATAAGGAAAATGAGATGTTTCACAGCATGGTGTTCTGTTAATTTTGTCAATATTATCAATACAGCGTCTGCTCATGAACATTTTGAAACTTTCAATGAAACAGTTTGGTAGCAAAGGACCTAAAGTTTGCTGATAGAATGGCTGAGCTTTTATTTTTCTGCAAAATTCTAGCAGCCATAACTGTGATTTGGGCTCTGATATGGAAAATTCTGGGTCAAAAACTAAATGTCCAGTTAATGTGGGATCTATGTGATTGCCATTGTCAATGGCCTTTATACCCCATATCCATCTCATAGGCATTTTGCTACCAGTTCCCAAGTCCTTGCCAAATCTCTCAAATAGAAATAGATCTCTATAGAGCAAGTCATATTTTTCAAAGGGATGTGAACTCTGAAAGAGTTGAAACTGTTTTGTGTCTGGCAATTGAAGTCCAGGAGTGTAAAAAACTACAACAATACTACAGACTCCTATAGCACCCAAAATCACCACAATGCATATGTAGGACTTTGTAACAAATGTTATAATAAATTTATTTAATACAATCTTTATATTTTCTCCAAATTTGTTAATAGCTTTGTACATCACAATACTGCATATTTTCCTACTACTTGAGCACATTTTAACATCGACTATAAATACTGATACTGGCAACAATATTATCATTATAAAAAAGTTGGCAAGTACTGCTGTACCAGCAAATACACTAAAGCAGTTTATGGCTGGAATATAGCTGACATATGAAGCAAAAAATGCAACTGCCGTAGTAATAGTGGTTATAAACATAGTTAACATAGAGTGTCTTAAAGTTTCTTCAAGTATTTGCACAAGTATTGTCTCGCCAGCACTAGAGACATTTTTAATATCTGTTAGTCCATTGTCTGGAATTACTATGTTATCTCTAATGAGTTGTATACTAATCATTTTCCAAATTTTAACATATAGAAATGCATCATCCGCTCCTATACCTATCACAACAACTATTACTAGTAAATTCATAAAGGGAAAGAATTGTAAATTTAAAACATAAACATACAAGAAATATGCTACTCCAAGTGAGTATGTAATTGCCATGAATATTAATATTGTTAATAATAGAGACTTTGTATATACCCATACACAAATAAATACAAAAAGCCCACCTAATCCTATTAACCATGTGTCCTGAATAATCCATAAATCAAATAGAGCATTCTTTAATCCAAAATCCATGGCAGGAATGGTTAGAGTGTCATAAAACAGATTTGAACTTTGTAATTTCTGGTAATAAGGTAGAACAGTACTACTGCAAGCCAATGGTAGGAAGATCATAACATTTTTAACATATGTTTCTGAATACTGAGGTGGGGAAAAGGCTTCAGCATCTATTAGATAAAATAACAAATTGTACACAGCATCGAACTGTGAACAATATTTTGGCACCTTACATTGATTCAGTTCACAAGATGCCATTAATTTGAAATCATGGAAATAGCTTGCACATTTCTTTAAAATCACAAGAGCATTGCTTACATCTTTGCTTGTTAGATTTTCACAGGAAGTTTTACCCGACATAAGGGTAATGTAATTTGGCACACTCCATACTGGACAGCACAATTCCTCATTGCTCATAGACCTTTGACACAATTTATAATATTCTCTTCCACCAACTTGAACTAGCAGGGATTGTAACTTACACTGCTTCTTAATATTTTCATATTCTAACATTGATGAGTTATTCAAGCTTGATACTACTAAGTGGGCATATTCGGAAACCGGGGCACCGCATGTTCCGGTTGCAAAGTTGGTGTGGATCGGCTTGTCAGGAGTTCTCTGCATAGCTTTTAATGACACCCACTGTTTTCTTGTATGGTTTCTTAAGATTTGAACATTAACATCTTCATACGAAACATTTTTTCCGTATCCCCAATGAACATGATTGTCTAAGCTTTTATTTGCAATTGATATATTTTCGAAGGCAGAAGTTTTGTATTTAGGTTTCTTTTTATTTTTACGCCACTTATTTTTCGATCGTCCATGGCCTGATCTTGGTTTTTCCAAAATTATTTTATTTTGGTAGGTATGATTCATACGTTTCTGGTCATCTATTTCTTTAGGATTCACAGCAAGCCGCTTAGATGGTCTAGTTTCATCAATAAGATTCTCCCATGCGATGAAACGATGCGCTAAAGTCGTTCCTCGGGTTTCGAATCCGACTATGGGATCCGAAAATGATGGCAGGTTGTGGCAGACCAAAGGAATTACAGTGAGAATTGTTAAAATAACACTTACAACAAATAAATATAGATAAGAATGACGGATAATAAATCTGGCATAAGCAGTTAACATTTTCGTGTTTAGATTCCGTAGACCTCATAATTATTTTCTTATACCATACTTTCTGGTAAGTAAAACGTATGTTTTAATGAAAATAAACTTTGAAAAATGGTAGGAGTTACATTTTTTGTTAATTTGTATAGACCAACATATACCTGCTAATTCTCAGTTTTTCAATTTTCATTACAGGAATAACAATGACGTATTTTGATTTTCATGGCCGCTAATCAGTCAGCTGTCTCAGCTCAGCTACAATCTACTCTAATCTACATCAGCTACAGCTATAGTATATCGCTTGATATTAACAAACATGTATTACATAATGGACCTAAGTAATATAAATAATTACTTGCTTTGCTTTGCTTATATTGTTATCATATACACATTTTAATCAATATGAATTCTAATATAATATTGTTATTTATCTTCACTAATATTTAGTACTTATTTTTTCACAGGTGCACTTAAATAAGATCGGCCTTAGGCAATAAAAGAAAAGAAATTTTGTTTTAATCGAGGAACACATATGCTTAATCAATAATATGTAAATTAAATGCAACGTAACTGCCACTGTTATATACGGCATAGGTAAAGGCCTTGTCTACGTGTTAGGGTTTGAGAAATTCAGGTTTTCTAACGTTAATCCAAATGAGACAAAACTCACACGTAGTGGCAGCATACAAGATTTTGTGGCGAGTAGTAACGAATCAGGCCACAGGCCTCGGTCAGCATTCATTTAGCTTTCCAAGCTTGCAATGAAAAGTTTCCCAATAACGATATAGGCAAATTCCAATTAACAATTTTACTTTTGGAAGCATTTGAATTGTGAATTTAGATTCGTCGAAATAGTTTATTAAAGCCTTGCCCGACACTAACAGTTTTTTTCACATACAGAGCTTCAAATTATTAATTATTTATGTAATTCGTATTAATATAAACCTTATATTACCAGGCCAGATTTTTTTTATGCGAGGTGGTAAGAGAGCTGGTGGTGTACCTGATGTTAAGTGATGACCACCGCCCATGGACATTTGCAACACGCGTAGGATTGCAGATGCGTAGCCACCTTTTAATAAAGTAGACTAGAAGAAACGCAGATATACAACACTTCCACTTCATGCAAGTCTTCTGTACGGTCGTGGTAATTTTCTGGAAGGATCTGCCCATTCATGCAACAGCTTCAGAAGACTGTTGTGTGGCCTCAATATACCTATCTTAAATTTTTCAATGAATTGAAAACTATGCCTAGACATTGGTTAAGAGTATAGACAGACGTAGGAATGTAAATGTAGTTGTTATAAAAGCGTAAATCTATATTGATAATTACCTTTTCTTCTATTATTTTGTATTTTTATTTTGCGTAGAAGGGGTTGGTTAGTAAGTCCCAACAAGACCAGCGTACGACCTATTATGTCCTACGCATGCATGACCTTTGCCCACTCGCACCCCACTCGCTTGTACAAGTTGTAAATAGTACAAAATATGTTCATCCGCTGCGCAACCGGTGCGTAGTCGTATCAACGCAACGTCGACTTGCACAGCCATTGCAGACTCCCGTCGATTCGCGAATTTTTCATAGACCTAGCCAAACGGTTCTTCGATAGAGCCCAGCATCATCCCAACCCTCTGGTGGTAAGCCCAGCAAATTATCAACCCGACACAAACGCGAACGTCAACAAGCGTCGTCCGCGAAACGTCCTCATCGACCCGATCGAGGAATGGGACTTAGACACGTCGGACCCACCGTCGGGGGTTCCGCTGGATCACACTTTACTCACAGCTAGCGTAACTACAGACACAATAGTTCGCCCTCGCCTCCGAACACGGCGAGACCAACACAACACGTACACAAGGTACACCCGCGTTCCAGGGCGGTTCTCACCGCCCCCAGCCACTGATTAGCTAAAAACACGGTCGATGGCCATCGGGGTCCCAGTCCGAACCACAACCTCGATGGCCCTTAGATCACATACCATAGTCAAACGCACGCATGAGCACATGCGCGGCGCTTCGCACAGCGGAGGGCCCAAACCCGTGGATTCTGGCTAGCCCACCGGTTTTGTGTCAGATGAAGCTTTAATAGTCTCGGGACTGAAAGCAAAAACATTAGTTAATACAAGTTACAAGAAGTCGTTATGGTTGGTAACTGCAACCTAGAAAGATCTTTTGAAATCTACCATTAGAAAACACTGCCCCATTACTACAAGAGAACGGTGTGTTGTAAGGACGTTTTATAAACATATATCTAACTTGGACAAACACCTAGATCCGAAAATATTATCCGTGGATACAAAAAATAAAATACAAATACTTCTCTCGTGGAAGTCAAACCCACGACCCGCGATGCCAATACCTTTGCAACTACGCCATGAAGTAATTAATTTTAAATTAAGCTATATAATTGTAAAGTTTAATTAAAGTTCATTCACCAGTATTTACGGGAAAGGGTAACAAACATCCATACATACAAACTTTCGCGTTTACAATGTAGTAAGGTTAGTAAGGATATATAATGTATTGAGTCATACTATGAAGCATCGCATTTTGTTACAATACTACAAAAATCCATATAAAAATTCTCATCTGGGATCTAATAATTTTTATTACATTTTGTCACGTGGGTAAAATAGAAATAAAGTGTAAATACTGTGTAAGAATTTTTTTTCGTATGGCAACAATACTTTGTCTCTGACCTCTTGTGATCACAAGACTTCTTCGTTTTGAGTGTTCTGTCAAGACAGGAATTGGAGAAAAAAAGGCCGTCCCTTTTGGGATCTACTGGTTCAGCAGCTCCAATTGACTCAAAAATCATCCAAGATGAGGTACTTCTTGACATATTTGCTCGTGCTCCTCGTGGCTATCGTGATACCGATATTTTCGATGTACTACCTCCTCAATGGAAAGGGTGAGCAAATAAGTTTCGGATGGTTCCTGGAAAATACATCCCCGTATATGTGGGGAACATTGGGAATTGCGTTTGCAGTTGCGTTTTCCGTAGTCGGTGCAGCTATGGGTATCCATACGACGGGTGTGAGCATAGTTGGAGGAGGTGTCAAAGCTCCCCGTATCAAGACCAAAAATTTGATTTCCGTCATCTTCTGTGAAGCTGTGGCCATTTATGGTTTGATTACTGCAATCGTCCTATCCGGAATGCTTGAGAAATACACGGAACCTTTGACTGATCTAACTATCAAGCAACAGAATTGGATGGCTGGTTACGTGATGTTTGGTGCTGGACTTGCCGTAGGCCTGGTCAACTTATTCTGCGGCATCGCTGTCGGCATTGTGGGTTCTGGAGCTGCCCTTTCAGACGCAGCCAATGCAGCATTGTTTGTCAAAATTCTGATTGTTGAAATCTTTGGATCAGCCATTGGTCTCTTCGGTCTTATCGTCGGCATCTACATGACGTCAAAGGTCAAAATGGGCAACCAGTAACTTAAGAAAATACATACTTGAAATTAAGTGTGAGTATAGTTTATACTTTTTCACTTTAAAGTACATTTAATTTTTTTTAAGTTTCTGTATAACATTAACCTCCTTTAAATTCAAAGTTAAGCTTAGGTGAAAACATCCAATTATATAATGCTTATCTATAAATTACCAATCTTAGAATTTTAATCTGTGTTTTGAATAGATAGTTCAAAAACTCAATGATTGTTATAGTATTAAAAAAATTGCTTATGAAGTTAATACCTTAATTTGATATGTAAAAAATAGTATACATCTACTTTATCATTGTTGAAGTAAGCTTCTACAACTTCCTTTTATAAGTTGCTCAAATGAAACCTTTTTGAGTCGATTTGATTAATATGAAATCATGTAGTTCAGCATATCGCTTCCTCGATATTGATAGAAAACTTGAAACCTAAAGAAAAAAATGTTTTTATAATAAAAAAGGGTGGTAATATGGTTAAATTTATCTTTTCTTTTTTCTTTAGCTTATTATTATTTTACTTAATTCCTGGTTTGCAACTAATTAAAATTACAATTCTATGGATAAACAAAAATATAATAACAATTGTGTCAAAATCAATATAATATCGTTGAACAATACTTGCAAAGAAAAGTTTTTTTATTATGTAATTAATCTAATACAAAGATATGATTCCTCCCCGCTGATTTTGGCCATGGCTGCATTCAACTCTGGTTTTAACTATACTAATAGTTGAAAGAGTAAATGAATTGGTACTTTAAAATTAGGGATATTCCATCCGAGGATACTTAAAACTACATTAGACAACATAATATGATTTAAAACTGTTAGAGATTGTAAAATTAAGTAAATAATTGTATTACCATGATATTTTTGGAAACATAGTTAAGTTCTTATTAGTTAAACATAGTTCTACTTTAATTTGAATATTCATTCTCTGAATAATAGAAATTCTCTTTGAATGTGGATAATTAATATCAACAATAGTGGGTTTTGTCAACATTATATAATTTTTTTTAATGTTGTGGTAAAAACTTTTTTCATTCTTATATAAAAATCATTATTTTTTACAGAAAGAGAATTACTATAAATTTATTCTTATCTTGCTGTGGGAACTGTTCTAATTTTATTTGATCTTGAGATCACATGAGGTGTGAATTGAAGTACAAACATAATGTATGCTGCATTCTTAAGTATATAAGTGAAGTCGTTTTCTACACAAGAATACTCTTAAATGTTAGTTAGGTACTAATTTATTTAGATAGCAATTGAAATATTAGTTGACTTGCCCAATTTAGCACAATATCCACCAATTAAATACCAAACAAAGACCAATATCAAATTATTTATTTTGTATTACTATTTTGAAAGTTACAAGCTTACAATTACATTCTTAGCTATTTTACTGTTACTTTCAGTGTACAGCACTGGACCTTCCGGCCTTGACCTGCATCCTGAAATCTGTGACAACCAGTGCTGAGCGCAAATACATCTATCACATGAGTGGCAAAAGTTTTCTATAAGTGTTGGACTCACATGTTTCTTATTAACAATGCAGTTTGTTGACATTATTTTTGTAAATGATTTACTCAGTGTTTTTCTTGAAGGAAACCAAAATGTTTTAAATTAATATCTGATCTTAGCGCTGTCAACAGTTTTATTTCATATATCTTATTATCTTATTTTAAATACTTTGCGGCATTGTGCTAAGACATTGGATAGTTCATTAAACAGGTCTGGATTGTATTGGAGTGTTTTAGACTACTTATAATAAATAGTTTGTGTTGTAATCCATTTTACAGTGTCCTGATCTAGAATTGACTAGGTACTCATTGCATAATATCCTAGCACTAATATATAAACTTTATATTAAATATTTATTCCTTAATACCACTGAGTACTTTGATGTAGAAGTAAACATCATTAAGAGTTTGGTAGATTTCACTGTAATACTGCTGAATAAAAAGGTGCTCAAAATAGTATAAAAACAGTGCAATGCAGTATCTAGTCACTTTTGTAAGGCTTAAACATTCCATGAAATCTTAATACAACTTGTGAAAGCTCTGATTGGTTCATAACACTACCAAATTATATTTTATCAAAATGATGCAACTTGTGACTGTTATAAAAATCTAAATGTATTAAATATCTAAATCTCATCAATCTGCTTCATGGTGGTGTATCCCTTTATTTAGTTAACAGGAGTTTTATGCTTCTTTGGCCATCTGTTCAGAAAACTCTAAAACTTATATGGAACACAAGTTGTAAGTAGCTAGTAAATATTCTGCAAAGATTTCATCATTTTACAAGTATGATTACAGAATATTATGACTAAAGTAAGTCATTTTTGTTTGTTGTTAAAAAACCGAAAACTTCGCTAAACAGTATATCCTAAATCGATTTCGACATCAAAACAATTAAAAATGTTTTTGATTTTTATATGAAATCTTTAATGTTATGTCCAATTATTGTAAATATTAGTTTTTGCTTCCTTGCACTATTATATAAATCTTACTAATTTATTGTAAAAATGTTGTTATTACCCATTTAAATTTCAGACAATGATGAAAATGCCATGTTTATGGAAATTCATTATGTCTTAGACAGGCACAAATTGAGTGCATACATATTGCAATATAATAAAAAGTATTATAGGGTCAGTTAAGTTCTATTTACTGATGCGATTCTAAATAAAATATTTGTGCAAATGTAGATATTATGTATGTTGATGAATAAATAGCTAAAAGTAAAAGTGCGTTTTATTTTTCGAATCCTGAACCGGCATTTCATATTGCTTATCTCAGTGTATTTTATTTATGTAAAGTGACAAAAATATCTGAGCCACGGGATCGAATCCGTGTCTTCTCGATAACGCGCTCAGAACTGAATCCACCGAGTTAAGCAGTCGACATCCTTACGTCGTGAAAATTCATTCTTCGTTCAGGTTCCCCATGCAGACTTGTATTTTTTTTACACGTCACCAGCTGTGAAAATCCATTCTCGCAAAGATCTCAATAAGAGCCGCTCGGGTTATCGACGAGCAAATTCTTTCCAATCAGCTTGATCCTTTGTAACTAAATCAAAATACGAATTAATTAATTGGCAAGTAAATTTATTTTTTACTGTTTAGTTTCCTGTTTGAAGTCTGTTTTTTTTTTGTAGAAAAATATTTTACGATTTTTAGTGATGGGTAGACTTAACAAGGATGCTTCTCGGATGAGGATGAGGAAACGACGGGTATTGAGACAAAATAATAGACGGAAACGCTTAAAAAAATCAAAACAAATGAGAAAAGAAAAAACGAATTGATTAGGCCACGCAACGAAAGAGCGTTGCTAGAGATGACGACCAAACCCGTGGGTTCTGGCTAGCCCACCGGTTCTGCGTCAGATCAAGCTTTAATAGTCTCGGGACTGAAAGCAAAAACATCAGTTAATACAAGATACAACAAGAGATGACGCGATTACGCAACTTAAAATTCAGTGTCAAATTGACGCATCACCATGTCTAGTAGGTATTCCTATGTAAAACTTCAATCTTAATCAGGTATTATTTCGGTATGAACTGAACATTTTGGGATATTGAACCGTATGAAACAAGCCTAACAAAAGGTAACTTCTGTAAATCGTTGAGGAATTCTCTCAACTGCCTATAATCCCTATCATCTGACCTGTAATGGTACGTATAACCCATATGGGTGCAGTGTTGTCAACAGGTAATTGCTGTAAATCGTTGAGGAGTACCCTCGACTGTCTTTCGGCTCCATCATCAGATCGAAGTTAGACCTTCATAAAATAGAAGTGTTTAAAAAAAAATAACAGACGCACTATTTGCCACTTAGATTTTGGAAGGTTCCTTTCGATTTCTCTGGGATGCCATCATCAGTTCCGGTTTCCGCATCCTTTCCAACAAAAAAAGGAATCGTCAAAACCGGTTCGTAAACGACGAAGTTATCCGCGAACACACAAAAAAAATATTATATGTACATATAATTATAATGTTTTAATAGTGTGGGTAAATGGAGAAAAATCAGTGTGTGTCGTCCGTTTATTAAACGAGCATTGAAGTCAACGTATATCTCGTATTTTATTGTATTTGAATACTGCAATAATATATACGGTCGAATTGAGAAAGCTCCTCCTTTACCCACAACCAGACTGCGTAGAATAACTAATTCTTTTATGGGACAATGTATTCGTTTTAACAACAAAATTCCAGTTCACAATGAATCAATTTCTAAATTAAAAAAATTGTAAAGGAACGTTTGTGTGTTAAAGGCTATTATAATGTTAGTGATTATTTAAATGATAACACACCCTGGAAATGAAGTGATCGCTCCAGGCTCTTTCAAGTTGACTTCAATACATTTGTAACATGCCTTTTTTGAACAGAGGTATTTGATTTGATTCGATCAATAAATTCATATTTTGCAATTTAACGCATAAATTCAATACTTAAATTAAAATTTGTAGAAAATTTTAATTTTAGTATTGTACCTACGTCATCGGGATTCGTGCCCAAATGCTTTACCAAACTAAACCACTAAGCTAAGCGGCTGATAGTCACGCTCGCGGAAATCTCAACGTATCTTATCTACATTATTCTTTTGGCCTTTTAAGCGGTACGTCAAGTTCGTGGAATCAGGCTATTCTGCTCTATGAAAGCTTAAAAGTCTAACCATCGTCGATCATTTTCCGTTATGATATAACAAAAAAGGCGACCAATCACGAAACATTTGGAGTCACGTGTTTCATTTACAAGTTTTCTCTTTAAAATTTTTTACTGAAAAAAATATTCCACTGTTCTCGCATCAACAAACTAACAAATACTTTCGGCGCTGCGTGATTCGGACCTGCGTCTTCCATTTTTTAATTTATATTAAATAATCTAAGCGCTAAATCTAGCTCACTAATCTAATGAAGTGGCTTTCTTCAATTTGCCGTGAACGGGCCCTCTGCTTTTTGGACACATTATGCGATCTTCAAGGCACAGTCTAGAAAAGCAGATAATTACTGGCCAGATGAACGGCAGACGTGCTCAAGGCAGGGCACCGACAAGATGGGCTGACGTAGTGAAGAACGCGGTGGGCGGCAGCATGCAACGCGCGGTTCACACCGCTTACGACCGCACACAGTGGAGGAGAACATCATGTGGTCACGATCCTCAGCATTGAGGGACCGAGCAAGAAGAAGAGAGAATCTAATGAACTCACGGCGTGAGAATGTCAATATCCGTCCTGGTAAGTATCACGACCTCACAGGAGACCGGCGTGACGTGGAATATACTTTTGCGTTTCGTCTGGTGAGTGAGGTAGCCGGGGGTCATTTTATTACAAGGTGACAATGCATCGAAAACCGGGTGGTGTCTACGGGTGTTGCAAATGTCAATGGGCAGCGTTATCACTTGACATCACGTGAACCGCCAGCTCGTTTGCAACCTTTTCACATTAAGAAAAATCTTTATAAATTCTTTTAAGTATTTTTTTTTCTGTTTGTTATTAAAAAAATCGGAAACACGGTGAAATAGTGTATTATCAATAGATTCGACAATAAGCCAATTGAAAATGTTTTAGATTTTCATATGTAATCTTTAATGTTATTTTCAATTGTAAATATTAGTTTTTGTTTCCATCTGTAGGATCACCTTCTATAATACAAGTACTTGACGCCAGTGGGAATCGCACCCACAACCCACCAAGTGTATCGCTTACTGCGCAAACCGATCTTTGGTGTGCCCACTATACTTCGTCTCAGTACGTAGTACTTTACTGTACTTCTAGTACTTTCTAGGGATTTCATTGACGGTTGCGTGATTGTAATGTAAATGTCCATATGAATATTCGATAAAAATAATACAAAGTTTATAATTTAGCAATAAAATATTTTATTCGACAGTTTGAATTTTTATTTGATTGTGTTGCTAAATAAAACAATTCCAGAAAGAGTAGAGAACAATTGGTTTGTTCCGAAGCAGAATGTGTAAAAACGGCTATGAGCACAAAGTATTTATTATAGATACTGTGTTATTTTAAAGCAATTTTGATCTTATTCTAAGACGTTGTAAGTATATCAAAATCTGAATAAAAATTAAATAATCTAAAGTTGATAATCTAACGTCTTTTTCATAATAAGGTTGTAATTATTTATAAAACTCTTTCTATGCGCGTTATTAACATAAATCTTTAATAAATCTGGATACAATAAAGATATTGAATAATATCTCACACAACGCTTATTATAGAGCATTTCAAATTTCTCTAGACCGAATGTCTTTTCTTTGCAATAATAGTGAAAAATAGGAAATATTAGTTAGGCGAAATAATTTACGTAGTAAATAAATACGGGAATCGAATGAAAAATTTACACTAATTATAATATTTTTTTTAAGTAGACGCATAGTTATGAGCAATTTTTACCCCACACTATTTATTGACAATATTGAGATGTCTTAAGATTTGAAATAATATGGCGGAGTTAGGGAATATTGAGATAAAGCTTTCCTTTAGCCTTTAAATTCCCTACACTATTTAACTTAATAAGAACTATAAAGTGTAAAAGTCTATTTATTTACAAAATAGGTGGACTCTTCGTTAAAACGCTCAAAATGCACACAAACACTCTTTTCAGACCAACTAGGTATGTACAATTCTAGGATTTTGCACTACAAACTATTCCATCTTTCAAAGTAAGCACTAACTGAACCATTGAACATTGAATACACTATTCACTAATAATAGTTTTGGTTTCTTATATAAAAATAATTGTTTCGCTTCTTGCATAATCCACAATATAGATACTATACTGCTATATTATTTACATGACTGCCTTTGGATGTCAAATTTACTTAATTCGCTTTGTTGTTTACTTTTGGCGCGAAATTTTTATAATATTCTTTGCACAAAACCCGGTTAATACATTAATATGTATTCTAGTTTCGTTAACTTAAGGTATCTATAGATTTCGTGTAAAATATAAATGAAAATATGCATCAAATTGATGAAAGTAGACGCCTTATTTCCATATAATACTAAAATTAATAAATGCTGTAGGCGTTCGAATACGATTTATATTTAGCCTTTTAAGAAAGAAATAGATAAATAGCTCACATTAAAAAATCCTTTCTACTATAAAGTGCAACAGTTTTCACGCATTTAATGAGATAAATTTCTTAACACCGCTTTCGCAACACCAATGAATTTAATATATATTGTTTTTGTATTGAGCCTTTAAACGTCATAGTAAAAATTACAAAATACTCCTTAAAATTATTACAATTAAACTAAACACATTGAACTTATTACTATTTAAAGCATAGACAATAAATAATTAGCCATTAATTGCTACGCTATGGCAGTGGGCGTCATGTTGTAACAGTCTTTGTAAAATCTTTTAAGAACTATTGAGTTCACATTAACTCGAACTACAATAAACACGATTGAAAAAAAATTAACTAATTGAGATTCATTGGAAATCTTGTACTATGTGGGCTTCATACTCGTGTCTCCGCGTCATCTTCAGTAGTAGATTTCCTAAAAGTGTAATAAGATCACATTAGAATTAAGGTAGTAAATGCCGTGTCGAAGTATACTTACACGTAACAAAATTGTTTTTAAAAATTTGTTTTATTTTTAAACAGATGTATATGATATAATGAATAATACGAAAAGTTACATATCTAGCTTCGATAATATTTATAATATTTTTTTTTATGTGAATAGTTGCCAATCGAGCAGGCGGTTCACCTGTTAAGTGAATACCGCCGCCCATGGACATTTTCTACACCCGAAGGTTTGCAGATGCGTTGACAATCTTTTTGGAAATTAGGCTAATATATACGCATATAATCAAAAAAGAAAGATAACATGCTTTTTGAGTTACTCGAATTAGGCTTGGGTCCAGTCGTTCACTTTGATGAGCTCGTTCACTGAATTTCGTTCAATGAAACGAAGTCATTCTTCTTAACCGTTCAACAGACATAGAATAGGACTTCTGCGTTATAAATCAATATTTCTTAGAAAACCGAATCTAAATAACTCCCGAATTATTTACAAAAATAGATGTCAAAAATGATTTTAATTTCGAAGGCGTATTTAAATATCGATTCTATTTACAATAATTCTTTTTTTTTTTTTCAGAAAGAAAAAGTGATATGCATATATCATATCATATAGCGCTGAGAGTAAGTGCTGATGGTTTATAATAGCATCTCGCTCGTACGTTACGGCTGTCGATTGGCTAAAGAAACTATCTGATAATGGTTCGTCCACTTCATACTCGTATAGTGTCGGAGAGCGAACGAATGTTAAGTTTACTGCTGAATTAAGTATTAAACTACAACAATATTAGTTCAGCAGATCATCTAACCAACTTTACTGAGCAGGTCTTTTGAATGACTGGTTCATGAGTTACACAAGCCTAACTCGATTTTTTTGTTAATTAAAATTTGATGAAAATCATCGCCCTTACTATAAGATAACATTATCCTGCGTTGTAAGGGCATTTTACATACATAAATTTCACGTGAACACCCACCCAGACAGATCCGAAATAATTATCTATGGGTCACATAAATAGTTGTTTCGTGTGGGACTCAAACCCACGAAGTCATCTTGGCAACTGCGTCATGGAGTCATTTAATTGAATTAATAAAATGAAAAAAAATTAAATCTTATTATTTTCAAATTTTTTGTAGTTAATAAATTTAAAAACAGTTGTTTCCTTACCTTTTCGGTCCTTGCCAAATATAAATGTAATAAAATTTTGCAACGTGTTTAGGAATTATCCTTGTAACGCTATAGACAATTTTAATGAGGAGCTCCACAGATACAATATAGTCCTAATCGGTTGACAGGACAACAATGCATTACGTTCGGAACCATTTCATACGCTTAATAGGTTTAATAATTGTGAAAAATGTGCCAAAATAAAGATTTTCCATTCCGTGGACATTCATGAAGGTTATATATATATATATATTGTGTGTATGTGACCCATACGTTAGGAAATGCATCCAAACGTAATGTCAATATACATGCTTTTTAACATAGAATATATTTTACCTCCTCCCTAAGATGATTGCAGATGATTTTGCGCACGGCAACACCACCGGTTAGCAAAGCAAAAGATGATTTAAAATGAATTTTTCTCATACAACCGCCACCATCTATTGAAAATTTGTTACACGTTATTATAATCTGCTATTTTTCCACCTACTGGTCTTTATGAAAGTGTAAAAAGTGGAGACAAGATTAAATGAAATTTTGTAATTAAATTAATAATTCATGTGCTCAAGTTGTAACAAATAGTTTTGATAGAAGAAATTAACATATGGAACCTTTTGTGTATCACTATATTGTAGTGTCAAGAAATGTGTGTTGTATTTTATCGATGCTACTGTATTGAACTGAATGCGAACATGAAATTTTGCAATAAAACATGCATTAGAGTTCAATTTGGATAGATTCATGCTTTGGATCATAGTCGAAATTGTATTGAATGCAGAACGGTTATAAATTTCACGTTTTAGTTTACTTACTCGCTTGTTTCTCCCATACTCGCAAGCGGTGCGGCCATTTGCTGATGAGCTTCACCTAACGTATTAAGAAGAAAACGGGTTAAAAATATCCACACCATGGTCAAACAGAAGTAAAAAAAAGTAAAGTAACAGCCTATACAAGTCCCATAGCTGGACAAAGGCCTTCTCTATACAGAGGGTATCAGGGCGTAGTCCATCACGCGGTTCCACTGCGGCTTGGCAGACTTCAGATATCTTCGAAATATTTTTTTTGTTATTATTTCGAAAATATGCAGGTTTCCTTACGATTTTTTCCTTCACCGCAGAGCACGTGATAAGTCAGCACTTAAAATCAACAATTTCTTTGGTGCCGGCACTGGGGATCGAACTCGTGTTGCTCGAGTATATTGAATTAAAAGCGAGCATCCGGACACTGAGCTGTCACGGCTCATAGAAGGTAAACAGAGGTATAAAAAAGTACTGTGCGTCCAGAACGTTTATAACGTTCCCTTTTCGTATACATATTTAAATCAACCCTTTATGTGACTACGTATTTCAATATATTCACGGTTTAATTTCCAAATTAAACTTCATACTGCAGATTTTGCTGCCTGCTTATAGTGGAACCATTTATTCTTATGCATTTCGCGAGTGATTGAGGGTTCAAACTCTACAGGCGTGCAACGCAGTTACAGTCGCACGGGCGTTGATGTTGACCACGGATGACCACTTAATTTCAAATGAATCGTCTGCTCGTTTGTCGCCTTCTCTCGTAAATTGAAAAAAAAAAGCATGTGTGTACTTTTACGCACGTATCAGTTATACTTCTTTAGCGTAAAGACATAAAATGCAATTGATAACGGTTTATTTAAATAACTTGGAATTATTGGTAAATGTCAAAGAGTTGTTATTGGTTGGAAAAATTAAATTGGTTACCAATGATCATGTCGCTTTTTGAGGGTCGGCGTGTGCGCGCATCGAAAAATTTTACTCTCACAATTTTTCGAAACGCGCCAAAAGAAGTATAACTTACAAAAATTGACAAACGCTTATCGATGTGTGTACTCTTTTCTCCAAGTAAATGTATAGGCGAGAAACACGTACCTGCGTTAGCACGCGCATGCGACGACAGCGCCGCCTCACGGATACTTACGTGGTCCTCTTCGGCTAGAGAGCAAAATAATAGTCACAAGCAATACTAAACTAATTGCAGCAAACGTAGAAAACAACGCTAACTTAAAACAGGAGAAGCGTGGTTTGAAAACAATTTCAAAGTAGATAAACAATTGTGCAGAAATAACACGAGTGAACGCAGTCATCGGCGATATAAAACAATCTTCAAGTCTTACAACGTTTCATCCGAATCGACTCGCTAAGTAACCGAAAGGTATAATCGAGATGTCGTCATCAAATAAAATTGCAAAAAATGTTTAAAATTTGAAACAAAATAAAATAAGCGAGGTGATATAAATCAACATTCGTGTTACAATGTTGGATACGAATCGACTCGCTAAGTAACGGAAAAGGATAATCGAAATGTCGTCATCATACAAAGTGAGTCTAAATAACATTGCAAAAAATGTGTAAAATTTGAAACAAAACAAAACAAGCGGCTAAAAAACAAACCAACTTGAACGTTTCAAAACAAAAACTTTAACACGGTTGCAATCTAGCACAGCACTAACCCGTGTAGGGGAACAGATATTTGTCGTGCGGGTGATGCTTCTCGGAGCCCTCCGACACCGCGTCGTTGTAGTCCACGCCGTAATGGCCCTCCATCTTCCTCTGGTAGTCGTTCTTGAGCATCGTCGCTATGCCCGAGTCGCGGAAATCCCGCGGCGGGTAGCCCTGCTCCCGCGCGGGATTGCCCGAGTCGCGGAAATCCCGCGCGGGATTGCCCGGATCCCGGAAATCGCGCGAGCCGTACGCGTGCTCGCCCAAGTAGTTGGTGGGGCTGTAACCGTAGTCGGACGTCCGCGACGCGGACAGATACGTCTTGGAGCCGTACGGATTTTGCGGCAGCCTGTACATTGTCGGCGACATCGGATAGTTGGGGTCGTACGGCATCTGCTTCTCAGTGTCCGTCGGCAGTACGCCGTACATGAGCTCGTCTTCCATTACACCGTATCTGAAATACGCGGGAATCATATCTTTTTTTTATTTTTGAGGTGGCCCGAGGTGGTAACCGAGTTGGTGGTTCACCTGATGTTGAGTTAAAACCGCCGCTTATGGATATTTGCAACATCCTACAGATGCTATGCCACCTTTTAATGAAGTGGGTCTCGGTTAACCCACTCACCAGACGAGACGCAGAAGTATAACACTTTACTTCACGCAGCCGATGAAGTGGGTTGGTACTACCCCCCAGACGGACCTGCCCAAATTACGGTCGTTGCGTGGTCCTACCACGCAGCCGATGAAGTTCTCAGTAAATTACGGTCGTAAAAGGAGAAAAATCTTTTTGGTTTACGCCACAGGCCATCTGACGCTACGCTGTCATTATTTTAAATTAGAAAATAATAATTTGTTATCGGTTTAATTCAGACCAAAAGGTCCAAATTTATAATCATGGAAATTAAAAAGAAAAGGACAACTAAGATAATTTTAAATTTTTTAGTACTAATCTCTGCGCTTACGATGAAACATTAAAATATGTAGAAAATGAAAAAAAGTTCTTATTCTTATTCTGGTTTTTGGTCGACAAACAGTGTTAAAGACATTTTTCGGTCGCGATCGGTTCGATTGATGCGCCGCCGTAAAACTTTTCGAAACGAAGTCCATTTTACTATAAATTTTAAAGATATTATTAATTAGGAATATTCTAGGATAAAATTACATTATAACACAATTACTAGAAAAAGGCTTTCGTGATTCAATTTTATTTCCGATGATACGATTTCGTGATCTCCGATGATTTCTGAGTTGTTTGCAACAAATGTCACAGTTTACAGCTAATCTAAATTCATTGGTGTTGTATGACAACCGTGGACTTATCGGTGTACCTCATACGCAATGTCGTCATAGGCCATATCGGGGCCATACGGCGCACAAAAATATGAAGCCCTGATGGAAAGTAAAAGAAGTCAATGACCAAAACATTTTTCTGCTATTATCTTATATTTTTTTATTTATTCTGACAGAAGTGTATAACTTCTGTCAGAATATATCTACCAAGAATAGAGGAAAAATTGTATAGTTTAAGCGTATACGTAGGCCGTGGGTTCTCGAATGGAGACCACGTCTCGGAAAACGTAGTGTCGGACGTCCCCCTGCCAGGTGGACCGATGACCTGAGAAGGGTCGCTGGTGAGGAAGTGGCTGGATGAGGAAAGCGGAAGATCGTACTCTGTGGCGTACTCTTGGGGACGCCTATGTCCAGCAGTGGACTGCAAAAGGCTGATTGGATTGGATTGGATACGTAGGCCATGCGGGGTCATGCCCTTATGGTAAAGACGGTACTGCTCATACGAACCTGTTGTCGAGCGGCAGCCGAGACGCGTCCACGCTGGCGACGTACGTGTCGTGCACGTTCTCCAGGATGGAGGGCTTCGCGCGGTGCCGGCCGAGCTGGTACACGTCGGACGTGAGGTCCGGGTTGGGCAGCGGGTTGGGCGACGGCGTGGCGGCGCCCGGGTTCGGCCCCTCGTGGTCCGACGCCGTCTCCCGGGACCAGCGCCCGATGTCGGCCCGGTTTGTTTCTGGTAATAAATCAAACGTAGATATGTCGGGCCGGTTTGTTTCTGGTAGTAAATCAAACGTAGATATGTCGGGCCGGTTTGTTTCTGGTAGTAAATCAAACGTAGATATGTCGGGCCGGTTTGTTTCTGGTAGTAAATCAAACGTAAATAGCGTTTCAATTAACCAATTCTCTTTAAGTAAAGTTAATAATGGTGATAATACATAAACAAGTTCCATTAACACGATATTTTTAATACACTTGGTTTTTTGTATTTTGTTTAACATCAAGTGACATGCCCAAAGATTGCTTTAACAAAATGATCCTCTTCCAAGTTGTTTCATACCGGATGAGTAATTAAAATTCACTTGGTTAATTTGATTGTTTACTCCTTCTAGCTGTCTGTTTTTCGTAGATTTGATTTCGGACACACTAATGTATAATATCTAAACTACTGAGGTTTTTCAATTCGTATCAGAGTAACGTTTAAAAGGTAGTAAGTACACCGTCATCGAAATTTGACTGGTGTCCAGTAATTATCGTATCAATAAGTGTTAATGGAAAACGTAACAAACATAGGCCACATTGCTATAGATATGGCACAATACCTTCTCTAATGTGAGACGGCCAACGTGGTGTGATTCCTAAGGGCGCTCCTTCCGCTATGTTCGGTAGATAGCTTCCCGCGTTGCTGCTTGGGCCACGATCTCCTGTTGATTAAGAGAACGGTGTAATACTATTAATACTTAAAAAAATCTTTAGTTACGATATTTTTTGCGTTTTTGTTGATAACTAGCTTTTCGCACGCGGCTTCGCTCGCGGCTTCGCTCGCGTCGAAACCCTTAAATATCTTTCTATAAAAACTGTACGTATTTTTTAAAGAAATATATTTTCAACCCCTCACAAGACTTTTTTCCAATTATAATAGGCCGGGGAAAAAGTTTCTTCGCATTTTATATGAAAATTCAAAACATTTTTTAATAAAGTTTATTTACATTTAACTAAAGTATGTAGATGCCATTTTGTTCGATAACTTTCTGTCATCTTGTAGGTAGGGACATGATCCCATTGCTATAGAAATTCTGGGGCTTCTGAACAAAAAACCGCGACAAGTGGTTTTGGCAGTCCTCTCGTGATGTTAATCTGACACTGCCTAAAGAATTCTAAAGAGACCGAAACTAGTGGAAATCTGAAGGTGCAAGGTCAGAACTATACGGCGGATGTATTAACACCTCCCAGCCAATCTCTTTTAATGTTTGCTGAGTGGCTAAATGTATGAGGTCTAGCGTTATCATGATGAAAAACCACACCCCTTCTGTTGATAATTTCTGCCGCTTTCTCTCCACTTCTTGCTTTAATCTCATCAGTTATTCGCAGTAGAGTTCAGAATCAATGGTCCTGCCTGGCGGTAACAGCTCATAATGAATAATGCCCTTCCAATCCCATCATACACACAGCATTACCTTGTTGCCAGATAAACCGGGTTTTGCCTGTGTCTGTGAAGCCTGACCAGCCTTTGACCACGACCTATTTCGCACGTTCTTGTCGTACGTGATCCACTTTTCATCACCAGTTATCAGGTTTTTCAAAAATAGTTCGGTTTCATTAAGTCGTAATAAAGAATCACAAATGAGTACACGGCTCATTAGGTTTCTTTCAGTAATATCATGAGGCACCCAAATATCGAGCTTTTTTGTGTACCCAGCTTTTTTCAAATGCGCCAAAACTGCTTTGTGGTCAATTCCCAGTTCTTCAGCTACATCGAAACTACTGAGATACTAATCTTGCTCCACTTTTTCAAAAATGGCATCATTTTATCCGTAACAGGGCGCCCAGAGTGAGGTGTACTTTGACATCAAAATTTCTGTATTGAAAACGCTTAAACCAAATTTGTGCTACTCTCACAGACACTGCACTAGGTCCATAAATATCACAATTTTTTTCGCGGCTTGCGTTGCATTGTTACCTTTTAGTAGTAAAATTTTAAAATATATCGAATTTCTTCATTAGAATCACTCATCTTAATAGTAAGAAAAACAAATGAAAATCACACGTTTTCCTAATTTGAATTTGGAATTACCTTTTTTAAAATTTGAACTTTTTAATGATACCAAAACCAGCCAGATACAAATGGTATAGCCAAAGAGATTTTAAGCACATACATAGGTACTATTTGCGTAAAAGAGTTTTTCCCCAGCCCAATATAATAGCTTATGTCCTTTCTCAGGCTCTAGACTATCTGTGTACCAAATTTGTTTTAAATCGGTTCAGTAGTTTTGGCGTAAAAGCGAGATAGACAGACAGAGTTACTTTCGCATTTATAGTATTATATATGGATGGTGCGGGACGCTTCGCACTTGGCCGGCATTCAGTCGTACTCACTGGCGGCGGAGGGCGGGTGGCTGGAGCGTCGCGTGCTCGTCTCGTCGTCGTCGGACGAGTGGCTGGAGGCGAGCTCGAGGCTGCGCTCGCTGGCGTCGCTGTCGCTGTCCGTCGCCTCGGTCGCCTCGCCGCCCGCCTCGCCGTCCGCGCCCGCCATGCGCCGGCGGCGGCCCTCCTCTTTGGTCGCACGAAAAAATAACCGCTATATATACTTTGGCGCGAAAATGAGTACATTGTCATTAGAAAAAAAACAAAAGGAGAACCCCGTCCGCGCCGGCGATCTCGTCTTTAACTCAAGTACATTTTCAATAACGGGTAACAAAAACCGACCTCGAACATTCCAGTCGTTGTACGCTTTCCTAATTGTTTTTCGGGAGTTCCCAGATATATCTACGGAGACCAAGGTCATTTCTATGGGAACCATGCGGTCTTACTAAACCGAATACCCAATGTAAAAAGAATTTGTGAAATTGTTTCATAAATTAGGGAGTTCTGAGGGAACAAATATTAAAATAAAACAACTAAATCGAGGACCTCTTCCATTTTTTGAAGTCGGTTTTAAATTAAGAAAAAAACATTGTTGCCAAATTTACTGTTAATTGGTTTATACTCGTACTCTCGTACTCGTACAATGGTACTAACAAGTATTTGGCATTCGGAAACGAGAATTGAAAAGTCGTCAAATATAATATTTTGAAAACCTTCATATATAATTTTGCAACAGGTAAATGGGAATGAAAACGAGATCAAAAGGAAATTAACAATAGGAAAGCTCTGAGACATATTCCTTAACTCTTTTTGTCAATTAGAAAGGAGAAAAAGAACATGTGATATATTAGTAACATTGCTTCCGATCACAAAACTTTTATTATAACTGTAATATTAGTGTAATACACTGTTTTCTTACCGTCTTTTCTAGTATGAAGCGAGGAATCGAATCCCCTCAAGTAGTTGGGCATGTCGCTCGCGCTCGTGTTGTAGTTCGACGTTGACGTGCTCGTATGTCGAAGTTGTCCGTCGCTTCGGCTGTGTCAAGTAATGTTTCATCGTCATTATCATCATCACCATCATCATCATTATTCAGCCTGTTTGAATGCTGAACATGTTTCTCGTTAGGTGGGTACATTGGAAAATAAATCCATTACTTTCGAATTTTGAACTCTCAACTGTGGTAGTGCCACGTGGCCGGCCTTCGCTGTTGCACTTATATGCAGGTCCGTCCGGGGAAGTACCACGACCTCACAGAAGACCGGCGTGAAGTGGAAGTGTTACACTTCTGCACCTCGTCTTGTGAGTGAGGTAACAGGGGCCTACTTTATCGAAAGGTGACAACGCATTTGTCGCCCTATGTTGTTGCAATTGTCCATGGGCGGCGGTTATCACTTAACATGAAGTGACAGTCAGCTCGCTTGCCATAGATAAAAAAAATATCTTTTTAATTGATAGATTATTTCCGCCATCACTACAATGTTTAGCGGAACTTTATATTTAAGTATCGATTATGTTTTAACATTATTACTAAATTGCAATGCATGGTTTAATGTAAATGAAAAACATGAATAATATGAAATAACATGAGGATTTTTTATGTTTTATTTGTTACTTTACCTGTATGGGCTTGAACTAGTTTTCGTGGTGGACCTTGACGTTGTGGACGACGCTGATATTCCAATATTTCGCAGTTGACGGCCCGACTCAGCGCCACTGTGGTACGATAACGCAGACCTGGAGGAGTTATTTACTTATTTATCGTCTTTTTTAAGATTAAATGAAAATATCTCAATGTTTTTTTTAAATTAGGGCTAAGTGTTAAAAAAAGGTTTAAGAAATAAAACTAAGTGGAATTTATTGAAATCTATGTAGTAGTTCTTCCGCGATGCTTGTACAACGGCGGACGTCTATAATTTTATTTACATAGATAGTTTTTATGAAAATGGGAGTTGTAACGAATTATGATAATGAAGTATTTGGAAGTTTCGTAACAGAAATTTGCCAATAATTAGTTTGGAACAAGATTAGATAAAAAAAAATATATTTCGAATGGTATCGAAAAGCTAGACAACAGCTTCCGCTGTTCCGAATGGGCTCCTGCAGAGAAGTTCCATGGTGTCTATTTCATGATTTTACGTTCTTCTGTCTGGTGTAAAATTGAAGTTTTCATACTTTTGGATTTCACCATTTCATGTCAGGGAGGTAACCGTGATGTCGACCGACTTCGTCAAGTATGGGTGAGCAAAATTTACCAGAAGAACTTGTTTCATAGAGGGATGCTTTTATTGCACATTCTATATTATTTACTAAGATTTCTCAAGTAGTGGACTTAATGTCGTCCGGCTAAACTTTATTCAGCTACTCATAAAAAAGTGTGCTAGCATTGTGCTTTCGAAACAGTTAACTAATAGTTATTATTTTTTTTTATTCTCATGTTTGATTAACGTTTTTTATGTAAGCAATTGTACAATTAAACGTACCTATTTACTTGTGAAAGGTTCTGTGCGCTTGAGCTGATTATAATAGACGTGTCCACTGGCGGGACTTTCTTCCCCATGCATCTGAGAATGGATCTGTTAAAAAGCAGAGATTATTGCATGGCTTAAAAAGCAAAGAAGTAAGTACATTTTTGCTTTTATAATTCTGATGACCGTACAGTGAGTAATAGCGATAGTAATGTAGTTTTAATATATATACAATTATTTTTTAATACCAGTAACTGGCAATCAAAAGTTCTCGATATCGGTGAAATAATTACACAAAATACACAAACTGTATTTTAATTAACAAATCACGATCATCATTATTTACAAAGATAAATCATAATTCTATCCCGCGTTTCTTTGGGAAATTTTATCATTTTGTTGAACCTGATCGCCAAAGAAACTTACACTGTATGAAAGCAAAAAATAATGTGTAGAATAAAGAAGAGAACGTAGAGCTGCGCTGTAATACGTGAAAGCAAAACAATAATTAAAAATCAAAATAACAAGAATGATTAAGAGGACGTAGAGCTACGGCGAAACAAAAAACAATCGGTAAAATAAAGAAGTGAACGTAGAACTACGCCTAACATAAAATGAAAGCGAAAAGATAATCTGTGGAATAAATACGAGAACGAAGTGCTACGCCGTAAATACACGAAAGCAAAACAATAATGTGTACAACGAGTAAGAGGACGTAGAAAACACAACCGGTGGGTGTAGAATAAAGAAGGGACGTAGAGCTACGCCTAACATAAAATGAAAGCGATAAGAAAATCTGTAGAATAAATAATTAAAAGTTGTGCTACGCCGTAACGCTACACCGCTAAGGCGAAAACGTCGTGTAGCTATGGCGTAGCGTCCGAGCTACAAACGCACCGTCGTAGGTTGTCACGCACGCGCACGTTGAGCAGCACGTGGCCGAGCGCCGCGGCGGCCGCGTGCAGCGTGACCGCGCCCGCCAAGAGCGAGCTGAGCGCCGCCCTCCGCCCGCCCGCCTCGCTGCCCAGTATGAGCGCGGCCGCCCACGACACGCACAGCAGGGGCAGGCACACGATGCTTATCGCCAGCAGCATCCTGCTGGCCGACCCGTCGTGAGGTTTCTCTCAACGTTACTTATAGATATATACTATATTCCTCAAAATATTATAATGTTATACAGTTTTTAGAAACAGCTTGGAAGCGATCAGTCAGTGACTGTGCAATATTATGTTGAGTCTGGCTTTGTGTTTGGTTAAATATATAATATGATAATAATAAATATATATATGTATAGGATAATAGTATAATAATTTTAATGAGTTAATCTGAATCTTGAAATATAAAATGTTTGACTTTTTACTCAAATGTGAATGCACCTTTAGCCTGCGATCTATTAATGTGGGTAGTATTACCTCAAGTTTCCAAAGCCAGTGACGTGGTCTCGAACTGTGAAGGCTGCGTGGGTGGCGCCAGCCAGGAATATGACCGCGGCTGCAGCGTACACTGCAGCGGGGATCACAACCCACCAGACTACTGGCTCGTGGCAGCTCACCCAGCAACTGTTTGTTAAAAGCCATGATAATTAGAACGGACATTTTGTGTTCTTTAGGGTGATCTCTATATAGGAATTATAGAGTATATCTATAGATCTAGGTATATACTACAATTCTTATACTAAGAACAGACGTATACGCAGTTACCGGTATTGAATCTAAGAAAGTATTGGGTTTGCTGATGTCTCGGTGACGCATTTGCTTTGGCGCCGGTAGTGTGATTCATTCCCATTGGGGACAAGTAATAATAATGCAAAAAGAAAATTGTTCTAGACGTTTGTTTCTGACACTAGCGCGTTGCCCTTGTCATTATCAATGGCTATCAATGACAGTGGAGCGAAACTCAGAACAAAGTGTTGTCGTACTGTTGGTCATTATCTGCTACTTCGGTATTTCTTATACCGGCGCGTTGCCGTACTGTAACGCTTTGCGGCGGTGGACCGTCACTTAAAACAGCGCGTTGCCGTACTGTTGCGTATCCGCTACTTCGGTATTCCTTATACCGGCGCGTTGCCGTACTGTAACGCTTAGCGGCGGTGGACCGTCACTCACAACAGCGCGTTGCCGTACTGGTGCGGGCGGTGGGCGGCGGCGAGCGCGAGGGCGACCGCCGGCGCGGCGTAGGCGGCGGCGAGCGGCGCTGCCAGCCCGCCGTGGTTCACGTCGCGCAGCTCGCGCAGCAGTCGGCGCAGTTGCCACGCCTCGCACGCGGCCCACCCGAGCGCCGCAAGCCACCAGTAATGCAGCGACATCGCCACCAACTTGCACGCGAACTGACGGATCATGTTGTTTTTTATTGAAGAAGATGACAAGCGAAAAGCCTGTTCACCTGATGTTAAGTGAATACCGCCCCCCAAGGACATCTGCTACACCCGAGGGTTTGTAGATGTGTTGGCAACAGTTTAAAAAGTGGGACCCGGCTACCTCACTCACCGTACGAACGGTCTTCTTTGAGGTTGTGGTACTTCCCTGAAGATTCGTGAGATTTTGTCTATATATGCCACGAGTTGTGATATTTTATAAATCAAAAATGAATCTGAAACATTATGCTTACCTCATTTTGCACCAAAGAGTTTCTTGCTTTCAGCGCAATCAAGTAAAGGAGTTCAGCCATAAACACACAAAATACGAGGTGTTTGTGTATAGAGTTGGAAACAGTGGCCGCGCCACCACGCATGAGGCACAGAGCAGCCCAAGTTGTGAGTAAGAGTGGAAGGGAGATACTGAATGCGGAGTATGACGTCACTGACTCCAGTAGAGAGGGCTCCGGTATAAACTGTGAATTTTAAGACGATAAATGTAAGATTTTAACATTTTATCTATATAAGTAACAGCCTATACATGTCCCACTGTTGGGCAAAGGCCTCTTCTATACAGAGGAGGCCTTTGCCCAACAGAGCAATTGAGCCGTGATAGCTCAGTGTCCGGGCGCTCGCCTTTAATTCAATATACTCGAGCAACCTGATTTCGATCCAATGAAGTTTTTAACTTTAAGTGCTGACTTATCACGTGCTCCGCGGTGAAGGAAAACATTGTGAGGAAACCTGCGTATTTTCGAAATAATAACAAAATAAAAATATTTCGAAGATATGTGAAGTCCGCCAATCCGCAGTGGGGCCGCGTGGTGGACTATGCCCTGATACCCTCTGTATTTTATCTATCCTACAACATAATTCATGACTTTATTGAAACTATTTATTATTCAAAATAAAATCAATTTGTATAAAAGATTATTTATTAATCTATACATTTTAAATCTTTGTAGCAAATTTTATGATGACGATCGATAGTTATATGAAAGAAAAAATTGCTTACTGCGAGTTCCAAACAATTCGATTATGTAGCATAGATTTTGGACTTATGACATGACATTCAAATACAAAGTTACAAAAATTCACCTGAAAAATTTGTATTATTTCTTACCTCGATATCGACTTCATCAACCAAAACTGCGAACGTTGACAGATGATTACACGTGCAATTAATTAATAGTGGCTCATTGGAGTATGGCGACCAATCGTAGTCAATTTCGGTGTGACAACCCACTCGGGACCATTCACCAGATCTGGACGAACAACACAATATGTTAAGGTTTAACATATCGTCGAGTTGCGAAGAAATACAAAATTAACATTCCGATTAATTATAAGTTCGTTAATCGTCATCCTCATATCCTTATCCCACTTCGGTGTCATCGGCACAACATTTGAATCAAGTTGTTAATGGTATCGGCCAGGTTTTTCGACCTGTCTAACGTAAAACCTCCTTGGAAACAAACATGGAGAAGTATCGGTAGGTTACGAAACGAAATAAGTATCGGTGGGATACGAAAATACTGGCTCGTATGAGAATCCATTCCACGTCCCACAAACCCACGACAGTGCTGAAGCCACTAGCTTAGCCACTGCGATACCAAATTAAGTATTTCGGTAATGAGTAATTAAGTAAAAATATTGTTTACAAGAAAGGTCACCATTGACTATTCTGTTCCTGGTCATTTACATACGCAAAGTGCTTTATTATATTTTTTATAATATAACATTATTAAAAAGATAAAGAAAACCTTATTTAATCGCTGTTAACTTAATCATTCAGATTAATCGTTCAGATATTATTTTCAGAAAAATCTGTACTTTACTTTAACACTAATATTATTAATAAATTTAACATTTGAACTTTTAACGAATCACTACAGGATTAGTCATAACATCGTAATGGTAAATTTATTACTAATACTTCCTTACCCTCTTAAAGTTGACCAATGCACGCATTGTGGGTTAGTTCTCGACCCGAATGTTTCTCTATTTATGTCCAGCCACAATTGTAACCTGATTGGCTTTCTCAAACGAATGCCACCCAAGCTTTTATACACCAACTTCTTTTTGTCTGCCTCCTTGCTGGAGTTGCCGCCATCTTTGTTTTTGTCATTTGGCGCCATTGTCAATGCCATTACTTTTAGGTTGTCCGCACCGTCAACTTTGATGATTTTCTCCGCGCCGTACATAGAATTGTTTTCGCGCAAATTTTCACTATCACCGTTATCCTGCTTTTTGTAAGCGGGCTGTATTACAACCGGTCCGTGGTGATCTCCGTTCAAATTATCGTCCTCATTGGCATGAGGCCAATTGTTTCTGGACTGTGGATTTGTGCTGATCTGATTCGTTTGCGTTTGATGATTCTGCCCTTTGTTGGCGTAGACGACACCTAAAAATATTTTGCATAGGGTCAATAAAATAAGAACATTTAAAACGCGTCAGTGTGTCCTGTTTGTAAATGAAACTGACCCCGGCTTTGACTACGACGCTATTACGTTAACTTTATAAGTTGATTATAATTCTCATTTAATTGCAAAAATGAAGTACACTTAACGAATATGAGCAAAAATAATATTTTGTTTAATTACATATTTATGTATGTTGTACAATAGTTATGACTTCACAATTGTTAAGCCGCTATTAAGCATAATATCACTATTGCTTTGAGGTTGGTAAAAATAAAAAAAACTACGATTTGCACATTTTTTGTGGAATATAATGAAGCCACGCAAAAAGTCGAGTGAATGTTGAGAGTAAGGAAGACAGAAGGGCGAAGTGTGTCCTCAACACGAGTTCGTGACAAGAAAACAAGGTTTCCTCTAACAAAAGAACCTCCAGATTAAACAAGGTAAACATTCACCGGCCGCGTCGCTCCCGTTCTCTATGCTCTCGTTGTCGCTGGCCTCTCTGCTCCACACGAATTCGGGCACGTACAGGGCCAGTTGGAGTATGGGCGAGCCAACGGTGATGTTGACCCCCCACCGTCGGCTGACCGAGTCATCCATGCGCAGCGGCATCAGCTGAGATGTGTTGCGCGAGTATTGCAGGTAGGAGAACACTGCGCGTGATTCGTAAATGGACGCAATTTCTGTGGAATATACGATTCGTTAACAATTAAATGTATGCTGTACTAGTTGGATGCCATAATAATTGTCAATCCATATAAAAATAAAAAACTATGTGTGTACTTATGTACGTTGTACGTTGGTGTGCGCGCATAGCAAAAATTTTATTCTCATATTTTTTTTCAAACGCGCCAAAAGAAGAATAACTTCATACATATGGCTTCTTCAATTAAGTAAGTGACCCTGCGGTGATGGTGATACATATGTATTCTCCTATCCACTTTTGAGTTTTATTTAAAATTGAACGTGAGGTTTGGCAATATACCGCGGTACAATGGACTTTAAACATAAATTTTTTTAAACGAAATTTGGCTATCAATGCTCAGTAATGCGGTTAATTGATTTCATATAAATAACATACAACATTTGATTGTTTCTACTTGAAATTAATTAATTCAATTAGGATAAAATTGCTGCTCCATATGAATACGCCGTTGAAAATATTATAAAATCTATGCAGAACAAGTAAAGTTTTTATCTGAAGTCAACGAATATCATTGTTGCATAAGAGCATTGTATCGTTCTAATGAAAAATTATTGATGATTTAACTTACCCTCACTGTTACTGTTTATTCCCAGCAAATCCAGTGGCAGTAGAACTCTCGAGTGCTTGTCGAACTTGTTTTTGTTTTTAACGTAGTTATTGTATTTCGGGAAAGACACTGTGGGGCTGGATGGCTTCTTCGGTTTCGATTTACCGTTTCCATAGTAACCGGGTTGTATGGGAGAGTGTATGAACGCCGAAGTGTCCGGCAGTATGACCCGTTCAGTTGTCAACGATTCCGAATTGTATCGGTTCAGCTGAGTGGGTTCGAAGCCGTATATCGACTCAGCGGTTACAATGTCCACACCAATAACTGTAATGTACAATTAATGACAAACACTTCACGCTTACAATCGAGACTTTAATGTAATATGACAGACTTTTAAAACTGTTTTCTTTCATTCAGCTAAGGTTTATTTAACTGTATTTGTATACTGCAGTACGCGATGGCGTTTGTCTAATAAATGCTGTATTTTTATTTGATATAGTCTACAAGCTTAGGTTCAACTTTATGAAACTAATCCACTAAAAACGTTAAATGATTAGTTGTTTGAAAATTCACGTTTTGCTTTTCAAAACACTTATTATAATTAATATTCCTATTAAATGATACTTTGTAAATAATTAAAAAGAACCATTCAATGAGTCAATGCTGTATGTCTGTTTGTATAATTAGGTAATATTAAAAAATATCGATCTAAAGATTAATACAAATGTAACTAATGGATTTTTAATGTGCTCACCCAAATCACTGGTAACAATTTCAAAGGGACTGGTGTAGGTATCGTGCTGGCTCTCAGCCAACACTGAAATGTATTTGTCGAATTTTTGCATTAAGTGTTCGACGCCGTGACCGGTCAGCTTCGTGATTCGCTGCCACTCTTTCTCGTATTCTATGTTCAGTATGGTGTTCGCCGATTTCATTATATTCTGTGAATTTGACATTATTTTTAGAAAATTACGGTTTTTATAATGAGTTAGTAGTGATAAAAAGTAATACACTTATTACCATACTTTTGAGGCTTCTGTACTTTTGAATGGATGACTGTGTCTCCAATGAAAAATGATATTTTTATTAATCACGGCGGACTTAGTTTTTGATAGTAATCTTAAATTTTGATAACTTTGAATATAATACTTTTTATACATGTTTTAATGTTCAATCTTAAGTGCAGAGATTAGCACTATAAAAAACTTAAAAATTTATAAAAAGCAATGGCGACATCTCTCGTTCGAATTATCGTTGTAAAACGATATTCGAAATTGTTTGTATGCTGGAAAGGATATAACAATAGATGCGCCAAGCATTGCTTCAAATGCTAAATAACAATGTAGAAGGAAGGCGTTAAAATTTTTCGTCGCCGTGGTTATCAGCCGTTTAGCTCAGTGGCTAGAGCGTCGGGCCGCGAATGCCGAAGACGTGGGTTCGATTCCCACAGCGGCGACAATCTTTTCGTACTTTTTCTACATGTTTTAATGTTCAATCTTAAGTGCAGAGATTAGCACTATAAAAAACTTTAAAATTTGAATATAATATAAATACTATAAATATAGGTAATATAAATTTAGAGGCTGTCTATCTTTAATATACTTAGAATTTTGACCATCGCTCGTTAAATGTAGTTTAAGTGCGTGTGTGTTCTAAGCATGTACGTATGAAGTTAGCGTAGCAAGTAATAAAAACAGAATAACTTAAAAGTTTTATCACTTGTGCCAGTCTTTATTTGTGAAAAAGACATTAAATGCAATTGATAATGGTATAATTAAGTAACTTGGGACCTATGGGTAAAAAGTTGCCACGTTTTACGGCAGCAACCAATAACAACTTCGCTCCGCAACGAAAACCATTGCGTGGCCCCGCCGCAGTTAAACGGAAGGATAAGTGTGCGGGCGGCCTTACCCGGACGTAGTCTTTATCCTGGCTGTGCGTGAGGTTCAGCCCCGCCTGGTGAAGCTCGTACTGCATCAGCTCGAGGAGGATGCCCTCCGTCACGAGGACGTCTGCCCCGAATAGGCGCGCGGTCTTGGAGCAGGCGGTGGCCAAGTCCTCAGCGAGACGCACCCCGACGAAGGTGTTCACAGTGAGCTCACCGGTCTCTATTTTGTGCAGCTGAAACGAATTCGAAGTAAGTTTATGAACAGTTTGCGTATATACTAATGATATTTAAAGATTCACGAGGTAGATTTATTTTATTATTTAAATAGAACCACACCCGCACTCGATAGAATTCATGTGTGTGAAGCACCACTACAAACAAACTCACTGTTTCAAAAACATGAAATGACTATTTTTTTATCCGGGTAAGTACCACGCCCTCGCAGAAGACCGGCGTAAAGTAGAAGTATTACACTTCTGCGTTTCGTCTGGTGAGTGAGGTAGCCGGGGCCCGCTTTATTAAAAGGTGGCAACGCATTTGCAACCCTACGGGCGTTGCAAATATCCATGGGCGGCGGTTATTACTTAACATCAGGTGAACCGCCAGCTCGTTTGCTACTCTCTCACATAAACAAAATGAAAAATTGCCCTTACAGTGTTGTACGAGTAATTTACGAGCTGTTCATCGATTATCTTCAGAAATGTTTATTAATAATTTCGTAAAACTACAATAGTTGTCTTTATTTATAGTTATATAAACGTCTTCGGCTTAAAAACGAGAATTGTATCAGTTTTAAGTCTGTTGAAATCGACAAATATTAAGCCAGGCTAAATTTTGAAATACTAAAAAGAATCATTTAAAAGTTTTCAAAATAAAAATTACGTTGCTAAAAACCATGACGTGAGTCAAGGCAGTCTCAAAAGGGGGTGAATTTATTAGTATTACCTGCTTTCGAAGCTGGTAAAAGGTAGAAGTTGTGCAGTTGAACATGTCTGGTTCTTGCCACGGGACCACTTGTATTTCGTCGCAAACGCGGGTCGCTTTGCCGCTTGAACCTGTTTACGTCAAATAACATGACAAACACATTCTATGAAAACTCTTAGTGAAATAATTACCTACTTTGTTTTCACATAAAGTTTTAAAGGAAAACTGAGAAAAGTTATCACCTGGTGGACAATCAGTTATCGCTGCGACTCCAAACTTTGTCCTTGGCCACCAAACTCCGTTTGAATACGATCTAGGGCAACCATCGTAAATAACTGAAACAAATTTTAAGAATAAGTTTTAAGTAAATACATTTCATAATAAATTAAAGTTGAAACAGTTTTTAGTGTTAAAGGCATACGCCCTTAAGGCTACTATGTCCATAAATTTAGAATAACATTTTTTTTGTTCTATTAATCAGGTATTTCATTATTTACAATACAATTTTAAATAATTACTTGATTGCAAATGCCACGATGAATAAGAGAGATTAAGAAGAAACATTTCATTAGTTAACGACCTCTCGTCACGTATATAATCCTCTCAAATTAACGACACAAAATTTCAAAGGTTGTAAAATTAGAAAAAGGTTTTTACGAACCCTTGCAGCCGGTGTTTGGGGTGACCTCCGCGTAGACGTTGGAACAGGAGTCACAAGCTCGGCCGATGACCCCGCTACGGCAGTGGCACTGTCCGGTCGTGTCCTCGCAAGAGCTGTTGAGGGAGCCCGCTGCGTAGCATTGGCAGGGCAAGCACTCCTCTACGTCGGGCGGCTTGTAGTGATTCTCCTGAACACGTGATGTGTTTCGATACTTATGATGTTTAACGACGCAGCCATTTTCACGCGGCATTTGTATGCGTGTCTGATTTGTATAGTTTTCCATTCAAGCCGATTTCTGATTTCCTTTTTTTTTTGATAGTAGTCGGTACAGTAAATTTTTCGAAATTAGGATATAGTAACGTGACTTGAATAGCTCCGACTGAAGTGGCAATGTGCGGGTATATGGCATGTAGAACCGATAGCCGATGGGGTAGAGAGGTTTTGTAAGTTTTGTAATGAGTTTCCGGAAAGTAAAGTCTGATTCTATTAATTACCAACATCTACCCCAGCTAAGGCCGAAGTAATAAGACAGACGGTTCATCGGCATGTCTTTGTTCATGTTCGTTTTTTGTATATGTACGCTTAAGTGTAATATCGCGGTTGTGTGCATACCTTGTAGCGGCAGCGACCGTCCCTCGCCAAGCAGGTAGGGTGTATGCACGGTATGTGATGGCTGTGAGCATACCTTCCAACGGCAGTGACAGTCTCTCACCGCGACGTGCGGGTGTATGTGCACGAGTATGTGTGTGCGAAATGTCGCGGAGGTGTGCAAACTTTGCAGCGGCAGCGATCGTCATCGTCCCTCGACGAGGGGAGTGGGTGTGTATAATCATGAGTATGTATGTGTGTGCGAAATGTCGTGGTTGTGTGCAAACTTTGCAGCGGCAGTGAGTCGCGGGGAGTGGGTGTGTGAGTAATGTGTGTGCGTCAAGTCGCGGTTGTGTGAATACCTTGCAACGGCAGCGGCCGTCCCTCGCCGCGCAATGGGGATGGTAGCCCCGCGCCGAGTCGCAGTCGCACGGCCCGCAGCCCGTCACGCCCCACCACCCGCCCGGGCACTCCTCTTCCCGTTGCTCCGTGCAACCGTCCGCTAACATCACAACAGTGCGGCCATTACATTCACAAACATCCAGTAAACATGCTTAAAACTGAGATGTTTTATCATATCGTCCATATGTTGGTTTGATGTTCGTTCAACCGTGTCAGCTCAATGCGTCGTGGTTGGAAGAATTAAGACGCTTTGAAGAAACGTACGAGCTTGGTCGAATTTTTTGTTGTTTTTTGTTTTCTGATTAGGTCTACACTCACGTAACACGTAACACTTCATATAATGTATATCTAGACACAAAATCTATATTAAGACTGTAATATTGAACTCTTTACTTTGGTCCGTAAAATTACCATAAGCATATTTTTGATCGATAACAATACCATTTCTTGCCTGTATCTCTGTATCTATATCTGTGCCTCTTGATATATAAAATAAAATAAAATAAACACAATTAAAATTTGTAGTAAATGCGAATGCCGAAGATGTTGGTTCAATTCCCACAGCGGCGCCAATCTTTCCGTACTTTTTCTACAATATTTAATGTTTAATCTTAAGGGCAGAGATTAGCATTATAAAAATTACATTTCTAAAAATAAACACAAATAAATACTTAAATTTTCTTAAGACGATTTCATGTATTTATCAAGAAATCGTCCAAATAAAATGTATGTATGAATTGGACGATGTAGGCGATTACGAAAAGTATTTGAATTATACTAATTTACCCATTGTAGCATAGTCTTATAGTATGTTCGAGTTTCGTTGTTATGAGTTTTATACCAGACTCAGTACGGGCACTCACCGGTCATAGAGTAGCCTTGTTCGCATTTACAGCTGTAGCCCCTTTGCGTGTCGTCGGGCACGCAGACTGCGTGGGGGCCGCAAGGGCGCAGCTCGCAGGCCGCCGTGCACTGTGGCCCAACGCGGCCTCTCTCGCACACACACTCTGTGCTATCCCATTCGGCCTCGCAGGCGCTCTGCGGATTCAACATAACTGTGGTAGGGCCACGCAACGGCATCGGCTGTTGCACGAATGGACGGCTCCGTCCGGGTAAGTACCACCTCACAGAAGACCGGCGTGAAGTAGAAGTGCGTTTCGTCTGGTGAGTGAGTAGAAGGTGGCAACGTATTTGCAACCCTACTGGTGTTGCAAATGTCCATGGGCGGCGGTTATCACTTAACATCAGACTTGCCACCTTCTCGCATAAAAGAAAAACATTAACTATTGACGAATCCATATATGTAAAGTTGTGAAGGGCACTGACTTCTGTAACACAGGGTGACCTAGCACAGGAGTCAGACTTCAATATTATATCCTAACAATATTGTATCTTATTTCTTCGAATTTTATATTTTCAGGGCAATTCAGGATGTATTTTTACACCACGTTATCTAGTCCGAAACAGTTACCTGTTAAACAGGTAACTGTTAAACATACTTAAACATATTTTGCTTTTGTATATAAATACATATTGTAGAAATAAAATACCCAGATACTAGAAAAACAATTAATTCATCACACAGTATTTTTCCAGTAATGGGGATCGAACTCACATCCTCTGGCGCAGGAGCATGTCCACCTCTATCCACTAAGTCAATCGGATCGATAGGGTTATAAATGCAATATTAATACTTTATTTTGTATGAGTTGTATAAGTAAATAATAATAATAATTATTATTAATATCGCTTTTTATCGCACGTTTCGCCCATAGCACCGTATAACCATTATTACAAGATTCAAATTGTGGCCGAGGCAGAATGAACCTATCGGCAGGTTTTTAAAATCGATATATTTCGTCCCTTACCAGAACTGTTGACCCTTTCTGTTAATTAAATCCCAGTACTTGTTAGTTATTATCAAAAGTATTGATCTTTGTTACTTGAATTCTGCAATAGCATCACTGTGAAAATGATGCTGCTGGCGGAAAAATTGACCTTACCTAATGACGTTGTACTAGAGGGTCGTTGTGTTCATAACCAGATTGGATTGAAAGCTTTAAGCTTTTCCAAAATGAATTTTAATTGGCTTATATAACTATTATATAACATATAGAAATAATTGCAGTAAACACTTACGTAAGGAGGACAAATCGAGAGCATACAATCGGCCTTAGATTGACATCCGTCTCGAACATTCTCTCTGACTGTAGGTCGGTTAAGTAACGATTGTGCGGTGCCCACTCGGACGTCCTGATAAAACACGTTTAATGAAAGCTCCACACAAGTGCGAAATACAAAGAAAATATACTTCCTAGGCAAGTGTTGCCAGTAACTGTGGTAGGGCCATGCAACAGTCTTCACTGTTGCACCAATGGGCAGGTCCAGTTAAGTAACACGACCTCACAGAAGACCGGCGTGAAGTGGGAGTATACTTTCGCGTTACTTCTGGTGAGTGAGGCATTTACCACTTTATTAAAAGGTGGCAACGCATCCTACCACGAAATACTATTCTTGAAATTGTACTAAGTTTAGATTGTAAGAGCGCAAGCAAATAAACTTTAAAGTATGGTCTTACAGTTTACAGAAAATCCAATGGATTATAGATGATTAAAATTAAAATTTCCCCTCAAAATTTGCCGCCCTAGGGCTTAGTCTAAATCCGCCACTCAAAGGACTAATTTTCACCGGTGTTCAGAGTGGAAATGGACAACTTTCAATTTCCGTAACGAACAAGCTCTTGCTATTGATGCAAAAGGCACGCAGCCTTTCTACCACAGATAAATGAAAATAATATTTGAAAAATTATTCGATTGTACTGTACAAATAACTGTATGAAACCAACCTGAATGCATCCCTCGAAATACCCAACTTCGGATGCTAATAGGCCAGCGGTGGTGTCGGGGCCGCCGATGAGAATTTTGCCAATATACTGGCCCTGTATCTTGTTGGCCAACATCGGTAGAAGCGCGCTCCGCAGGCCGTAGTCTATTCCGACCGATATGTCGGTACCTAGCCACTTGATCTCTATGCGGTGCCAGATCCCATCTGCTAGGTTTGTCGACGGTAGGAACATCGTTTCGCCATTGTAAGCGTAGTGGAGGAGACCGGACTTGAGCTGTGGAAAAGTGCCTCGGTATTACGTACGATATAAAGGAATGAAATCGGTATACAAACTCGTATGTTGTACCGTGAACACCGAAGGTGTTTACAAATGTGCCGAATTAACCATAGCCATCAGCAAGATGCCGATTTGATTTAGAAGTGTTAGCCAAGATTAAAAAAAATTAAAACCACACTTTGACACCTTATCAAAAATTAACAGACGGAGGGTACTGACAAATTGCTAATTTTGTAATATAATAAGGTTGCATAAATTTACCGTAATATTCTATTAATTTATAGATCGTTTTACCCGAACCACACAGTTCAAGATAACACTGTATACCACATTTTAAAATAATTGACATCAATAAACAGTTAGTATGTATATATAAAGTAACTCAAAGCCACCACCAATGTGACCAAGCCCTCCCACTAATATTTTTCACGATTTTGAGGAAAGAATTAATCAACTTTGTTGCTCCCTGAACGTATAAAAATTGAGCTAATGTATTCATTTACTTACACTGATGAAGACACTGCTGTTCTGTCCCACTTGTATTGACATAAGGAATGCGTCGAGCTGTCTCGTTCTAATGGTGAGAGCGTTCAGCCAAGGCAGCTGTATGGGTCGCAGCAGCGGGTTGAAAGACAACATGCCGTCACCGCTGAATCGCCACGGCGCGGAAGTTGCTAATGGCAAAAGAAATTATAAACGAAATTGCCATTTTATTTTCAATTCATTTTGGCACAGACAGTCAACAATACTACAGCAATATGATTAAAATAATAAGATTTTAAAGTAATAGACAAGGAGTCCCCATCTAATAAGCGTCCTAAATCACGAAATTTGACCTCTCCGAATTGGTGACGAAATGGTCATAAATGGTCAGTGATTTGTAGCAATTGGTCAATACTTTGGCGGCTCAAATTAATCTTAGATATCCGATCTGAAATGATTTAAATTGGTCACAAAATGGTCAAAGTAGTTCAATTAATTCTGATAATTGTTCAATGTTATTCACTTACAAATTAGAAAAGTTAACAAAAATTACAAAATAATAATTTTTCAATATCAAGCAAAAATACGAGAAAGTTACGAAATACACACAATTGGTCAGCAGCTTACAATAATTGGTCAACAGTATAAAAATAATCAATGTATTTTAAAATTATATATCTTTATATATTTAAAATTGCCATTACGAAACGGTGGTAGATTTAAAAAAAATATGACTATCGATAGATGAAATGTAAGTTTCTTATGTCGATGAATGAATGATTTTTGATTTTGCTTCACTTTCCTCATTAAAGTTAAAATATTTATAATCTGTATAAAAATTACTAAAACTATATTTTTGTTATCTGTGGGTAGGCAGTCTGTGGTTAACGCGAATAAAGGAACGGTGGTCGTAAAAATATAAAGTTTTATTTTATCCAAAAATATCTCAAATTAAAAGGGCGATCATCAAATTTTATCCCAACCTAACGGCAGAGGCGGCGCTGCGAAAGAGAAATCGGGATACTCACTTTCGGCGCAATCGTGGCCGGTGTACCCCTCGGGACATTCGCAAGAGAACGAGTCCCACAGCTCACTGCACTCGGCGCCGTGGTGGCAAGGCGCCGAGCTGCACTGGGAACGCTTCTGCGGACACCCCGCCAGTGTCCCGTTGTCCGATACGTAGCTTTATGAAAGGAGGGAGGTTTGAAATCACACAGTTGATATTAATGTTTCATAGCCCTAAAATCGTTGTTAGATGTGTTGGCGCTGGCAACACTGTATACCGGATATGACGTTATCTACTCGAGCCATGGGACACATGGTCGCATGGAGCAGTGGTCACTTGGATTTCGGCTTCGTTCCCAGACAGTAATATAACCACTAGTGCTGCTTGTCGTTATAATAATTGTTAATATTCAAGTTCAGTATAGTTAAAATATTAGGATCAAGGTAAAAACGTTAGAACTCTTATAGATGGTCAGCAGCATTCTCATTGTCCTTATTTCGCCCATATATTGTAGTTTATCCTTGAATAAACATGGTCACGAAGTATAAGGAGTTAACGTAGCATAATTTTCTCAGCTCAACGATGCAAGTTCACATAGTATTATTATTTATATTGCTGATGAATTTATTATACTATTATTATTCTTTCTAAAGACATACAGGAATTATCCTTAATTATAGTAAACGAGTCACGAAGTATCAGAATTGAAAATGTTCATTGACGCTTCCGTTACAATTTAAAAACTTAAATTTAAGTTAAAAGCATAAAAAATATGTAATATTTTGTTTCAATTTAATACGGTTGATACGCATCCCAAAGATTACTCAATGGAAAATGTTTGAGAAAAATGTGACACGATAACTAATACTAGCTAAATACCTGTTCAGATCTAGAAATTTGTGATCGATGTAAATATCGGAGATGCATCCGATGAAATCCTTGTTCTTCACTTGGAAGCTGGTGGGAATGTTGGGCAGTCCGCCAATTTGCAACGGGCCGGTGAGATCGAGGAATCTGCGATGATGGAATAGACTATATCTTATTGCTTTTAAATGCTGTTATAGGAGAGCTGTTACTGTACTTGATTATGTAGGGTTGTACCTGTGACACGTTTCGGTAGGGATATCGCATCGCGGCGGCAAAACTTTCCTTGTGAAGTTTGCGCAAGCGTATTTGATACCGAACTCGCTTGCGCCAGCTAAGGATAGATCCTTGTCGCAATCGTCAATTATCATGGTCGCCGTCTACAAATTTACCATCACACTTTAATTAGCATTATCATTATTTAATTAGCATTCTGTTTATTATATCCGCAGATTACTGCTAATCGCTTGCGTTAATAGAATTAATTTCATTAGCAAAAATATGAACCTCATTATTATAACAAAAGAGCTACGTTATTAAATAAATGGGCAATATCATTAAAATTATCAGTTGAGGAAATAAAAAATTATCTCGAAAACGAGAGCAATTTGTATCGTAATAATAAGATGGCTGAACTCAAGTTAAAACGGTATGTACCGACTAATTGCGGACCCATTGGATGTCCTTAATCAGTCTTCGTCTTCTTAGTCTACTAAGCTACCGATCGAGCAGCTACCGATCGAGCCCAGTCAGATAATAGCTACCGATCGAGCCGAGGTCCGGCCCTCTCGGGCACCCTCGAATCGGAATGCTAAACGCGTGCTGAGTGACAGCCCAAGCCGAGGTCCCCTCTCGGGGACCCTTGAGCCTGATCACTCCATGGAGCTTGGCGGCCTCCCAAACCGGTGATAATAATAGCGTGACGGCCCGAGCCGAGGCTCCCCCGGGAGCCCGAGGGAGCCCGGGAGCGAGCTTAGTCACCATAACGCGTAATAATAGTACGCCGAGGTTCAGGCTAGGCGCCTCGTGCGCCAGGCCACCTCAAGTCCGTCGGATCTGTAAAGGCCCCTAAGGCCAACAGTGGCTCGTCCAGCCAAAAAAAAAAAAAAAAAAACTTAGTCTATTAATTCGTAAATACATCGTTTTAACATGAGTTCAGCCGTCTTATTACGTTAATATTGTCTCACGAAAATTTTGACAATTTTATTGCGAGCTATTTGCTTCGGAAAGTTGATTAGCGTGTTTATGTACTCACTCGATTGTAATATCGTATCTCGACGGTGTGCCACGCCCCATCGGCTACGTGGGCGGCTACGGTGAGGTCGGTGCGGGCGCCGCCGAGGGCGAACGAGAAGCGTAGACCCTCGCCGCCGGCCCTCCCGGCACCTGTAGCGATGGTCTCCAGCGCTACGAAGTCGTGACGCTCGTTGTACCTTCCGTTGTACACCAGCAGACCGGATGGCGTCGTGGTCGCGAATCTACACAATCACCCAATATTATTATGCTCGTATTAATTAAGAGCCTGACTGATCAAAGCCGAAAGAGTGACACTTTGCAGCACTCCAGTTTAAAAAAAGATCCGACGACTATAAGCTAATTGCAATGGATTGTAATGTATTTCTAAAATAAGAGTTAAACGAACGCAATAGACTCCGGGAATTCCATACGATTTCAGTTTGATAATAAAGATTTTACGGTGGAACTCGTCGAAAGCATTACTGTAATCAGTATAATTTTTCTCTCACTCAGTGACGAACAAATTACAATTGAATGAAATTGTAATTTGTTCGCCACTGAGTTTGATAATTCAGATAAGCCTTTTTTACAAAAGTCATATTGTCTATCTGAAACTCGCGCAATAAACTTTGATTTCATAAAATATTACTTACTTTAGCTTTAAGTTAAATCTATGTCGCCTTTTCAATCCGGGAAATGTTAGAAAAGATGACGCGGGAAAACTCCTAGCTCTCAGTTCGCACATGGCCGTCGTGTACTCCGCGTCTATGGTGCAACCTTGACATAAGATTCCGCCTTCTTTCCTTGCTACACACTGTGATCCACTTCTGCAGAAGGTACCGTCACCGTTCAGGTCGCATGTTGCTTTCGTTAAAATAGTTTCGCAGTTTGTACCTAAGAAGAACGATTTGAATTTATGTGAAATGTTCAAGTGATAATTCAGTATTAACAATATCAATAATAAACAACGGATTTTATCGCGTTTCGATTTAAACAAAAGGGTTTCTGGTCTGTCCCGTGACCCATGAATGCTGTAACAGGAACGAAACATCGGAAAAACCAAAAAAAAAAAATCAAATTAAAACGCAACAAAATCCGTAAAATAGAAGAATTTAAAAAAATATAAAAAATAGAACTCAATAATTTCTATAAAATTAAAAGTACTGTACTGACTTATCACGTGCTCAGCGGTGAAGGAAAACGTTGTGAGGAAATCTGCATATTTTCGTCATAATAACAAAAAAAATATTTCGAAGATATGTGAAGTCCGCCGATCCGCACTGGGCCGCATAGTGGACTATGCCCTACCTCATGTACAGAGGAGCCCTTTGCTCAGCAGTGGGATATGTGTAGGCTATTACTTTATTTTACTATACTTTAAGAGTCCTATAAGAATATTTTAGTATATTATAGAAGCAATAGAGTATAATTTGTAAAAGAATAATGATTAAAGTCATACCAGTAAATCCAGGAGTGCAAACACAAGTGTAGCCGCCTTCGCGTCTCATGCACGTTCCGTTGTTAACACACGGCGATGAATAACACAGATCTACTTCGGTATCGCAAAGAAAATGCTCCCTAAGACCTGAAATTAACAGATTAAATACAGTGATTCTTATATACGTCAATTATTTTAAACTATATAGTCTCTTGTTAAGTAATATTTACCCGTAAATCCCTGCGGACATTGACAAGTGAAGGTTGTAACGGGATATATTGGCCGGAATAGAACAGAGTCGCTGCTTATAAAGCCCGATGCGTTACCGAATTTGAGTACCGTGAGGCATTCTTCAAAATTGAGGCACGGTTCGTGGATGCACACGTTATCGTCGAATGGTAAAACCTAAAATGCAAGTACACGCAGTTAAGATAAGAAACAAACAGCTATGTAAAATTATATATGATATATCTAATAAAAAACAATCGGACTAAAAAAATCACTTCAAGGTATTATATGTACCTTGAAATAATTTTTTGAAAAATCCGGAACGGCGAGGTAGTAAACATAAAACAAATGTGCAATATGTCGCGGTACAGGTGTGTACGCAAGTGTCTATGGTGGCGGTAGTCACTCAGGCGACCAGCTTGCATCTTTTCCCACAAAAAAAAAACTCAAAGTCGCCATTATTATATAGGTTACTAGCCGTAACTTACCTGAACAGTTGCAAGCCTGGCGAGCGTTGCGCGGTTAAGGTACAGTCGCTCACGCAAGTGCGTTGGCGAGTAGTACAGTGACGGATCACCGCCCGCGCCCACCTCAGCTTCCGGCCGCCGGGCCGAAAAAGAGACGTTCAGAATGTTGCCCGTCACGTCCGTATCGTCCTAGAATTAAGATTAAAGGTGAAATTTTTTTTTTGACACATTTTTACACAACATTCTCTAGTCCCAAACTAAGCAAAGCTTGTACTATGCGTACTAGAAAACTGATAAACATACTTAAACATACTTTTCTTTTGTAAATAAATACATATTATACATACATATATTAACACCCAGACACTAGAAAAATACTATGTTCATCACACAATATTTATCCAGTAGTGGGGATCGTACTCACACCCTCTGGCACAGGAGGCAGGTACACTACCCACAACGCCATTCGGGCCGTCTTTTTGAATTGAATTGAAATCCTTTTAAACTAAGACTCTATCCTTAGTAGTAGTAAGAAAAATACTACCATACATACATAATGTAACGAACATTATGTATGTATGGTAGTATTTTTCTTATGTTATATATGCTTTAGTACTGTATTTAACACATGCATATAAATAACATAGTTTGTAAATATTAGCGTTTTCCTTGTTAGAAATCTCTCCGTGCACCTACCTAATTTTATCTGTTCCACCCTAAGGTTGACTGGGAGACAATGCCTTTGGCATTAAGTCCGCTCTTATGCTTTTTGTGCATAAAGGATAATAAATAACAAATAAATAGATCAACGAACGCGAAAATTACGTAATAACTCAAGTTCACAATTATATACAATAGACGATGATTGTTTACTTATGTACTATACCTACTGTTTGTGTTTAACTTCCCAAACGCTGAGTATTTTTTTTATTTTTTGCGTTTTCTACTTTGAGACGTTCTTGAAATTCGTTATAATTTATTTGTTACAATAAATGAATATACTGGCAAAATATAAAAAAAAAAACTGGGAAATCTGGTGCCCTTCAAATCACTCGCACATAGATCGTACGATGCTGTACTTTCAATACTCGCGGTGTTGAGTCCTGTTATTATACTAGTCCGTCTGTATAGTACTTACCTGTACACTGAAGACGTAAATATTTTCTTTCGGACACGGTATAATAGCAGCTAGGCCGTCAATGAAGAAGCCCAGCAATGGCGATAGGAACTGCTCTGCCGTCATGTCATTCAATCTGACAGTTATCGAGTTGAACAGCATTTCTTCTGTTATCAGTCTCACTGACAGTTGCATCATTGCTTTGATTTCGTTGACGCCGTCTGTTAAATAATTTCACAAATTGATACACAAAATATGATCAAAATTACATTAAGAAACTGGTAATTTAAAAAAGTAATAATATTTATAGAATACGCACCAGTTACAGACAATTCCATGGTTGCCAGTTTTGGTACATTAGTGTTCAGTTGGGGCGATAAAGTCATTGCGCCAGTGGTTTCGTTTAAAAGAACCAGATTGGCGTTGTTACCAGATAAAATTCGGTATTGAAGCTGTAAATACGAGTAAAAATATATTATTGGAACTATATTTCAGTTTATTTCTATATTCAAAAATGTTTACTATAAATTAAAACAAGTTAGTGATGCATCAATAATTCATTAAGTTTTAACCACCGTAGAAATGTATGTTCTAAATGCTATCAACTTAAGGAAACAATTATATGTAGTCAAAATTTTCTCACCTTATTAGAAACATCAGCATCGTATGCCGGAACTCTGCCAAAAGGCCCCACTGGGAAGCAGTCTTTGAAGTTGTTGAAAATTATTTGAAAGTCCTTCATCATGGGTGCGTTATCGTTGACGTCCGTCACCAATATTTCGACTCTGACGTCATTCCACAATGGGGGACTGGCGGCTCTGATGACCAACTCGTATTTCTTCCTGGGACTCTCGTAGTCCAAGTCGACCATCGTGACGAGTTCCGCCTTGTCGGAGCCTTGACGTGTCTCCAGCGAGAAGCTGTTCGAGTCGTCACCGCCTACACGGAAGAGAATCTGATTGAAAATTGCCGTTTACAAAGTGGTTACGAATAAATAGTGTAGCTCTTTTACTAATAAGCGTTTGTAAAAGAACTTACAGTCCATAAAGTCCATGTGGTTTTGTGCTATTAAAAAAATTAACCATAATAATGTAATATGCATTAAACGTAAAGGTAAAAAAAATAACAAAAACAAAATTGCGACTGTGTTATTACAACAAAAAATATTAACGTGTCGAAATCATACTGTGAAACACATTTATTTACTGTCTTACGTATAATATTAAATTAAAATAAGTGCTTTTATTATAAATTACTAATCGACCGCTTTGTAGGGTTTTAATTCTAAGATATTCTTACACCTAATACTGTATAAGTAAACCAATAAGTACCTTTGATGGAATAATGTATGACGGCGTTTGGCCCCTCATCTGGGTCGTGAGCGCGTATCTCTCCAACTGTTGTCCCAATCGGACTGTTCTCTGGTATATAAAAGGTTAGGCAGTCGCTTTGAAACACTGGTGGCGAATCGTTTATGTCCTCGACTTTTATATGAACAATCACCTGAAATAAAAGATGAATTTCTATTTCTGAGATGGCAATAGATATTAATAAATCTTTAGATTAAAATTATCCGAAACTTAAAATATTTGCAGGATAAAAATAGCTTTAACATATCCTGCGTGTCCGTTCAAGTATTTAGGCACATATGCCTTAAAATTAGTGTAAGGTTTCTGTATTCTATAGAGAATAGAGAAAAAATACTAAATGCTGTGATAACGGTTTAATTAAATAGCTTATAAGTCAGCCAGTCGCGTGGCGTACTAATACCTTTAGCCTAGCAGTGCAGTGACATACTTGTACCTCAGAGGCATACAACAGTAACTCCACATTTTTCAAAATTATTTATCTTACACCATTAAAATAGCAAGAACAAATTCTACACAATAGCATAAAGTATATGACATCCTAATCTATAATACATTCAAGGATTCACCCACGCATTTTTGCCTCTCCTGTAAAATTTGTGTTTCGTCACATATTACTGTTGACCTCTGAGGTACATACACAGAGATGTAGGATGTTATTTACTTTGTATTGTTTGTTTTTATACTTTATTGCTCACAAGGAAATATAAAGAAAGAAGATACAGGAAATACAGTGTACATACAGGCGGCCTTATTGCTAAGTTAGCAATTACTTCCAGACAACCTTAGGGTACAGGATATAGATAATAAACTTTCATATGTAACAGATCAAGAAAGTTTGGCCTGACTATATAGGCAGCTTTTATCGCTCACCGTCGAGCTCTGCGGCGGGGTGCCGCCGTCCACCGCGAGCGCCCTGAGGTCGTACGTGGCGACGGACTCGCGGTCGAGCGCCTTGTTCGTGCGGAGCACCCCCGAGGCGGGGTCCATCACGAACGAGCCCTCCTCGCGGTCCCGGGCCTCCAGCTCGTAGTGCACGCGCCCGTTGAGCCCCACGTCCGCGTCGCTCGCGCCCACTTGCGTCACCGATGTGCCTGGCGGGTTTTAGTTGTTCCACCGTTAACGTGTCCGATGTCGCTCGGGGGTGAAAAAAAAAACATCGGATCTGTAACACATACTGATCCGATGCTTTTTTTTCAATCAAATATATCTTTATTCAAATAGACGCTTGCGCGTTCTTATGAATCGTAAAATTTTACATATATGTATATAGGTTCGTAAGATACCACCGGTTCGGAAAGCAGTTTCTGTTGAGACGTCAAATTTTACATAAAAAATGAAATATATGTTCGTAAGGTACCACCGGTTGAGTTTCTGTTGAGAAGAGACCGGCAAGAAACTCAACAGTTGCTCTTTTTCAAAGTATCAGTTTACAATGTAACATAAGTATCAACAGTATTAACTCCATGGCGTCGACGAGATATTCCGCAATGGTATAATATGCTTTAACCATATGTTGACTTTTGATTTTATGTTTAAATTGATCAATCGGCAGGCTTAATATCGTGAATTGTTTGTAATACCTAGTGAATGTTTTGTAATACCTATTTGTACAAAGATTATAAATAAACAAAAAAATAGAATTCAAATTTATGTTTTTTTACTTGTTTTTTATTTATTGTTTATCATCAATTTCTTTTTTATTAAAACAGTAAATTTGATTAACGTAAGAACTTAAGACTAAATACTTTATGATATCTTACCTACTAAAGCGTCTTCCATGATGCTGGACGTGTATAGTTGCTGTTTGAATACAGGCGGATTATCGTTCACGTCTACAACTGATATTTCGACATCTGTTGTGTCTGAAAGTGAAGGCACACCGCCATCGCGTGCCGTCACTGTTAGAAGATATCCTAGAAAGGTTTTAGAATTATTTATCAAGTATTAAGCTTTGATTTACTTTTACATAGGCAATTATAGTAGGCGGATTCAATATTGTGGCGTAATAATTTCTTTGTAGCTATTAAATTGGGTGTACTTTAAAAACTATATCGAGAATAAATTGCGATAGAAAGATAGACAGAATTCGTTAGGAAAGCGTTTCATTGTCTTTCTATGGGAATGATTATTATTGATTATTACAGATCAAAATGTAAATTCCTAGTAAAGACTAAAGGCAATAACCCAACGCACGTATAGTACAATTGTTTTTACACGCCATGCTATGGGTTCTATCACCAAATGATATTAATTGTTTTACACAGTAATTCGTAAAAACAGAGGTAGCTAAAAGTAAAAGACTACACCCATTTATACAAAATAAAAACTTTTAAAATCATTTTCAAAATTACCCAGATTTTAAAGTGATTATTATGATTTTAAAAGCTGGGTAATTTTTGATTTCAGTTAAATGCTAGCTGCATTTATATTTATTCTTCAGGAAAACAATGTACCTATGCATATTATCTGTGTAACCAATGTAATGTCAAAATAAAAATTACTTTTTTATCTATTTATTTAAATACTCAAAACATTTATTTTTAATTTTAAGAAACTATATCGAGAAGCGATAAATCCGTAAAATTTGTTTCATTTATAATGTGTAATAGTGTAAATACAAGAAATTATTACGTATATACATAGATTTAAATACCCTCTGTAAAAATATTAAAATTTTGGGTAGCGAGACATTTTTCATTTTTTTTTTGGATGCCTTTTACTGATACCCTACATACTATGTATCAATGTAAATAGATTTGAGGACTTTGTAGGCTCAGTGCTAAAGTAAATGGCAAATCCTATTAGTTTGGCTCACCACTCATCGTCTCTCTGTCAAGCAGTTTGTTCGTCGTGATGGCTCCGGTGTGAGGGTTGATGAGGAACTCGTGGTCATGATGGGCGACCGCTTCGTTAGAAATCTCGGAGCTGAGGCTGTACGTTATCTGTGCGTTAATGCCAACGTCGCTATCAGTCGCCGATACAACTAGAACAGTCGTACCAATCGGAGCGTCTTCGAATACCTAGAAAATATATTGAGGCTTAGATCAGAATTTGTTTTGGGGTTTTTATCCTTTTTTGGATATGTCAACCCCATTATGACCATCTCATTTCTATGCTTAGGAATGTTCTCTATTGAAGTCATTGTGAGAACACTGAAGCAGCACAACGTAATTTTTTTGCATCGTCTGATATTGGCGGTGATATGGTTAGACTCATAGATAAGCGCTTAGAATTAATCGATCGGCGCTTAGACTTATAAGTAAGCCTAGTTAGTGCAGAGCTCATATAAGGCTAAATAAGGTTTGTCTGTCATGAAAGATTGACTTGAAGAGGACACTGGTTTGCGGCGATCGATGGGAGGAATGTTTACGGTTGATTTTCTATAACTGTGCATTCGGTATGGGTGGGAATTCGAAGTGGTCTAGCGTCAGCAAAACAGTGATGAAGAAAGGAAAGATCCATGAAGTTGGCCGCTGAAGGGTTTTGCAGGTCACATAGCCCCGTGGAAGCAGTGTATCTTTTGAACATTTTCCTCTCAATCATACAAATGCGAACGTATTCAATGGTTAAATGTTAGAGATAATTATATAAAATTCAATAAGCGCCTTTGTAAAATTAACTAAAAAAAATATATAAAATTAAGCAGCAATCCATCTTCTAATAAGTAGCTGTTCATCAAAATAGGAGACTAGAAAAATGCATCTCTGAAAGATATTGAATAGGAAGTGAGTTCAGGTGAGGTGAGTTGTAACTGTCTGCATAATAATAATACAATTTAATAATAAATATTTTCGGACGCATTTTTACACAACGTTCTCTAGTCCTAAACTAAGCAACGCTTGTACTATGGGTACTAGATAACCGATAAACATTACGTTTCTTTTGTAAATAAATACATATTATACATATACTGGAAGAACAATATGTTCATCACACAATATTTTTCCACCCACTACGCCAATCGGGCCGTGTATAAGAAATGTTTACCGAAGCAGTGTAAGGCGCATTCTCAAACACCGGCGCATAGTTGTTCGCGTCGGTGATGTTTATGTGGACCATGGCCGTGTCGGATCTGCCGCCAGAGTCTGTCGCGGTGACGGTCAGCACGTATCTTCGCTCCTGCTTGAAGTCCAGGGGCTGTGCCACCGTTATCAGACCGCGGCCGTTCTGCGACGTGATTGAAAAGCGGCCGCGCGTGTTCCCACCCGTTATTTCGTAGTGCAATCTAAAAGAAAATGTACAATTTCGTAGATATACTAAGTCCCCCAATCCGCAGTTGGGTCGCATGGTGGAGTATGCCCTAATACCCTCTGTACAGATGAGGCCTTTGCCCAGCAGTTGGATATTCATAAGCTGTTTACTTAACTTTACTTGGAGTGCTGAGACTAGCACTAAAATAAAAAATAATCTTAAATTCTATTAGCTGATTTTAAATTGATGTGCAAATATTAAGAACATTACAAAACATTTTGTATTATTTAAAACCAGACGGATTCTAATATTACCTTTAATCCCCTATATGTAATTTTTGATATAGCTTACATAATTGTTACTACATATTGATATACTAAATGAACACACATATAAAGGGTATCTTTTTAAAATTTTATTAAACATTTACATTATTTAAACATCAATATTTACCGAGTTATTAAATTTTAGCAAACAAACAACTTTAGAACATCCTTACGTATAAAACTATAACGTAACGTTCATTTGTAAAGGTCACAAAGCATTGAATGGATTGAATGAATTTAAAAGAGATAAAACATACTGTTAGAAGGAGAGATTTGGAATGAGACGCTGTGGCAACGAACGAAAAAGTTTTTGAATGTATGAATCATTCTATTGTAGTTGTATAGGATGTTACAAATTTTGTTTCTTTTTTATTTAATTAGTATGTTTGAAAAATACTTTTTTGGTTATGGATTTTTTTAACGTTTATATTTTTTATGATTATTGGCACGTAGCGTTAGACGTGCGTTCATTTATTGTCGCGGGTTGTAACTACACGCTGTATAATTTATAGATAATCGCCGAATAACGTCAAAACATTAACTGTGGTACATCCACGCAACAGTCTTTGCTGTTGCAAGAATGGGCAGGTCCGTCCGAGGAAGTACCACGACCTCACAGAATACCGACATGATGTGGAAGCGTTATTCTTCTGCTTTTCTTCTGGTGAGGGCGTACTGGGGCCCACTTAATTTAAAAGTGGCTGCTTGGGCAACCCTAGTGGTGTTACAAATGTTCATTTTTCAACTGCCTTCTTAAATTAAAAAAAAGCTGTTAGAAGTTCAATGATTACTGTACCTATTGTCCTCGTCGGCGTCCGTGGCAGTGACCGTCACGACGGGAGTGCCGGGAGGCTCGTCTTCGGCTAACTCCACTTCGTACTGGGGCGGCGAGAACACCGGGTCGTTGTCGTTCACGTCTTGCACCACCACTGCCACGGAGGCAGTCGCCGAGCGGGGTGGTACACCGTTGTCTGTGGCGGTCACCTGGGAGGATCGTTTGTTATTAACTGACGTTAACGCTTTCAGTCCCGAGACTATTAAAGCTTCACCGAACGCGGAACCGGTGGGCTAGCCAGAACCCACGGGTCTGAGTGGGAGGATCATATCACATAGTATGAGTCATGACGAGACATTATGGATCTAAATTCTTGCGTTTACGCGAATGCTAGACACTGTTGAACCAAAAACATAATTTCGGATTTAATTCACGACCTTTCGAATGGTTTACAGCATCCGTGATCTCGGGAAAGGTTGGGCTGCGTCAGCTACATCAGCTGTTAAGAGTATTTTAAGATATTGAAGTGTTGGGTATGCTTGGATTTAATTAAGTTGATTCGAATACAGATTAAAGATAGTTTTATTTAGTATGAATGCTTTTCGATTGTTAAGTTTCTCAAGGATAGAGGATGAGAGTTTTGCTTTCATTACTACAGAAACAAACAGCTAATGTCAATAAAATAATGTAATGTAGACGAAGACCTTGGCACTCATATAATATAAATAACGAAAATCTTTTTCCTTTGAGAGTGGTACGCGAGACCTGACGTCATAATTCAGACCTCCCACTGACTACACCATCACTTTTAAGTCTCAATGGAAACGCTATTAATCATAGACAATAAGCGGTATGCCGCTTCCATTATAATTTTGCTAAGTACTGAGAGAAACAATCAAATGTTTTACTGAAGTTTTGGTGTTTGGTATGATGTGAAAAATTTATAATACGGTCAATTTTACCTTGGACTAATTTATTAATTAAAAGTGTTGAAAATAGAATATCAGTTATAGATAATTGATTAGTTAACAGACCTGAAGTTGATATTTCGCTTGCACTTCCCTGTCCAATTGCCCCGATATGTAGACCCATCCCGAGCGAGGGTCTATCGTTATGGGCAAGTCGTTGTTACCGTTGTATTCCTTGTCTGCTAGAGTGTACGTCAGTTCTGCGTTCACGCCTTCGTCAGCATCGTAGGCTTGCACCTAAATACGAATATACAGTAAATGTACAGTAAAATATTTGATGAGAATACCCTATTAAAGTCGATATTTCATTTACTTCAGGTTTCTAAATACTTCTGTTTTACTTCAACGAAGCAGTTTAAATAAAAATTGTTAAATTTTACTGTTATTCAAGAACTAATATTACATTAGCTTCTTAATATGCCACAACTGATATAAAATATGGTCTGGTAATATTATTTCACACATCATTATAGCCCTCTTTTTTGTCATGTTGTAAGTTCTTGGCTAGGTCCTTTACCACCAGCCGCCATCTATTGTCAACCCTTCTATGCAAATTCCCAGATCCGGAATTTACTTTTAATCTCTAATTCTCTCTAATTCATTATTTATCTTCACCGTATTCTCTGTGGTATATGCACTGAACCCACGGCGCACATCGCCAGAAGCCAATAGCTAAAGAAATGCACCACTGAGCCACCGTATAAAAAACAAAGTCGGCCAAAACACTCAGCCGTTTCTTACCCTGACGATGCTGTAGCCAACCGGGACGCTTTCGCTGACTGACTCCTGGAAGAGCGAGGAGTAGAATCTCGGCGCGTTGTCGTTCACGTCCTTAACGTTCACCAGCAGCTGAGTGGTGTTAGAGCGGGACGGGCTACCGCCATCTGTCGGGATTTATCGCGCGTCACAGTTTTTTGTGACGAAATCGCTTAAGCTTAGCGGTGGCTGGGAAATAAGGTAAAGAGTTTACGCGATTTCTCTCTATGTGATTTATATATGCGAATATCGTCGAGCGAACTATCGACTTCGTGATTACCGGTTAACTAAAAGTGCGCAAAAATTATTAAAGATAGTGTACATATAATTTGATTTACCCCATTCGTCATTTGAACAATAATCAATCATTAAGAAACTGTTTTTGATCATGGACATGAACATCTGCATTAAAAAAACGTTTTCTCAACGTGTCGTTAATATGTTTTAAATAATAATTATTTAAACGTTTTTTTTAATGCAGATGTTCAAAAATAGTTTCTTAATATCTTCCATGCTTCCCTCCAGGACTTATTATAATTACGTATATAACATAAGTTTTTTAAGTCTTTCGTCATGTATTTACAGTGACTTTATAGTATAGTTTTCTTATACACCTATAACGTAATCACACAATCGGGTGGCTGTAATATACGGTATAATGTGTGGGCTGTAAAACTTTCGACCGACAAATGTCGCATCATTTCATTTTTTTACCTTCTACGGCAGATGTACAGACCTTGGGCTCTTATGACGAGGCGGTAGCTGCGCACTTGCTCGTAGTCCAGGGGCTTCACCAGGGCCACGTCGCCGCTGAGGCTGTCGATGGAGAACTGCATCTGGGTGTTGCCGCCGATGATCGCGTAGCGGATCGCCGCGTTCGCGCCAATATCGGCATCAGTGGCCCTGCGGCGGAGGATAGTTAAAAAACCGACCAAGTGCGAATCGGACTCGCGCACGACGGGTTCCGTACAATCGTCTATAGCGGCAAAATATCACGTCCCACGTGAATATTTTTTTATTCTGTTTTTTTAGTATTTGTTGCGGCAACAGAAATATATCGCCTGTGAAAATTTCAACTGTCGTCTAACTATCACGGTTCATTAGATACAGGCTGGTGACAGACGGACAGATAGAGTGAAGCGGAGTCTTAGTAAAAGGGTCCCGTTTTACCCTTTGGGTACGGAAACCTAAAAACAATAATAATAGTAATAAATATTTAGGACACATTTTTACACAATTTTCTCTGGCCCCAAACTAAGCAACGCTTGTACTATGGGTAATAGACAACTGATAAACATACTTTTCTTTTGTAAATATATACATATTATAATATATAAACTCCCAGACACTGGAAAACACCATGCTCATCATACAATATTTTTCCAGTAGTGAGGATCGAACCCACACCCTCTGGCGGTGGTTATTAAAATTTAAGGCAAAGTATTTGCAATTCCAACGCAACCGTAAAGAAAATGACGCATCGGTTGAAACCGAATAGTAAGGATACTGTAAGTTATTGCTATCCTCAGAAAGCTTTCAGCGAGAAAACTGTTTATACGGAAACAATGTTAGACGGTAAAACTTCATGACAACTTCCACTAACTTGTCGAGTTTAAAGTTAGTCTAAAAGACATGAAATAGAGAATAAATACTCTTAGAAGCATGTCTCAGTTTAAACTACGTAAGTGTTTTCCAAACTGTTGGAAATGTTTTTAACTTTCTACACTTACAAGTCGAGTCAGACGAGTCAAAGGAACTAAATTGTATCAAATTTTGTGTGCTTTGAGAATTGCACTGAACCTTTTTCGTACGTTTTTTTTTTACAAATTTGAATGTTTAATCCTTAGTATAGAGATTAGCACTATAAATATTTAATATATTATATAGCAATGGGGATATCTCTAGTTCGAATTATCGTTTTAAAACGAAATTCGAAATTGTTTGTATGCTGTAAAGGATATAAAAATGAATGCGCCAAGCACTGCTTGAAATGCGAATAAATATTGTAGATAAAGGAAATTGAGATTTTTGTCAGTGTGGCAATCAGCCGTTTAGCTTAGTGGTTAAAGCGTCTGGGCGCGAACCGCGCGTTCGCGGGTTCGTTTCCCACAGCGGCGAAAAACTTTTCGTACTTTCCTCTGCAAATTTTTATGCACTGAACCTATTTTTTATGGAAAAAGGAGGCAAACAATTATACACAAATATTATACATTATTTTATAATTATTTATTTAAGTCATAAAAAAGACGATTTGTAATTTCATTACATCAATATCTTGAAAATTTTGCTATTAGTCCTTAAGTCTGGACACAAAATTAATTGTCTCATCGTACATGGTATTGATATGAATAATAATTGATGCTTTTAAATTCCGGTAGCGGTCGTTCATAATAAATCGAACGTATTTATATAAAGCCGCCAACACAATGTTGTATGGTAAGCGGTGTAAACCACGATTTATTGTGGACGCATAAATTTGGACGCTGGACCCTACGGGAGTCCTAACGTTGACGATAAAACATGTTGCCAAGACGGCCAACGAATGAACACAATCTATTTGAATTTTATCTCGGCGCGGGGAATATTTTAAAGCGGTTTTAATGGAAGTCCGCTGTAAACTTCCTTATCTGCTGTTGGAAGTTCTTCTCCACTGGTTTTTAAGTAGCAAGATAAATTTCATCTTCCCTATTTACTGTGGAAATATAGATAGAAATATGTAATGATTGAAAAAATTAAAATACCCGCTTGTTTAACATCAAGCATTTCATTAACTCGTACATTTTTTTCTGCTTAGTGTTAAAAATGAAATTTATTGAAAGTTGTTAATTATATTTTAGAACGCAGATTTTTATTTATCCTGTTTCTTAAATTTTTCTTTTTGGCATTCGGATGGCTTAGTTCACAGCGGCTAAGCTGACGTTTTGTGCGTCGCTGGTTGTGCCTTCGATTCCTACACGGGACAAGTATTTGTGTAACCTACAAAGCTTGTTCCGGATTTCGTTGTTTGTCCATATGTTTGTGAATGTAAAATATTCTTACAACACAGCTTAACATGAATAACAGAAATAGTAACTTTTTTCAATAAAAAAATTAAATTATAATAAATTGAATATAGTAATAATTTAATAATAAATTATAATAATAAACAACATATATAACATAACAATTTGGAAATATTTCATCAAACGATATCAACTTCCGTACAAATCAAAAATCGGAAATGACGGAATATTACCGCAATTTATTCAAAGACTCTGCTTCTCTGATTAATGTTTTCTGATAGTTTTCATTCGCAATAGATGCGCGACATGTTATTGTTTTATTACAAGAGCATTATATATAGTGATGAGCTCAAACATAACTGTATAAGACTGAAGGCAAAAAGCAATCACATACTTGATTTTTGCTATTGTAGGGTTGTCGGCAACACTGATGTCTTCGTCCACGGTAACGGTGTAAGTTTTCTCGCTGAACTGGGGATAGTTGTCGTTGTCGTCAATAATATTCACATGGACTGTTGCGCTGCAATAAAATTGAAACAGTTAATTTGATTGCGGTCTAAAATTAAAGGTTTATGTAGTTCTTATGATATGGTGGTCAATTAAACATTCATGTAGATCTTAGATCATGTGATATGTATACATATGAGTTGTTGGGTGAAGAGGCTAAGTTAAGGTCGGGGCATCGGGGGGATTGGTAATTCCCGCCCAGGACATTTTGCATGATGTATATTTTGATATACACGTATTATGATAACATATAATGTATATGGTATACATGTATTTTGATATACATAATTATGATGGTTTCAAGTGCTATTTATGAATGTGATGCCCCCTCGTGTCGTTGAAATAATCTTTTCCTACATATTATATAATACTGTAAAAATAAACTGTCTTAAAGTGCAAGTAATATTTAAACGACATGTGATTTTTGGCTCTCATTTTATAATGGAAATAAAGATATAATGGCTTATGTTAAAACCGCTATTGACCAAAAAGTAATACTAATCTTCAACACAATAGGGCTGCATTCTTTTCGGTTTTAACAGTTTTAAAATCCAAAATAAAACTACGTTTGGTGTTAAATATTCAATTATAAAAGTCATTATCAACATCAAATATCGCAGTAAAGTTAATATCACCATAGAAAAACATACGCGTAACATATTTTAAACGTAAATTGTGTACAAATATAAAACATGCTACATTTCTAAAAATAATATAAACTTTTTGTAATAGATAAGGATGTTAATCAGCGACTCTGATCAACGTAACTACGAGTCACCAATTTCCAATGATGGAAGAACAAAAAGAAGAATGGAAAATACCTGCTAGACAGTCTATCGGACAGGGGGCTGGCTTGGTCTGTCGCCTTCACTATGACGGTGTACCGGGAAACTTTCTCCCTGTCTAGTGGTGCGCGCGTGAGTAGCGCTCCACTCCTGCCATCTATCCTGAACACGTCCTGTGCGTCCGTCTGCTCTTTAGCACCGTCGATCGATTCGTTTACGTCCTCTGGATTCAGACTGTCCGCCGACACAGAGTCGATCGAATACTCCACCTAAAATAATTAAAAAAATCATACTTCTTTATCTCCTGTGTCAGTTTAATGATCCTATATAACTTGGAATTATAGATAAATGTCAAACAGCTATTATAGGTTGCCGTGTTGTATTACCATGGCAACCAACACCAACTTTTGACAAGTTGAGAAGTTGTTAAGGTGTGTTGAAAGCGGTCGCTTTGCAACCGCTTTAATCATGTCGCTTTTCGGCGGTCGGCGCCCGCGCATCGCATATTTTACTCTCATATTTCTCCCCCAAACGAAGAAAAGAAGTGTGATTTCAATAATGGTAAACACTAATAAGTAGATATTTTTGTCTGGATTTTATTTACGGCTCCACTTCACGAAGTTGTGGTGGTAGATTCTTATTTTGTTAAAAAGAGGTAATATATAAAAGCTGCTGCTGTAGTTAATAGCGTTTTAATTTTTTTTAATTTGATCTGTTTCTTAGCTCTATGGGAAAAATTTATACCTGTATGAATGCTCTAATGATGTACTGTAAAGGCACAAAATATTGTTGAGTTATTATTGTCTTATTTTGTACATATAAATTTTATTATTTAATTTTCAATGAATAAAGTAATGTAATATGATTAAATTAAACTATTTTACGATTTTATATTCATTTTGAAATACCTACGTTTCGAACACTTTAAAACGTTCATGGTGACATGGTCATATCAAAATAAAAGGCGATACAATCCGTAAAATAGTTCGCATACAATGCACACAAATAAACAACAGAGAAACACGCATAATATAACATAAAATCAATAATTTACTTAAATTATTTTTTTTTATTTCCTATAATATTTGTTTTCGGGAAGCCGGTGGAAGCAGGTAGCTCAGGATCGTACTTCGTGGCAGTCTATGGGGGAGGCCTATGTTCAGCAGTGGACTCAAACAGGCTGAAATGATTATGATAATATTTTTAGCTTCTAAAAGGTCTTCGTTTTCTGGTTGATGTTATTACCTGTGCGTTGTTTCCGATGTCCTGGTCAGTTGCCTTCAGAGTGAGCACTGTGGTGCCAGCGCTGGCGCCCTCTCGTACCGACGCTTCGTACTGCTGCATCTCGAAGACTGGCGCGTGGTCGTTGCAGTCGAGCACATTTATCTAGAAAATAAAATCAATCGTTCTTTTTACGTAAGAGATAAGAAAATTGGTAAGCTAGGCTTGTTTAACTATCAGAAGTGATCGGTTTCTTTAATCCCATTTGATTAAATCTGATTTTGTTCCTCGAAATGAGAAGTCTACAATTGCAATGATACCTGCTAATACCACAAGTGTACATTTCAATTTGTATCGTCATATTTTTGCATTTGATGTGACGCATAGAGAATTGAAGATTGGGACAAAATAAGTGATGTCAGTAGGATTTTATTACATGTTATAAAGTTCGTGATCGTACTTCGTGAAAACTGTTGAAATAAACCTAAATAACAGAGTTAAGAAATTGTCGTCCGCGACATTACTACGACTATACTGAATAATTCTCGTAACAGTTACCGTTGGTACAGTTTCGTGTTGGTTACCTGAAGGGTAGTGGTTCCACTCCTGGGGGGGAACGTGTCGTCCTGCGCCACAACTCTGAAGTAGTGTACGTCCAGCCTCTCCCTGTCCAGTCGCGCCTGCGTGGTCACCACTCCGGTGCGCGTGTCGACCGCGAACATTCCCGCCGACCGGGAGTCCAGCAAGCTCGACATTGAGTATGTTACCGGGCTGTTCTCTGGGTCCCTGGTGAGGTGTGAATTACAGACATATGTTTGGGCGCAATGTCCAGGGATATAAAAAATGCTGAAATAAACGAATAAACGTAATGAAAACACTCAAGAAGAGTATTAAAAACCTTCGTGATTTTAATAATTTTGAACATGTTTTATCAAATTTCTCTTTTTTGAATACCAAATACATTACACTACTGGTATTTGAGTTCATTGTCCAAAACATGACTATCAAACTATATGTAGACTATCAAATCATATGGTTAGCACGAGCCAATCCTCAATTAAGTACTACACGGTGTAAATTGAAACAATGTTTAATTATGTTTTGTCTTTGTAAATTTGGCATTTGACACGAAGGTTTGTAAGAAAAGTTTAAATTTCTCACAAACTAAAATTTTTACGAGAGATTTTAAACGAGAATTTAAATTTAAAATAAGCTTGATAAATCCGTTAAAATATCTTCACTTATTAAGGGCTATTTTTAGTTGAACTATCGAAATATTTTACCATAATAAAGCCCAGTAAGTCATCCTGTAGAGAGTAATAAGTAGAAAACATTATCTTTAAAATATTCGAAGGGAAAAGAAGAGAAGAGGAATGGTGTCGAGGAATGTGAACTTTGATTATATACTTGTCAAGATAAGTATATAATCAAGACAAGTATTTAATCAAAGGATGTGAAATACACAGATGCGTACCGTGCAACATAACAACGCATCATGCAAATATCATCAATATGAATTAAGCCAGTTTAGTTTTATGGTCTGCCGGCCATTGTCTGGCTACGATGCGCCGGTTCATGATGTTGTGCAGACTCATGAAATAGATGACGTCATAAAAGCCTAACGGGCTTTAGGCAAATTGACGGTAGGGATGGTTTGTGACTGAAGGTCCACTCCGCAATGACTAAATCCGGTTTAAATATAGTAAGAGGTTATAAAACTTGAGTATATAATCTCCCTCTTGTATTCTTTTGTTACTGACATATTTTGAAAAGTAGTTATTTTACCGGTATAAGCGGATCATTGAGTGGAGTAACGCGTTTAAGGCTGCAACGTCTGTTAGTGACAACGTCCGGAGGGGGAACTAATGCTGCAAATAATTTAATAGTCGTGACGTTTCTTTTTATGGTCGATTCCTTTAAGTGCTTCTTATCCGAGGGTTGCTTTTAGTGAAGCACACTTCCGTTAAAGCTGTATGGCTTCAATAATACTTTGGCTTTAATACTGTGCCTGAGACTGATATATTTACAATGGCGAAAGCTTCGGGTTCAACCGAAGAAATTTGTTGATCAAATTACGGATTTTTTTTTCCAAAACCTTATTTACTTAAAACGAAAAGCCTAATTCGAAAAAATGAGTCTAAAGAGTTAACACGATTTGTTAAGAAGCTACCGTAACGTTACTCTAACGGTTTAAGCAGCTTATCTTGTTTACCTTTCACTAAAATTAGCTAGCCTAGTATGAAAAAGGTAGTTCTAGGCTTGTTGCTTTCATAGAGGACTATACGATGCAGGTAATATTTAAATATGTATTCTAAAAAAGTTTCAAAACATCTCAAGCTATAACACAACTAACTACAGATTTAGACATTGCAACAGAAGAAATATTTGACATTTCTTTTGTTGAATTCTTCTCTTAATTCTTCTTTTCTAAGTGTTTGCACTTACCGAGCTCTCACTGTTGTAACGACCACTCCCGGAGGCTGTTCTTCTGCCACGGAAGCGACGTAAAGCGCCTGCTCGAAATAGGGCGACTGGTTCCGCAGTTCACGCTTCACCCTCCTTGCTATGTCCGTATCGTTGAGCTCCTGATGATGGTACACTATTTTCAGCCTGTGGTCGGAATCGACGATGCTCGAGCGGTCGCAGTTGAAGGTGAAGAGGACCGACACTTTCCACATGGGCTCCTGTATGCACACGTCACCGCTCGCCACCAAATCGCCCTGGCTGCTTTCGATCAGGAAACGGGGGTCGCTGACATCCAGGAATTGCACTTTACACATTTTTTGCACGGTCCGCGGCAGGAAGGCCGTTAACGAATTTATAAACTGGGACTGTTTCAGGCATATGCCCTGCCAGCGGTCAGTGGTCGGTATGGAAAAGCTGGCGTACGTCTCGGATATCCATTGCTTCGCTTCGGCTATCTTGACGTCTATGGCCATGTCAAAAGGTACTTGTGAGAGAGATCTTTTATTCCTACTTCTATTTCTAGCGCCGAAGTCCTCGAAAATGGCATTAGCCCACGGATACGCGGTGGATAGCACGTTATATTGACTAGAAAATAATTCCTCCTCCTCCATTAACCTCCAATCCATAAATCCTGGATGGGAGGGATACACAGCTGCTCTTCTGTCCCTCATGTGGTCATCCTCGTACTGCAACGCCGCGTCGTCTTGATCGTAGACGCGGTCGAAGTCAATGTCGTATAGGTCCGCGTGCCGTCTGCTGCAATCCTCGCCCGTCACCAGCACTCGTATAGGCAGACTGTAGTAGTCGATGTCGCGTATCCGGTCGGAGGTCGAGTCGACGTAAAAAGTGAAGAGGTTGGGGTAGAGGACCCCGTCGCACCGTAGCTTCTTCCTAAGCGTGACGAGGCCGGTGGTTCTGTTGACGCGGAGGACGTGGTGGACGAAGTTGGCTGTGCGGTGCACGTCTATAGAGTACGTGCGCTCGGAGCCGAGCTTGTAGACGGCCGCGTCTAAGACCACGTGGCCCGGCGGCGCGGTGTCGGGCACCAGGATGAGGTATGCTCGCGTCAGCGTTACGGCCAACGCGACGATTGACGCATGCCCCCACGTCCGCCCCATTTTGTTACTCGTTCACCTGCAGCAGCGCCGTCTCACACACCACCTGCTTTGGTCGCCCATCTAGAACAAAAACATACACATTTACATTCAGATATATTGGGAATACAATTGAGTTTAAATTTCTATGATGCTATTTTATTATTATTTCGAAAATATGGTTTCCTCACGATGTTTTCCTTCACCGCTGAGCACGTGATAAGTCAGCACTTAAAATGAACAATTTCTGTATAGTATAAATGTATTATTGAAGCAAGCGCCCGGACAATGGGCTATCATGGCTGTCTATTATAAGGGAGTAATTAATCTTAAGCCCGTAAAAAATTGTTTGCCAAATGTTAGTTTAGACTAAACGATTCATAGCATCAACTAATGGATATTTAAATACGCACATTCACTTTTCTATTTTCCTTTCTTTGATATGTAGTTGGTGATAATAAGTAGTAATGTGAAATGATTAGTGGATCGTTTAATAAATGCTCAGTTAATAAATAAACTTAATATATCCACCGTGTGTGTTAAACTAAAAAAACTATAAAAATTTTGTAGTAGCTTTAGTTTTTTATGAATTAAAAATTAAAATTATAATTAAAATGAAAATTAAAAAAAATCTTATCTGATATCAAGTTTATATAATCAAATTTGGAGCAGTAAACACGCTAGGTTGAGTCGTAAACTTCAAAACAACTTACGTATTCTACCATGTACAGTTTCGTGAAAAACTCTTAAAAAGGAAAGAGAATTGTGATTCATCTCACGCTTCATAGGCTTCATCATTCGTAGTGTCGCATTGTTTCTATTTAGGTACAGTCAGGATAAATAAAATGGTAGCTTATGTGCTTTATGCCTTTGTGATAAGATTTTAAATTGTTTGCAAGTGTTCTTGCAGTTGACTAAACATTTCTGTTGGCTGGATCGGCTCACGTTTTGCCTGGTGCGACGAGTCTGGAAGTATTGAGCTCGTTCTTCTTTCGTGATTTATCCATTTATTCGAATGCTCTGTTATGGGGTGGTGTGAATTTAGTTGCATCGCTTTGAAATTTACCTATAGTCCTAATGGGTAAGAAAATGTTAAATTACAACATAAATCCATACCTATTGTCTAGTACATACAGCTAAAATAAATAACACGGATAGAAAGTATTAACTTGCAGTTTGTATTTTTTTTGCGAACGTTACCTATGATATAGGAAAATGTAAATCTTATATTATAAAAATGGATTGCTGTTTGTTAGTCTCGCTAAAACTCGAGAACGGCTGGACCGATTTCGGTAAGGTTTAAACGATGAAAAATCGAAACAACAATTTTATTTTCCCATACAAACTGTACCTGTCAAGTATGTCTGTGTAACCTGTCAAACACTTTATATTTGCGTTGCGATTCCTCTAGAAATAATTTAAATGGCAAAACAACGTTTGCCGGGTCAGCTAGTCTAAAATAAATATTACTGATTCCTAGTTAGGTCGTTAAGTTCAAGAAGATATTTATCTCCGGAATTGAAACTATCTTCTTCTTTCGTTGAGCAACAACGCGCGAGAAGCATCAGTTCAGTTTGCTTCAATTCATCGGAAATCATTTAGAAGAGTAGCATATAAATGTGCAATAAACGAGAGAGCTTCGTTACCTCGTCGCAGACAGCTCTCAATGGGGCTATCTGCAATGCTGCGAGGGTTTGATCCCATCCCCTTAATTAGGAGCGACGTGGAGTGGTCTGAGAGCGGGAAGGAACTCAAGAATGTATGCCCGACGATTATTTTGAACGCGGCTATTGTTTCGGGGCGCTTTGGCAACCAGCACAGTGTGAAACTGCAGTCTACAGGCTTGACGTTTACTTTTAACTTTTTTAACAGTATACCATCTTGCCCACCTCAGTAAATATAACAACGTCTAACTGGACATTAATTACTTTTAAACAGGAATTAGGAAATTCAATTCAATTTAACTTGTCTTTGTCTTTGTGATTTTTTCTTTTATAATTTAACTTGCGCCAAAAATAAAAATTCGGTGACATTTAGATGTTTTATGCATTATTTTTTACTGCGTACTGTAGTGCCCATTCTCGCTGAAATATACCAGATATTTTGTTTTCGTTTCAGAACATATCGTATGATCATTGCAAAAATATCCGACCCATTTTATGAAACGTAGACATAAAAATGGCCGAAAAATCACGTCTTTCAAATGTACCCGTCCAGTTTTCATTGCGGGTATTTCCGATTTATGCCATTGTTTTATGGAGCTCACTCGGAATATTGCTCGTACGTGAATGAGGACAGTTTCGTCGCCGGAATTATGGATCTGTGTCATCATTGTCGAGGATGGGCCACGTCGGGGAAAATATAAATTGACCGATTTTCCACAGGTCCCATCGAAAAGGGCAATAACGCACTTATTGCCCTTTTCGATGAGACCTGTGTCACGCGATACTTTAACTGTTTCATATCTGAGAACGATATGAATTCCAAATGCCGCTCTAAGCGCGTCACGTCCACCGTATGGTCGCCATTAAGCAAAAACCGCTGATCACCATCTTATCTAAATTGTTGATGTTATCGCTAATTTACAGTATTGTATATTGGCTTTTTCCAGATGATATATTTCAAATTACGAATTACAATTTATCGGGTATTCGAAAGCACGCTCTTGTAATTGATATTGCGTGCGCCGGGCACTAGCTATTAGCAGATTGGGTAACACGACGAAACTCCGTGTTCCCACCCTTCGCTAACTGTCTGAATATCGTTGGCATGACAAATGGCGGGCGAGACGCGGGGGTTTATTTATGCTCCCCGTAAATATGTGCGGCCCTAATGACGGGCGCCATACTTTGGGCCTTAACGACGGAGGTTTTAAATTACCGGTCATTTGTCTCGGACGAGGATGTATTTTTATGAAACTATTAACATTCGTCGGTCAACGGATTAAAGCTTCGATTAATTTGATGATCAAATACATACACTGATTTTTATAAGTAAGGGTAATGTCGTTCTTTAATCACATATAAAAAAAAAACTTTTAAATAACATTTGAAGATGATAATGTTTCGCGATACTTTTATGTATATTATATAGGTTAGATACTTGCATGTAAAAAGAAACGCATAGTCAAATTGATATGAGGAACAAAATTATAATAGGCCTCACGGTACAAAAATACTAACTGTGGTGGGGCTACGAGACAGTGTTCACTATTGCACGAATGGGCAGGGCCATCCGGGTAGTTACCGCGACTTCACAGAAGACCGGCGTGAAGTAAACTGGTTATATTTCTGTGTTTCGTCTGGTGAGTGAAATACCAGGGGCCTACTTTATTAAAAAAGTGGCAACGCATCTGCAACCGTATGGGTGTTGCAAATGTCCATGGGTGGCGGTTATCAATAAACATCTGGTGAACCGTCAGTTAGTTTGCCGCTCTCTCACATAAAAAAAGCAAAACAAGAAGAAACCTATAAGTCAGTTTTGGCGTTAACATAATTATGTATATATTCTTTTGCAGATAAAAGAATTCTTCATCTAGATTTTGAAGGTAAATTATAAACACAATGTAAAAACATCATTAATGTAACAAAGTAAATATTATTTGTCACCCCATTTGTACATTTTCCATTTGAAGGCAAGGTATTGTACGTGTCTCTCATTTGTTAGCAATTAGAAAGTTGTTATATCGTCAAAGTTATTTGTTTCTACGGCAACAACAAAGCAAACAGATCCTCAAAATAACCCCCTTAATTGTGATTAGGTATACGTTAGAATGTATAGGGATGTATAGAAAATAGAAATTGATATTGAAACCTGATAAAACAATGAATTGCTTTATCGTGTTACTATGTACATAACAGATTCAAGAAGCACACCACTTTTGCATGTTTCAAGGAATGCAGGTAAAAGCGGGGTGGCTAAACAAATGCTTGCATTACTATGAGATAATCTTAAAAATAAAGAACTAAGTAAAAAAACTAAAAAGACGGTCGCTTCTAAATGTAACATGAAATGAAAATTAAATACAATTTTATAAGCGACTTGTTAAAATAAAATAATTTACAACACGGGTACCAGATTATCGTTCAGACAAGTTTGGCGTTGGCGTGATTTTACGCCCCGGTAAGGTTTCGGCCACGCGATTTTTTGTCCGTCGGCAGTGTTAGTATAAAACCTACCGTTTCGAACGATAATTAGTTATAAGACCGTTTGATGAGCGGGACGGGGGGCTATTTTGTGAGCGATTTCCGTTCGAACAAGCCCCGTGGACAGGTTGGGCCGGCGTTTACTTGCACGCGCTCGTCCGAGGGATTTTTTGTGCGCCTTCTTATACGTCGATGCGAGACTCGAATTGCTTTATTTGGTTTGCTTGTACGTGAGCAGAGTTCTGCTTGGTAACGGTTTAGAAAGTCATGGACCCCGAGGCATGGTTTAATTGCACAAAGTGTAACGCGTTTTTACATATTAGTATATGAGAGTGCTCTTTCCTTGGTTCACGGTATGCAGTACGCGGTGACCAAACAACAGTAGATATTTGCTTTAAATTAAATAATCTGACAATAACACCTATGATATAAGAAGGGGATTTGAACAAGTAAAGCAAGCACTGCAGTTAGTTCTGTGATATATGGACGATATTTATTACATTATAAAAAGAACATTAAGTTTATCATTAAAGATACATTATGAATATTAAAACCAGAAACGTTAAGGCTTAAAACATTTTTTTAGCTTTTCTTAAATATTAATATAACATACCAATGTAATTATTAAAACTGGATCTACTTTTATTGACAATCAGGTGTTAATGGTATAAAAAATGGCTTTTTTCAGGGATCTAGTAATCATCGATCTTTGAATTTTGAGCTGTAGATACTAATATTGGGTGAAATCAAAAAAGATCCTGATCAGCAAATTAAAAATAAATTAAATTATAGGAAAAAGAAGTAGGTGTGTACTTATAACGTAAGAAGTTATACTTCTTTAGCGTCAAAACATTAAATGCAAATGTTGCGAAGCAACAA